GTTCTAGTCATACTGCTTTGTGATCTCTTCCTTTTGTGAACCGTGAACCGTGAATCAAGAATCTGCAAGTTAGGAAAACATAACCATTCCACAATGTAACATAATTGATATGAATATGTTGGATACGATTACCAACACAGCACTCCATATTGCATACGGTTGTGCGCGCAATACGGTGCGTGCATGCTAACTTTTTGGCGTGCCGCTCTGAAGCAGAAGTACAAACTTCTCAAACTTTTATTTCATTTAAATTGTTACACAAGAAAGGTGATATTATACTTTTTAGTACAATTTTCAAAATCTTTGGCCATAATTGGAAAGTTTGGAGCGTTCGATTCCCGGCAGGAGAGTTGTCGGAGTGCAAATTCACACCTCTTTTCAAGTCCGCCACACCCCGCTTTATAACTTTACGTGAACTTGGGGTGTAAGTTTACCCCCTTGTGGGGTGCAACCTACCAATATGGATTCACTGGTATCAGTCTTCCTCTTGACCTGTCTCTTGTCGGTAAGTTGCCTTTATCATATTAAAAAACATGTCATGATTGTCTGAACAATACAACTGGTATTCATGATACTCACAAAGTTTTTTAACGACTCCGCCTATATAGCATATTCAAAAGATTGTAATGACCGAGTTAAACTTAATTTTCTCAATGTTCTTAACCTTCTCAGTAATGTTCAACCCTCTATTTTTTGAAAGCCACACCTAAACGAAAAATAATACAATCATTTGTGCCAAACGCTCTAAATTAGTATAATAGCTTTGTCTGAAACCATGATTTATTATTCCTTTTACTCACCTGCCGTATGCTGCACCCGCACCTGTAATTGCACTGCACCCGCTTGATCGCTAGGTTTTACCGAGAGAGTTTTGTTGCTAATTTAAAAAAAAATTCACGAGGCCGCCATCCATTTTTAGCCTTACCGCTCACGATGGCAGTCTCCTGCGTTCTAAAAATTTATCTCTTTAATTCAATGAAAAAATTATACAAATATCCGTTATACTTGTTTGTATGCGTTGTATTATGGTTATTTTATAACATTAATATACAGAAATTGCTATGTAAGTAATATTTATGTAAAAATGTATAACCATGTAGGCTATTTGTTATTTGAACGCAGAAATACAATCAATCGAACAATCAAACAATAATATTCAGGATTTATAATACGTTTCCATATCCAAACGTTTCTATAGCAATCTAAGGCAATACAGATCTATTTTTCACACTATATGTAATGCTTATATTAAATTCCATAATTCTATTCAAAATGTTTTTAATGTTAGTATTCACATGTTCTTCTTTTAGAATATAGTGAAGAATTGTAAAGACTATCTAATTAATAATCCCTAATCTTTTTTCCAAATCACATTCAAGTAGTTGGAATGATTGCATGAAATAATAAAACGGCCACCTCGATATAATACGCAAAATGTTGTTATCATCTATAGCTGTACAATCTTAAGTTACTTTTAACGTGATATTTAAATAAATTGTCATGACTCTCTGAATAAATTAAAACTTCGTTTCCATATCATGGTTAACCCTTTAATATTATTCCATATGAAGTATCACACAAATGTGTAATGTCTCTATATAATAAAGATACAAATATCCTTTCCCGTGTAATATTAGAAGGAAATCCAACCTTGATAGCAAATTACTCTAGAGGAAAGTGAAATGGTGACAGTTTAATTGCACCAAAATGAAAAAAGTTGTGACTTTTTAAAAAGTTTAATGGTATAGGCTTTTCAAATTGCTGAATCTGTGATGTTTTTGTAATGCAGCTGCAGACAAATTTCCCACTTGTTCCAACACATAGATTAACATTATATTTTAATTTGTCACAAATGTGTAACTTAAGAGGGTCCGTTCTCTTTAAAAGACCTATGATAATTTTGCTATCCATAATATATTTTGAGTAGTACCCTAACGGCGAAGGCACTTATGTGAAAAAACAGAAATCAATGATATCATGATTTTTGTCCATGACAAACGTGAGAGCTATCCGCGACTACGTCACAATCAGCTGATCGAACTGCCAATTTGAGATTGACATAGACGTAGTGATCCTATATTTCAAACATTCATAATTATGTAATTATTGGTTCGATTTGCTTCAAACTTTCGCCGTTCTGTGTATCATGTTCTTCTGCTTTCATGCAAAATATTACAGGGATTGGATTGTCCTTTAAAAGATTGTCATAACTATCTACAACACTAGTCAATTCCTCTTCACTACAGTGTAAACACTGATGACTATCTTTGAATGATTCAAACTTCTTTTACATATCATGTTCGTTCTATAAATCCTAATTAAAAGTACAAAACCTGCCCGTAGTGTCTGTATGGCAATTGTGATTCTGTACAAGAGAAAATATGAACGGTAAACATGAAAGGATGGAATTCGATATACCTGTCACAACGCCAATCCGACTCTTTATCGACCAATTTGTTGCCGTTCGGGGAGAGGGGGGGGGGGGGGGGGGGGGTGGGGGGGGGGGGTAAGAGGACACTTTTTTTTTCTTTTTTGGGGTCTCGAAATTTGAAAATTTGACGTTTTGCTCCGTAGGGGGGAGGGGGAATGTCACCTTTTTTTTTTTAGGTCAGCCATTGGCATAATCTTTTTTTAATTTGTATTATTTTTATTTAAAAAAAAAGGCACAAAAGGGGGGGGGGGATTTAGCTCAAAAATACACACATAATACACATAAAAACAAAACTTAAGGCCGGGGGTTTAACCCCCCCCCCCCCTGCGTACGCGCCAGAGCCAACATAACATTCTGTAGAACTTTGCAGGAATTATGAATATGTCATGTCCTTTCTGTGAAATTTAAACATTAGCAATGTCCTTTTTAAATTTAAAAAAACAACACATTAGCAGTGTCTTAGTATTCAAATTACGCAGGGGAAACCCGTGTACCTTTTAGACTTCACTGTCAGACACTATTGAGTGACTGACTGACATATTGTTTTATTTGGTATTAACATATATACAATGAGCTGTAACAGATCCATAAGCATTTGTCTACATCAATAACACACTACTTGCAATGGCCAAAATTAAATCTGTGTGCAACACAAAACGTACGAACATTCAGGAAAAAGGTCTGAAAATCAGACTTTAACTTAGGTGATTGCATTCACTTCAGTCGATTCGACAACTAATGGTCGTTTTTTCCCCATTAAAAGCCATTTTCAAGCCCTGTTATTTGGGGGGAAGTTCTAAATTAGTATTGTTCTTTAAATGCCGTGTTTTTTTTTGGGGGGGGGCCTGCAAAATCTCTTTAAAAAAAGCAAGAAGTAACTGTTCATGGACGGATTTCCAAGGCAGAAGAACTATAAAAGTACTGTGTGTACAAACTTTTCAGAATAAACTTTTATATAGGCCTATTATATTACATTTTCTATAGGCATATATGCTGCATGTTATATGCAACAGGGTGTGTGAGATAACGATGGAATTAAATCACACATATTTACTATCCCTTTTCATTACAAATAATATCTTTAATATAAAGGAAGAAAGAAATGAATAATGAACAAAGAAAGAAAGAGCAAAAAAAACACACAACTATATTTATCATATTGAGAACATCAAGCGGTAATCCCTCTTTTACACACAAAAAAGGTACCCAAGTGACTGCATGACTCAAGTGAAACTATATTTGGCAGCTCAGGAATATTTTACCCCTCTCTTTATAAGACAAAATATATGCATATAGGCCTTTCCCTAAAGGGGGTATTTCACTGGGGATTTGGATTCGCCAACTTTTCTGACGAATGTTGGTGAAAACAGGGTTTGTCTTTTTGAATGTCCAAGATTTCTTTGCGAGAAGAAAAACTGTTTGCGAACTTTCTTGCAACCTTTTACGAACAATGGCGAAACCTCAAATTCGCTACGTTCGCAAACATTCGCCGCTCAGTGAGATATTACCCACGATAAAGAACAAGACATAACGAACGAACACACACACACGCACACACACACAAACATACATGGCAATCAATGCAAGGATGTGCTCCAGGGGATCCAAAGAAATCATTTGTAAGAATATTCATGATGTAAATGCACAAACCATTGTAAAGCAAATATAGTATATCGGCCTCAAACCCATATTTATTGAAACGCTGTGTACTAGCTACATTACGATTGGAATAGTGATTCATCATGCAGTTTGGTGTGTTTTTATAATGGGGTATAATCCGAAACTTTTGCGTAACTTTAAAAATACGGTCACTGAGCTTTGCCGTACAGGCCTATTTTTACAAAGTTAAAGCTGGAGTTATATGTGGTACGGTATGTAACTGAAACAGCTCCCGTAGGACTTTTGCGCTAAAGTTGATTTTTTTTGCATTTTTTGCATGGATTCATTGGGGTCCAAGCTATCAGAAATTGATGGGGTTCAAATTTTCCCGAAGACACCAAATTTCCCTAATGCGCTTTATATAAGCCATTTTGGAGCCCAATAGGGACCCCCCAGGAAATGAAGGAGGGGTCTGAAAATTTGAACCCCATTATTTTTGGCCAATTGGGACCCTTTTCAAGCCAAAACAGCAAAAAAAAAAAAAAAAAAAAAAAAAAAAAAAAAATAGTCATTAATGGTAGCATTATAACGACAAGTAAGCTAATTGCTTGCTTTCTAACGTCGTTTTCAATGATCAGCATAATTGCTGGCAGCCAGGGGGAGAGGTGGGACGTCTTGCAGTTCCATTAATGGCATTATCCATAGTAGCATCGACCACCAGAAAACAGGATTCCTTGTTTCGTAGATAACATTTTTGAAAACGCAGAAACATATAGACACGAATTTTATCGTATTCTCTTTTCCGTATTTGATTTATAAACAACTTTTTTTGTTAGATCAAAAGTCTGAGATTTCCTGTAGCAGTGATCGAGTTTGGGGACATTGAACTGATATTTCAGATAGTGACAATATTCGGGGGCTGTATGCCCTCAACGTTGATTTCGAATAAGACATTTCATTTGCAGACGACAGACCTTTTGATGATGAAACGTGCGATCGGCGAATAATGTTCCATTTATGGCCATGGTGGAAGGTCTACGATTTATCTCAAGCAATCGAAGCAAATGAAAGGAGCATCGAAACAAAGTTTCACTTTGGTATGTCTCCATGTTTTCTTTTATAATTGGCCACGTTTTATTTAAATGATGTGAATGATCTAACATTTACGATGCACTCCGTCAAACGGTTTATTGAGTCAAAGCATCCACCTGCACCTGTAGCTTCATTGGGCCGTGCACGCTCTCTCTACCGTACTCCGCTACGCTACGCATTAGCATGGAATCTCTAGCTTTGCTGGAGTGCTCCGCTACCAGTAGATATATCGCGGCGCCTGCACCCCTGTGGGGTGTGCAAAGTATATACGGTAACATACACCATGTACATGATGGACAAGTTGTACGTACAAGGTTTTTTGTTGATTCATGTTCTAGATAGTTTAAGAGGTAAATTCAGCTTGGTTGCCATCTTGTCAAACTTGGGCAACTTTTTTACATATGCCTTATTTGCATAATCATCAAATCAAGATATGTGCAATGTTGCTTATCGTAATACTTTTCAAAGGTTTTCTATGAAAAAGAATTCATTTATGACAATTGCATTACTTAAAAATAAGAACCGGTGTCCTTAATTGTCATAGAAAACCCTTGAAAAATATTACCCATGTTTATAGGGTTCCCGGATTAAGATGAGCAACATATTAGGCCATGTAATAAAATATACATGTTTAGCGTCCCTGCCCACTTCCTTTTTGGGGGCCGCCTCCTATTTTTTTTCCTTCTTTTTTTTTTCTTCTTTTTTTTAAAATATTATGTTGAATAATTTTTTTGAAATTTTTTTTTAAAGAAAAAAAACATGAAAAACATTGCTAAAATGGATCTATTTCTGATTTAAAAATCAGAAAATTGAAAAATAGCCCGACTGACAGGGAAAATGTACCGAGCGGCCATTTTGAAAGAAAAAAAAAGGGCCTCCTCCTCCTTCCTATTTTTCCAAAAAACAGGACGCTTAACATGTTTTTTTTTTAATTTGGCCTTACATGTTGCACATATCATAATGATTATGCAAATTAGGCTTATAAAAGTTGCCCAAGGTTGGCAAGATGGCAACCAAGCTGAATCTACCTCTTAACCCATCTAGAACACGAATAGACAAAAAAACCTTGTACTTAACAATTCTAAATAATTCTCATTTGAGTCTAGACTCGATACTTAATAGATCCACTCAGGCGCATACGCAGGGGTGGGGGGGGGGGGGGGAGGGGAGGGGTTTGGGCTTAAACCAAGACCCCTTGAGTTTTTTTTATGTGTATGTTTTTGGGGAAACCCCCCCCCCCCTCTTTTGAGTTTTATGCCAATGGCTGACCTAAAAAAAGGTGACCTTACCCCATTTTCCTAGTTATTTATGACTGAATAGATTTGTTTCATGGAGGGGTTGTTTAAAAACACATTTGCAGTAATAATATTTAGGGTGAGTGCATGATTGAACATTCTCTTGAGGGAAATTATAGATTTTAAATTGTTTTAGTATGTAGCTAGGGCAAATGGGAGGGAAGCTTGCACAGAGTTGCCAATATGTGTTGGATCAATTGCACTTTCAAAAATTCATAATTTTTTTTCATTTTTAATTGAATTTTGCTCAAGCTTTTAATGGCCTGCTTTTTCATTCTCCTGCTTCTATTAAAACCAACTTAATTTCAGGGTGGACATCCCCTTAAGGTCATCGTTTGACAATGTCAATCTGAGATGCATGGCCCTACGTGTTATCAGTGTCTGTGATATATTGTGTAATATATTGAAGCCCGAAAAAATTGCGCTTAAAAATGATCATGAAGTGCCTCAAAAAAGTAAAAATCTGTGAGTGACCGGTTTTACCATACTCATTTTGCTGAATATAGACTGTAGTATTATAAAAACTGTTAGGAAAACAAAGAAATATAAATATCTTGATAATCCGACAGGCGATCGGCTTGTAAAAGTCATGGGATTCCTGACTGAACTAAGGTTTATAATTATGATTGCGGATACGATTGATATGGTAAATAGAGGTAGATTTTGTTTCAGAATCTGAGGCAATGTTACCGAGTCACTTTAAGCACTACCACAAGAGGAGCGCTTCCTACTCAGTTGGGTATAAAGTTGTTTTGGGTCATGAAAATTAATTGAGGCAATGTTACCGAGTCACTTTAAGCACTACCACAAGAGGAGCGCTTCCTACTCAGTTGGGTATAAAGTTGTTTTGGGTCATGAAAATTAATTGAAAAGTACACTGGACATTTTGGTAGGGGTTTAGAATGCATTTATGGCCCACTCCTTGTGGTTACCAGCTATAGGCGCATTTATACTGTCAAATACCTCATTTTGAAAAGTTGCGATGTTTCGCGCACCCGTTTACACTTGTGTGGAAACATCACCGACTGAAAAGCTCAGTGATGTTTTGGCGTGTTTTAGTTGGTAATGCGCATGCGCGGCACTCCGATGCAAAAACTTTCCTCTTTCTGTCTTTCCTTATGTTATTCTTTGTTTTTCCTTCTAGCACCTTCTCTTATGTTATTCTTTAACACTTCCTTCTATCACTTTCTCTTTCTGTGTTTCCTTATGTTATTCTTTATTTATTCCTTCTATCACCTTCTCTTATGTTATTCTTTTTTTTTATCATTCTATCACTTTCTCTTTCTGTGTTTCCTTATGTTATTCTTTGTTTCTTCCTTCTGTATCACCTTCTCTTATATTATTCTTTGTTTTTTTATCATTCTATCACTTCCTCTTTCTGTGTTTCCTTATGTTATTTGTTGTTTCTTCCTTCTATCACCTTCTCTTATGTTATTCTTTGTTTACATCGTTCTATCCTTTTTTTCAAGGACGACAGCTAGCTCCGCGCTTAAAGTCATGTGACCTAACATCGCGATATTACAACTGCGAGTGTTCATACTTCCCAAACACGCCAAAAGATCACACTTCGTTTTGGAATGTTTCGGGCTTGGCATGTCTACCGGTAAAGCATAGTTGCCCTTGGTAACATCGCGATCAGGCTCCGGTTTGGCATTTTTTTGGCGTGTTTGGAAGACAGTGTAAATGCCCCTAATGTTGATTTTTTGTTACATGCCATTGTTAGAAAAACAGTGATTTTAAATTTCTCAGTGTGTTGCCAATGCAATAATTAAAAAAAATATTTTCCTATACAAAAATCGTATTATCAAAATGAAAAGTGATCATGTGACAAAAAGGGATAACAAATTTGCAGAAATGTTTGCAATTATTATTAATGCATTTTTTCAGTGCTCTGAATGAAAAGTTACTGAGGCAAACCTGGGGAATGTTTCATGAAGGCTTTGAGTGCGGTTAAGCTTAAATTTTGAAGGCAGAATGAGCGATTTGTAACGCTCATCGTAAACGCTCATCGTAATCGCAGTTCCATGGTGTACTGTTTATGCTCACTTCTCTGGCTCCTTCAGGCAATTCTCCCTGGGTGGCCTTAATTGGCCTTGCAGCTGGATTCGCAACCTTGAAATGCGCATGCTTTGTAGACCATGGTCCATGCGTAGACCCACTAGAGGTCAGTGCGTTGACCCCATTTAAACGCGTTTACAAATTGTAAACACATCTTTTTGTGAGTTTATGTTCGGCGATCGTGATCGCCGTTTTTCGGTGATTCTACAAAAGTGAGAAAGGACGCAACCGTGTTTTAAACTAAACGCATAACAGATGCCTGATTCTGGCCAGAAAAAGTTAAGCATAAACACACCCTAAGATGCATTTAAATTTATGGATGCTGAAGTATTTCATTCACTCAAGGGGAGTGTTTTACAAAAACTAAGATCGACTTTAAGATGGACATAAATATGGCAGGGCATTCATGCCACTGGTTGCTCTCACCATTGGTCTCTCGATTATGATCTTTAGATAATATTTTTTCCTTCAATAATGGACTATCATAAAAGCTGAATTCTGTAGATGTGTGACCCTAATTTGTACGTCCCTCAGGAGACCATTGCCAGTAAACGGAGAGAGCAAAGAGGTGGCATGAACAGCCTGCCATAGTTAAGTCCAATTTAAAGTCGATCTTAGTCTTTGTAAAACACTCCCCTTGAGTGAATGAAATACTTCAGCATCCATAAATTTAAATACATATACTTGATAAACGACTTCACATACTGGTAGTTGATATGCCTGGATCCAGTTCTGTTGATAGATTGGTGAGGAGCCAGGTATACTCACGTTATCAAGAACAAGGGGATACCCATGTCGTGCTGAGAAACTACATTATCATGCAAAGTATATCATGCTTTACCACTCTCATACACTTTGATGAGAAATCTTGTAGATTAATGGGAAAGAATACAATGAACCTTTTAGAGTCAATAAAGTTATTTCTCAGGGTAAAGGTTTTCCTTCATGGATACCAAGTAATTACTAGAGTACTGTTAATAAAAAGGGCCCTCGCCCCTCGGGAAGAAGAGCATTGATGCTGATGATGCTTCCCTAGGTAAACAAAATTATTATCATGAACGCTTATATTTTTGTTGCCTTGTTTTCATTTTTAAACACCAGGATATTTGGTGTCAAAATACCAAGTCTGCATTCAAATGTATGCTTGTTACAGTTGATTGAGTTTTTTCCAATACAGCTTGAAGAGATAGATTGACTTTTACAGTTAAAGTGAAATCCAACCTTGTTAGCAGACTAATCTAATAGGAAGCAGAAGAATCAGAGAAGAACACTGGTGAAAGTTTGAATGAAATCAGACAAAAAATTAGAAAGTTATCAACTTTGTAATCACTGTATGTATGGGAATTTAAATTTTCTGAATCGATATTGTAACTGTGATGTAGTGCCCAGCAACTATTCCTTTTGTTCCAACTTACAAACTAACTAAAATAAAATTTCTTCTTTAAAATGTATGACTTTGGAGTGTCTTGTTTTTTTTGAGAGCGCCTATGATAACATGTTATTATTGTTATGCCTCCGCTACAAAGTAGCCGGAGGCATTATGTTTTTGGGTTGTCCGTCCGTCCATACGTCCGTCCGTACGTCCGTACGTCTGTCCGTACGTCCCGTTCTCGTGATCGCGTTATCTCAAGAACCGATTGGTTGATTCCCACCAAACTTGGGTCATGTATGTATCTCACAGAGCCAATGAACTGATTAGATTTTGGGGTCACGAGATCCAAGGTCAAAGGTCACGGGGCTCATTATTTATGCGAAAATGGCTCGTGATCGCGTTATCTCAAGAACCGATTTATGGATTCCTGCCAAACTTGAGTCATGTATGTATAACACAGAGCCAATGAACTGATCAGATTTTGGGGTCACGAGATCCAAGGTCAAAGGTCACAGGGCTCATTATGTATGCGAAAATGGCTCGTGATCGCGTTATCTCAAGAACTGATTGATGGATTCCTGCCAAACTTAAGTCATGGATGTATCTTGCAGAGCCAATGAACTGATTAGATTTTGGGGTCACAAGGTTGAAGGTCAAAGGTCACAGGGCTCATTATGTATGCAAAATAGCTTGTGATCGCATTATCTCAAGAACCGATTGATGGATTCCTGCCAAACTCAGGTCATGTATGTATCTTGCAGAGCCAATGAAATGATTCGATTTTGGGGTCACCAGGTCAAAGGTCACAGGGGTCTTTATGTATCCAACAATAGCTTGTGATCGCATTATCATGAGATCAAATAGACAGATTACTATCAAACTCAAGTCATGTATGTATCTTGCAGAGCCAATGAACTGATTATATTTTGGGGTCACCAGGTCGAAGGTCAAAGGTCACATGGCTCATTATGTATGCCAAAAATAGCTTGTGCATGCATTATCATTAAAACCCACAGATGGATTACAATCAAACTTGAATTTAAAAATTGTTTCTGTTTTGGTTTGTAAAATTGCTCTATGGCGGAGGCATCATTTTTGACTGCGCGCAGTCAAAGTTCCATCTAGTTATCCATATTATATTATGAATAGTACCCCAAGGGAAATGGCGATGTAAGAGAAAAGAAATAATAATTTGTGTGCACAAGAAACGGGATTGTTGTCTGTGAATAAGTCACAATCTACTGACATGCTTTCCAATTTGAGATTCGCTGAGCTTCAGTGGTCTCATATTTCAAACACTCATAAACTCTTTTATTATCGGTCAGTTTTATTGTAATACTTATCTTTTTAAAAAAAATGATTTTCCTGCTTTGAATCCATAAAAATGAACATATTACAAAGTTTGGATTGCTCTTGTTTTAAGAGTAATATTTTCTTTCAATTTATATCTTTCAGCTATCCACTGCACAAATACCCGGACGTGTTCAGAATCTTGTCATCAACAATATTCAGCAATGGGGGTTCACAGCGGCCTGGAATCCACCAGCTACTGGCAACACCCCAGAATTTTACAATGTGACCATAACAAATACGAACACCAATGATGTGTATGAGAGATCCTTACTCCCCAATGAAGATAGGTCATATGAGATTGATCATCTCTACGATGATACCACTTACACGTTCAGCGTTGTGGCTGTCAACTCTGATGACCAAGGGGGATCACCAGTTGAAAATACTGGCATCAATATTCCACGTAAGTTACCATTTTCGGAACAGCAATCAAATCGACATTGTGATCATAATAGGCTGATCACACATAACAATTACCTAGTGCGATTTGGATTGCAATGCAAAGATCTTTTTTTTTTGGCGACCGTTCACACATGTCAATTTAGTGCGAATTGCAATTGGATCGCGATTCAAAGATAGATGCTTTTTGGCGACAAGACACAGAGAATTCTCGCTCGGCGGCAAGAACGTCCAAACTGCCCATGCATGAATCTCAACGATGTTGTTTGCTTGGAATCCTGGGAGTAAATCAATCAATTTTTGATTCTCAATACCATTCACATACACATAGCGCCCGGCAAACTATCGCAAATTTCCTGAAAAATCAGAAGACTTACTGGGAATGGGATCGCGATGCAAAAATAGATTTTTAAATCTCACTTTTTTCTGTAGGTGTGAACGCCCCTAGTGTAAGATTATGATTTACTCATTAGTAATTCTTTAATTTACATTTAGCTTTGCATACTCTGTCGTCATAGGGGCAGCCGTGACCTATATTCCTTCCCCTTCATCTCTATTCTTAAAGGCACACTGTCCTACTTGTAGCTACTTGCTCCCTCTATATAGAAAACTTCCCAAATCGATGCCTGTTGGTCCCCCATGATCCTCTTTTTCTTATGTTAAATGAGAGCTGAGTTAATTAGATAGCCACCTGTCACAGTGACCTCGATGGCTCACTGGGTGGTCTAATCCCTTCTTGCTGAAGTAGTAAAGCCTCCCTGTAATACTTCCTTTGTTCTGCCCTTATGCATTCTTACCCATTCAACCTTGCCTGCCAAGGCAACCTCACTCTCTGTTATGACAATCCAACCTTTAACTCACTCAACACCTGACACTCTCTTTCCCTCCATTGGTTACTTTAAATTCCTTCTTGCGAACTTATGATTGGTCACTACTACTTTTATATTGTTAACATGTCAGCCATATCTTGGCAGCCATCTTGGAAGATGTATTCAAATTTAAAAAGTCAGTGCACCTCAACTCTAGAAACATGTTGGTGTGTCTTAAATTTAATATAGGTGAAATTACAATAGATGTGATTATGTATTTTTTACCACGGCAGAATAGGTAGACCACAGGAATTACCCTTTTTTAACTTTTTAGAGTGTTTAATATACAATGATGAAATTACAATATTTTTGTTTTTGTTTGTCATCCTAGCTTGTCAACTGTGCCTGAGCAGTGCAAATGTAGGATCAAGCTTTTTCCAACTGATGTTCCCTGCTACGGGTGTGAACACTATTCTCTCTGGAAGAACAGTGGACGCGTCCACGCAACTTAATGGACCCCAGCGTGCAATGGGCCCAAGTTTAACATCCATATTTTATCTTGGGCTTCAAGGGGGTTTGCTGTATGAACTGCAAATGACTGACTCCAATACACAAGCAATTGTTTACTCATCTCGGTATAGAACAGGTTGGTGTAGTCTTTAACTTATACAGTGCTATTTGTGTTAGGACACGGTCTGTATTCAACTAAAAATTGCACCTGATGCGAGGTCGAAACTCAGCAAAAGTTGAGTTTAAACACCTTTTAAAAAAACTTTATGTCAATGGAAAGCTGAATGAATGTAGAATAAAAACATAAAGGAATTTCCCTATCACATGTAGTATTGCACAAAAGCAAATTGAAACCTCATTTTCAGCACCCCTCCAAATTACAATCAACAGGGGTAAAATTTACTGCAGTTTCGGTGACAATATCACATGTGGACCCGATCTTGACTATATAGCTTAGGCAGGTAGCCATGCTTAAAGGGATAGTTGAGTTTTGTTGCAGATTGCGCTACACAAAATAATTTTTTTTGTGAGATAATGAAAAATTTAGTGTCAAATTTGAAGGAACATACAATTTAAATGACAAAATCATCTTTGTTTGATCAAAAAAGGTTCAGAGACGGCTGAAATATCCATAAATGTAACAATTTCTAATATTTATGGTGCCCCACAAAATTAATTGATAATTTGATAATTTGATAATCAGCTGTTGAAAAAACGAGATGTCGCCTTATGTTTCATTCAAGCCAATGCCAATGTTGGCATTTTGATGGGTTTTTGGTGTTGGTTATAATACTAAAAATCAGCCGGCCCGCGTATTGTTATTATTAATTAATTAATTAATCAATGGTCACTGTATCTTTTATGCCTACGTTACGAATTAGCCGGAGGCATTATGTTTTTTGAGTTGTCCGTCTGTCCGTCTGTCTCGTTCTTGTGATATTATCTCAAGAACCGATTGATGGATTCCTGCCAAACTCTGGTCATGTATGTATTTTTCAGAGCCAATGAATTGATTAGATTTGGGGGTCATGAGGTCAAAGGTCAAAGGTCAAATGTCACAGGGATGCATAAATATCTGGTGATCACATCATTAGAACTGATGGACAGAGTGCCATCAAACGCAGGACATGTATGTATCTTGCTGAGCCAGTGAACTGATTAGATTTGGGGGTCATGAGGTCAAAAGTCAAAGGTCCTGGGGCTTATTATATATGCAAAAATGACTTGTGATGGCATTATTATTATTAGAACCGATAGGCAAATTACCATCAAACTCAAGACATGTATGTATCTTGCAAAGTCAATGAACTGATTAGATTTTAGAGTCATGAGGTCAAAGATTAAAGGGTCATATATGTATATGACAAAAAGCTTGTAATCACGATATTCTTAGAACCTCTGGATTACTATTAAACTTTAATTTGAAAAATAGCTTCTGTTTTGGTTTGTGAAATCGCTCTTTGACGGAGGCATCATTTTCGACTGCGTGCAGTCGAAGTTCCATCTAGTTTGAAAGTGGAGCTGAATTGGTATGATGGTATTGGCTAAGTTTCACACATTTTGGGGTCTAAAATTACCTTCATAGCAATTTTAGGTCCTAAAAGAGCACTAGAAATATCATAAATAAGAATAAATGCCAAAACCATGCACTCTAAAGGCAGTTGCGGTCTGAAACAAGAACTCAGCTATCCTCAGTGGAGACAAGTCATTTCCATTGGGGCTTCAATGGAGGAAGTTAGACCAAAGTCAATTTTTTTTCTCATGAGTGTAGCTAGCCTTGTGTCAGGTTAAAATGAGTTGAACTCTTTTTATGCCTCCGTTACGAAGTAGCCGGGGGCATTATGTTTTCGGGTTGTACGTCAGTACGTCTGTATTTCCGTACGTCCCGTTCTTATCGCGTTATCTGAAGAACCGATTGATGGATTCCTGCCAAACTTTGGTCATGTATGTATCTTGCAGACTGACTAGATTTGGGGTCATGAGGTCAAAGGTCAAAGGTCACAGGGCTCATTATGTATGCAAAAACAGCTCGTGATCGCGTTATCTGAAGAACCGATTGATGGATTCCTGCCAAACTTTAGTCATGTATGTATCTTGCAGAGCCGATGAACTGATAAAATTTTGGGGTCACGAGGTCAAAGTTCAAAGGCCACGGCTCATTATGTATGCAAAAACAGCTCGTGATTGCATTATCTGAAGAACCGATTGATGGATTCCAGCCAAACTTTAATCATGTATGTATCTTGCAGAGCCAATGAACTGATTAGATTTTGGGGTCATGAGGTCAAGGTCAAAGGTCATGTGGCTCATTATGCATGCAAAAATAGCTTGTGATCGTATTATCATTAGAACAGATTGATGGATTCCTGCCAGACTTAGATTATTTATGTATCTTGCAGAGCCAATGAACTGAGTAAATTCTTGGTTCATAAGGTCAAAGGTCAAAGGTCATGGGCTCATTATGTATGCAAAAATAGCTTGTGAACGCATTCTCATTAGAACTGACAGATGGATTACTATTTAACTCAGGACATCTTGCAGAGCCAATGAACTGAGTAGATTTTAGGGCCATGAGGTCAAAGATCAAAGGGTCATATATGTATATGAAAAATTGCTTGTAATCACGATATTCTGAGAACCTGTTAATGGATTACAATTTAACTTGAATCTGACAAATTTCTTCTGTTTTGGTTTGTAAAATTGCTCTATGACGGAGGCATCATTTTCGACTGCGCGCAGTCGAAGTTCCATCTAGTTTATTTTTATGATTCTTCTTCTTCTTTTCATTTTAATTATTATAATCAGGTGGGCTGTGTAACGTACAGACCACCTTATAATTTTGTTAGAATTGCCTTTATTATTTATTTATTAGGTGGTCTGTCAATGACAGATCACCTATTGTTTTCGTCAGAATTTTCTTTCTTTATTATTATTATTATTTATTTTTATTTCCTACACTTTTTTGTGCCGAGGATAACTCAAGTACGGTTTCATCAATTTCATTCAATTTTGGCACATTAATAGGTCATTGCCATGAAACGTGACAGTAACATTTTCAAGGTCATCAGGTCATCGTGACGTCATCCAGGCGCCATTTTGTGAAATCCCATTATCCATCAAATCTTTATGATGCATAAGCAAAGGTCATTCATATTCATATCACATATACTTCAGGTCAAGGGGCAACAAGTCATGTCATCAAAGGTCACATAAAGGTCATGACGCGCACGTACGCGCGCGTCAAAATTTTAAAATGCTCAAAATCACTTAACTATTAAACGAGAGTACGAATCAGGTCATTTTAAGCATTTCAAAATTTTCCGTCCGTACGTGTCCCCGCTCGCGTTGCGCGCGCGGACAACGCGCGGAAAATGTCAAATTCAATTTTTTTACATGATTTCGATTCCTCTTACCGTAAATGACAATTTACATTAATTTCAGTCACTCTTGACCTTTCATAAGGCTGTGAGCGCGCGTCAAAGTTCAAAATCCGCGCGTGCTGCTATGGGCAATATAATGCAAATTTGATAAAAAAACATGCCATTTTAAAAATCAAAATAGCTCTTCAGATAGTCCATTGATCCCATTTTTTATATCGTGGTTGGAAAAAGCATGAGTTGGAGATATGATTTCATGTCATCATAATGGCCTCCGAACTCAAAATATCAATTTGCATATTATGACGTCAGCAGAATTTTGGAAAATTGATTGTATCTCTGCAAATGTTGATCAATTTTCTTTCAAATTTTGATATGTTTTAGCTGAGACAATTCTCTACAAATGCAGTTACCACGATATTTCATTTTGACAAAGGCATCATGGCGTATTTTTGCGATTAAAGGAGGCATGTCAATTTTTCACATTTTGCGTGTATTCTCTATGGGACATGACTTTTTCTCAAAACTGGATTCTACATTCTCGCCTTTCGCGAGCAATATCTCCGTAGTCTTAGCTTCGTTTTCGCTGAGCTTTGAGTATGTTGTAGCTGAGACAATAAGCTATCACAAGTGTGCCCTTTATTTTTCGATCAGATGCCGGGATCATGCTCATATTTCACTTACAAAGTGGGATTTGAAAATTCCATTTTTCGTTTACGTGTAATCTCTATGGGAAATGTTTTGGTATATCGGTAACGCACTTCACTTCCGACCTCGAGGTCCCTGGTTCGAGTCCGGGCGTCTCCAACAATTTTTTTTTTTTACTTTTTTTTTGTTGACACTTCACTTTACCATCTCCTTTGAATATTAAAACACGTACAATCGCAAATAATGTAATAAACAACCATATTTACTTTATTATTACCCTATTATCCCTTGATCCATTACTTTTTGCGTGTAATCCTTATGGGAGATGACTTTTTCTCAAATCTGGATTCTACATTGTTGTCTTTTGCGAGCAATATCGCCGTTATTTCGGCTTGGTTTTTGTTGATTTTTGAGTATGTTGTAGCTGAGACTATACGCTATCTAAATGTTCTCTAATTTTGTTCAGTCTGATGTCATCGTGGTCTGTTGATGATAATCATCAACATCATCATGATCATGATCATGATCATCATCGTCATCACCATTACTATCAAGATCATCATCATGATGATCATCATGATGATCATCATTGTTTACATGTCTATATAACTTCTCCCTTTCCCAATATAGTAAATATTATAATCTATCATAAGACTTGAAGACAGACCACCTAATTCGTCTCCATGACGAATTAAATTTCTAGTTTATTTATTCTTTATTTTTCTTATTTCTAACCACTTTTTTGTGGACAAGATAACTTGAAAATGGCTGGATCAAATGCCTTGAAATTCGGCACACATATGTATAGGCATATGTACAAAGCACAGAAATTTTTTCAAATTTGACCTTGACTGATGACGTCATCTAGGCACCATTTTGTAAAATTTTACGAAAATAAACTCATGATCATATCTTCATAACCAAAAGGTATTTCTCATTCATATTTATCATGATCAAGGTCAATATCCGAAATTTTTGAAATGCTCAAAATCGTTTCAAAATCATTTTGCATACGTTTTAGGCCATTCTAAGCATTTTATAAAAAAAAAATCGCGGACACGCACATGCGTGCGCGTTTTCGTGCGTAAAACTATCGCACAAAATATAATTTTTTTTTTTCATAATATTCCACATATTTTTACAAACAAATTGATAGCATGTTTATCTCTTTATGACTATTAATGACGGAATGATCGACCGTTAAACATAAATTTCTGTGCGCGCGAGCTCTTGTAATACAAAGCATATTTGGGTAAAAACATGCCTATGCAAAATCCATTGTAGCTCTTTAGGATGCAAGGTGACCCCAATTTTTTTTCATATTTTGATTGAGTATGAATCGGAGATATGATTTCATGTCTCATTTGACCCTCAACTCATAACGTCATCATAATGGCCTCCGAACTCAAAATTTCAATTTGCATATTATGACGTCCGCATATTTTGGAAAATTGATTGTATCTTTGTAAAAATTGATCGATTGTCTTCAAAATTTTGATATGTTCTAGCTGAGACAATTCTCTACAAATTCAATCCTCACAATTTTTCATTTTGACAAAGGCATCATGGCGTATTTTTGCGATTAAAGGAGGCATGTCAATTTTTCACATTTTGCGTGTATTCTCTATGGGACATGACTTTTTCTCAAAACTTGATTCTACACTCCCGTCTTTCGCGAGCAATATTTACATCGTTTTAGCTTCATTTACGCTGAACTTCGAGTATGTTGTAGCTGAGACAAAAAGCTATCTCAAATGTACCCTTCATTTTGTCTCAATTTTTTGTTGGATCAGCCCACCTATACTTGTTCCAAACAAGTATTACAAATCTAGTTTTTTATTTATTATCATTATAATTATTATTGTAATTATTATTATTATTTATACTTATGTTTATATTATTGTTATTATTTACATCCTTTTCTTTTAAGTTCCTTGGCCGGTAACAAACCTTCTGCTGAGCCCCGAGTCCAGTACCAGCGTACATGTAACGTATGAGCAGCCTATCGGAACTCAGTATCACAAGTATGATGGCTTCAGAATCACGTATGGTGATCAAGAACGCTTCGTGGGAAGTAGCGATACGTCGTTGGTAATCGATGGTCTACGGGCGGGGATTTCATACATCATTGAAGTTCAGACGTTCAGTGGCGAGTTAGCTGATCGTAAATACTCTCTTCCTGCAGCCGGTGACATAACTATTGGTAATGCTTCTCTTTTTTTTATTGTATCCCTAAGGCACGCCGCCGTCGCATCATGTAATTGTGTGCGCTCTAAATTTTGTATGGAGATGTATCTTGGTACAATCTACACATTTGTAGTGTTTGGTGATGCTGCTCCTAGTCTTGACAATAGTTAAGACATTCCCTGCCGGTGCATTCGCATCGTGCGGCAATGGAGATTGCAATTTTTTCCAGTTTTCATGCATTTACTTGTAAACATTTTTACGAGGAATTCACAACTTCAGGTTTAATAGTTGCCTTCGGCTATTTGTTTGCTCATGGTGATTCTGTTTCTTTTTTCTTGTACAGACTCAAATTGAAACTGCAAATAATAGGATGTAAAGTTTCACTCTTTAATATCTTGGTTAGAGAAAATGTTAATCAGACAGTTGGAGCACACTTTCAGCCAAACATTACCAGGCACGACGTCTCTTGTCTTTCACAACTTTCTTATTAAACCTGCCACTTCATTTCGGAATATACCTTAATAGTCTGGTTCATTTCATAGTCCAACATTAAAGAGCAATACAGGTATAATGATGAAGATGTCTCAAAGAGGGCAGCAAGCAAAGATCAAATATAGCCAAGTGATTTCTACATGCATTGTCCATGGTACAAATTATTTGTGTATTAATTTCTGAACCCCTATACAGTTGATTTGTTTTTGGAAGCGAATGCTACTACATCGTTGTCAGTCGCGTGGGCCCTCCCCAGCGTTGAAGTCAGTGGATTCCAGATCCGATACAGCATTTTTGGTGCTTCATCTTTCACCACTTTACCATTTGGTCCGACTGTAACCACTGCTACACTGGAAAACCTAGAGCCTGGTCAGATTTACCGGATCAACCTCTACATTGTGACAGCCGAGGGAACAGACCTTCTAACAGAAGCCGAATTTCAAACAAGTAAGACAAGATTCAAAACCCTGGGTAGTGTCATGTCATTAAATATTGTTATTGTTATTATTATTATTATTATTTTTCAATAAGTATTATTATTACTATTATTTCTATTATTGTTATAAAGGTTCTTCTTTGTATCATTATCGTTGGTGTTGTCATTATTATTATTATTATTATTTTTTACTAATATTATTATTTTTATCATCATCATAAATATATGCTTCTCACTATTTCATTTTGTTTCTAGTTCCTGATGTTGTGAGTGGTATCTTGGGGGAAACCATGGACACCAGTATAGCTTTATCATGGACCCCTCCTGCAGGCAAAGCAGATTATTACCTCGTCATGTACAACCCTCAGTACGGGTCAACTATTACCCCCTCGGAGGCATCCACTCCGGAATTCAACATCGAAGGGCTGGATCCCGGAATTGATTATGAAGTTAGCATCATATCCGTAGCTGGTTCGGCACGGAGTTCTGCAGCAAGTAAAATTTTCATGACAGGTGAGACGATTAATTGTAGCAGTGTCATAGTTGAGTCGTTAAATCACTTGACTGGAAATGTGAAGGTCATGGGTTCAAGCCCTTTCATGGCACTACAGCCCTTTGGCAAGGTATTTACATTTGCCATTGATTACTGTTGGAAAGACTTAAATCACTACTAAATCTACTTATATCAGTATATATTATCTATTAAACACTTTTTTATTTGATTTTTTTTTAGATCTTGGAGATGAGTGTTATCTGACTAAATCACTGCTCCCAACATGTATATCAATTTGTTTTCTATCAATGACTCTTATTTATGTGCTTTTCATATCCTGGAGATATGAAAGTGATCCTACTCAGATGAATCACGGCAACCGTAATATTTTGTATCTATTAGTTGCTTTTTTTTTCTTCTTTGAATGTTTAAGATACAAGTTTGATCTTGCTTTAATACATAAATCACTAATACCTAAATAAATTTGTTATCCATTTTCTATTTAATAATTACTATCTGTTTTATTTTGTTCAGATCTTGGGGATACAAGTTTGATTCGACTGAAGGAAATCACTGCCACATCTTTATCTGTGACCTGGAGTCCCAATCAGTTTGCTACTGCGTACACAGTCTCCATTTCCCCAAATGAGGCTGAGGGAAACCCTGCGTTTAACGTAGCTGCTTCCAACAGACTATTTGCTGAGTTTTCTGGGTTGTCAGGAGGCACTCTGTATACAGTCACATTGCAAACAGATCCCCCTAGTGGTATTCCTTTGGTAGCTGACTTTAAAACAAGTAAGTGGAATACAGGGCCCTGTTTCATGAAACCTTTTATCAATAGCAAGTTACAATAACTGTCATAAGCTACTAAAATCAGGGCATTTGATTGACTGAGAGCAAATTTTTCATAGACATTTTGCATTTGTTATTGATAACAAGTTTTATGAAACAGGTCTCAGAACCCCCATGGGCGTTCAAACTTTTCTTCACGTCTGAATCAATCGGATTTGCCTCTTTCAATTGCACCAGATATATTTACTTTCCACACCTCAATAGTTCTACAACATACAAAATGTCGCATTTTGCATTTGTTATTGATGTAATAAATGACATGTGCCAAACAATTTTCGAAGAAAATGTATACTGGCTGAGTAATGAGCATAGAAAGACAAGGAAATCAAGGTAGTACTAGCCCCGACACCATTTATGTTGTCCCATATATAGCTTTCTGTGTACAGTGCTTGTTACTTTACCAAGACTGGGCCAAATTTATTATGATTTTGATGTCTCCAGAACCTTGCAGTGCACACCAATACTTATATGCTACATGATCAACTGTTTCTTATCCATTCCACACCTTTTCTTTCACAATGCAATCGCATACCAGAACTCACCTTTATCTTTAAAGAGATGGTTCATTGAAATGTGGAGAGTGGGCAAATTACACCTCTACAGATTGCCGAGAACATTAACAAAATGAACAAAGTACTTTTGAAGCCCTCACTGTTGTGAGGAATAAATTAAATGCAATGTTGTTACCCTTTCCTAAACCCACTCGCAAAGTGAATTGACGGCGTTATTTTACATTCGAAACGATGATGTCACAATATGAACAACCTACATCACACATTCGGGACAATGTTGGATACCCATTGCAATTTTCAGATATGGGTTAACGTTGTTTGTATATTTACCGCCAGTGGTGATATTTCCTCTATTTTTGGCATTTTGAATGAGATACAATGAATAAATGATGCTTTCTACAAATGTTTGTTTGATTTTTATATTTTTTTCCGTCACACTTGAGCATAAAAATTGGGAAAATAATCATATATTCTGAGGGCACTTCACTTCTGATCTGGGAAGGCAAAAGTCATTTTGCATGCTGGCCTCATGACTCTTTTGGAGTAAAAAAGGCGACAAATTTACATAGAAATGTCCATATATTCATTACAAAAATGTGTGATTAGGCTGATTAATTTACATTTTTGATTAATTAAGTCGTATAGGACCTGATAAACCGAGAGAAACAGATCAGTCCGGTTCGCGATTCATGGCTAGCTCGAGCACCGGGCTACGGGCTAGGCTGGCTATGCGCTAGCAAGCTGCGCTAGATGAGATGCACACATAGAGGTCAGTGTATTGCACACACATGCACAGAGTACGCACGCACAGCTACTAGCTACGGGAAACTTGAACGCTACATTGACGATATATTCACTCGCTTTTTTGAAGTTATATACCATCTGGAGAATACTCAAGTATGTTTCCGTCCATATCTATATTTCCAGGGGATTTTGATGAAGGTAAACATGTATAAATGGGTACGGTACTCGAGAGTCAACGCAGCATGTGAATCGCACACAAACTGCATCTCGCACCGTCGTCAATCATTTCAGCTGAGCGGCCCGCTGTTCATATTGTGACGTCACTTAAAAAATCAGCTGACTTACAATGTTTTTGGGGTGTTGAGTGGGTTGATTTTTCGTCACGTTCAATCAACTTTTATAAATTTCGCCCGAATGTACAAGTAACACAAATGTAATGATTTTACTTAAAGGTCTGAAAAGTAGCTTTAAAAAAAATCAATTGCCCCATCAAGTACTGATGTTATGTGCTTTGGAGTAGGTCATCTGAGCAAGTGCTATATAGACAAACTAGCATAGGACATCAGGGGTGATAGTGAGCACTAAAAAAAATTTTTTTGTTTGTTTTCCCCTCAACCACGTCCCCCTTGAGTAAAAAAAGAAGCGGATTCGCGGGGAAAAATGGCATCTAACAACATTCCCCCCTTTCGAGTAAGAAAATTCGGGAAAAAACTAGGGAAAAATAGGCAAGAATAGAGAAAATAAGGGGGGAATCCAGAAAATCAGGATAAAAGAGGGAAGAAAAAAGAAATCTGGTAAAAAAAAAAAAAAAAAAAAAAAAATATGTTTGTTTGTTTTTTTCGTTTTTTTTTAAATCAGGAAGAAAAAAAAAATGGGAAAAAATTGGGAAAAATCAAAAAAAATCAGGAAACCGATTTAAAAATCAGGCCTGAATTAGGTTCAGACATTAATTTTTCTGGAAATTCTCAAAGTTCATCATTCATTTTGTATGGTCTAGTGCACGGGTGGCCAACCTGCGGCCCGCGGGCCACATGCAGCCCGCGAGCTCTTCTTGTGCGGCCCGCGGAGCATTGAAAAAGTAATTATAAAAATAGTTAATGAATGGAATGCAGCCCGCATAACAGCGATGAAATAGAGTAAAACATTTACACACAGCTATCTCTATTTCCATAATTTGTTTTTATCATTCACAACATATTGATTCATTACGTGGCTTATACATAACTCCTCAAATTCCCTCTCATTACATTACATTAACGACATTAACATCACTCGCCGTGTTAATTTCAGTTTGTTATTTCCACATGCAGTAACCTTTGTAAATATACAAATAATAACAATAATAATAATCTTTTAAAATCCACTCCAAATTTTATTAAGTTAAACCGAAAATGGAAATTCTTTTTGCCCAATCGATCGTGAATCAAGAAATATGTTTGAAATGCCATACTTGTCTTAAAACTTACAACCCTTTTCTCCCGCCGTATAATTTTTTCATTAATCTTAATCGTGGATAGTCCCCTCATATTCTTTCTGCTGTGTCATTGATTTTGTTTGAAATAACAACCAACATGGCATCGATTTCGAGACGTGCGAAGAAAAGGAAAGTTTCTGATGAAGACAGAAACTTTAAATCGGATTGATCTCTGAAGTATTTCTTCATAGAAGAGAAAGGTAAACAACTTTGCCTCATATTTTGTCAGCCAGAAATCACACTAAAAAAGTAAGCCTGATTTTGTTCGACTGATTTTGTTGTTTGCAAAATTGCAGGTGTGTACATGAGTGTGTGTGTGTGTGTGGGGGGGATTTCAGATTTGGTTTTGACGGGGTGTGCCGCTGAAGCCTCGTAACCTCTACCCATTTTTTTAAAGGGTTGCCTTGTTTTGGCAGATTTTTGTTGAAAGTAAAGCCCATTTTATAAAAAATTCCGGGTGTTTGCATGGCTAAAACCCTGATTTTTTTTTTAAATAATTTTTTTGAAAACACGGACCCATATTTAGGATATTTCTGTAAAAAATGGGACCCAAGTTTAGGGATTCTTTTTGTAAAAAAGGTTACCCATTAGAGCGGCACACCCCGTATGTCTCAATATGTGATTACCCCCCCCCCCCCCCCCCCCCCCCCCCCCCCGCCTGGCCTACGGCCCACCAAGTTATGACAATCGTTAGATGTGGCCCGCGAGCTTTAAAAGGTTGGCCACCCGTGGTCTAGTGGATAAGTCTCTGGAATGTTAAATACAGGTTTCAAATCCTGGCTGCAGCACTAACGTCTTCAGGCATCACATTAAAGGTATGGACCAGTTTTGGAAAACGCCCCCTCTCAAAAAATGAAATGGAAGCTCTTATTACCAATCATGTGAAAGAATATGTTTTTGACTAATGTGTGAGGATGAAATTTTGCCGGGAAAATTAACAGCCTACCAATTGATATATTTGGTAAATTATCATATCGATCCGGCCTGGATAGCTATTGCGAATGCACTTCAACATTGAACATTTGGGCATAGATTTCTGCTTTTTTTGCAAATTGAGATTGAAGTATTGCAATCTAAACCTCTGAAGGCAATATTTGAACAATATTGAATGGATATTTTGCACCCAAAACCCTTGAACCGCAATTTTACCAAACCTGGTCTATACATTTAATTTAAATCTGCTGCACCTGACCAAGGTGAGGTAAATGAGACCCTGACAGGAATTATTTCTGTAAAGCGCTTTGAGAGGGCCTCTGGTCCTGAAAAGTGCTATATAAGAACGAGCTATTATTATTATTATTATTATTTCCTTGTAATGCTAGATTGCCATATTGGCAGCCATGCTAAAGCTGTGATAATTACTTTATGAGTGCAAGGAGTGTCAAGTCTGACAGCGCTAGGCCCTAAAAAAATATGTTGTATTGCCCTTTTTATAGGTGCCAAATCATGGGTCTGTCGGTTGGAAATCTTTTTTTTTTTTAACTCCCTCTTTGGGCTGATAATTTTCAGTTTGGAATGCTTTAATACATTTTTTTCTTTTAAAAAGACAGTTTAAAAAAAATTAAAATTAAAAAGCCGGCAGTCTTTTTTTTTTAGGCCTTATATAAGAATGACTACTATTATTCTAATTATCGATAGACACAAAAATTCCAAGAACTATGGCATCTTTTCAAAATAGAAACTAAAACCAATAGCTCTTTTTGAAATAAAACATTTACTCGCACATATGCCCTTAAAGGGGAAGTCCACCCGGATATTTAGTTAGTTTTAATAGAAACAGAAAACTAAAAGGAACAGGTCATTGAAAGCTTGAACAAAATCCATTTAAAGATAAGAAAGTTAAACAAAATTAAAATTGTGATCAATCAAAAACAAATTAACAATTATGTCACACATCTTGGCAGCTCCCCTCCCATTTGCTCGTTACAGAAAGTTACATTAAATTTCATTTTCTTAGTTATTGATGATGGAACAGATTTTTGTCATACAGGAGCTGTAAAAAAACATATTTGCGACAATTATATTAAGGGCGCATGTATGACTGAAAATTTGCAAAAATAACAAAATTCAGAATTTTCGGTACAGAGCAAATGGGAGGGGAGCTCGCAAGATACGTCACAGAGTTGCCAATTTATGTTTGATCAATCGCACCTTCCTCTCAATTTTCTGCTTCCATTAAATTCAACTTAATATCAGGATAGACTTCCCCTTTAAAACCCCACTGCACTACTTATAGCTACTTGTGCAAACAATGCCTAATGGATGCCAGTTGGTCCCCCATTATCCTCTTTTTCTTATGTTAATTGAGAGCTGATTTGATGCAATAACCACCTGTCAGTGACCTTGCAAGGAGGTCTAATCCCCCTGGCCAAACTAGTACAGACAGGCTTTAACACATCACAATCAAACAAGTCTGTTAGAGCGGAGTGCTTGGCTGGTGCAATAGAAAAAGTGGAATATTCATCAATACCATTGAAAAGCTTTACATCAAAATTTTATCTTCTTTTATCAGCTCTGTCTCCACCATCATCACTGGTTGCCGAGACTCTTGATGCGGATGATACAATAGGCCTTCAGCTTAGCTGGGCGCTACCGACAGGAAAATGGGATGCCATTAAGTATGTATCAAAATTGAAATTAAGCATTTATTATTCATTCAGATTGTGTTTTTTTTTATTGGTAAAAGTTAACAGATCACTTTACAAAAAGAACTAATCATAGATAGGTACAGTAATGGGAAAACAGAGTCATAACAGCTTCAGTTTGGTACATGAAATCAGTTTGGTACGGTGAGGATGCCGACAGAGCGAGATAGCTGCAGAGGACCAAAGGTAGGTAGGCAGAGAAGTCTACTCTAAAGGCTTGTTCAGATATGACACAGCAAAACTACTGCATCTTTTTAATGTTTAGGATGACATGCGATTCACATTTCTCTATCTCATAACAACATAAATATTTTATTTAAACATATTTGTGGCTTACACCCAGTAAATAAGATCGATTGATCGATCTTATTTACTGGGTTTAAGTCAAAATCCAGGAAGCATTACATTTATAAAAACATAAATCTTTATATGCCAAACAAATAATTTCCCTGTGCCGCCAAAGTATTGACCCACAAGATATATACTGTACCAGTGTTAAAAGGGTTGACTTGGAGCTATGAATTTAGACTGGAAATGGGTAATATGCAAAGCCATTGTGTAGTGCAAACCAATTTTTCCCGTCAATTGGTGCTAATTATTCTCTGCAAAATGGCATGTGTGGTAATTGAGCAACTGTTAACAAAGGCGAAGTGAGGAACCAAAAAGTTAATACCGTAAGGTGAAATATCAGTCTTTCCTGGTAATGATGAAAGATTAATTTCTAAAAGTTGTATTATTTTTTATTTTTAGTGTTCTATCTGTTCTCATGTTGCACTTATGTGTATAATTGCTTGTACTTGTATGTCATACATTTCTAGCACAGGTGCACATTGAACATTTGATTTCAAGTGAGTTTGGCGCCTTGCTTGTGATAGAGTCTAACACAGTTATCACCTCATATAAATGATATATATCTATATATATACATATGAAGAGTTTGTCACAAAATGAAACACATGTATGTACATTTCAGCCATCCAAGAGAAACAACATTTTATTCTAACCCTGAGTGTATGCAAGAACATGAAATCAAGAAATAAAATGAAACGATCATTTCACAGGTATTAAAATAATGGTGGAATATTTACACTCAATTTTTACACCTTTGAATTTGGAGCGAGACCACTAGGTATGACCCTCTACAAAACATTGTATTTACAGAATTACCTACACTCCAATGAACGGAGTAAGTCAGTATAAGATGGTTGGTAAAACAGTGACAAGTACCACGCTGGAAGGACTTTACCAGGCAACTGAGTACACGTTGGATGTGAGGTCGGTGTCAGGACTTGATGATCTTGCAGAAGAAAGCGAGCCAGTCTCACAAAGGACTTTGACTAGTAAGTACACTGCATGGCCCAAATTCACTCACATCAGTTTTGACTCTTTATGTGTCCCCGAGATGTATGGGGCCAAGGAGATTTCAAGGAACAAAGTTTTGATACTATGTAATTTCTGCCACTTAGGAAGTTGTTCCCAACAATTAGTTAATCATTCACACCTTTTAGTATTACATTATTCTCACCAGTTACTAATTGTTTTCCACCACATATTAAATCGTTCACACCACATAGTAAGTCATTCACACAACTTAGTAAGTCATTCACACAATAGTATAAGTTATTCTTACCAGTTACTAATTGTTTTCCACCACTTATTAAATCGTTCACACCACTTAGTAAGTCATTCACACCACTTAGTATTAAGTTATGTTTACCAGTTAATGATTCTTTTCCTCTTAGTATGTGATTCCCACCACTTATTAACTCGTTCACGTCACTTAATAAGTCATTCCCGTCACTTAGTGAATTGTTCACACCACTTAGTCACTCACCCCATTGGGTATTAAAAGTGGTTCATACCACAGTGGGTTGTACCCACTATTTAGTAAGTTGGTCCCGCCACTTAGTACGTTGTACCCACCACTTAGTAAGTTGGTCCCATCACTTTATAAGCAGGCGCGGATCCAAGAGGGACGAGCAGGCCTTGCCCCCCCCCCCCTGCAAAAATAAAGAGAGAGAGAGAAAACTCAGAAGGAAAACAAGGGAAAGGGAAAGAGGAGAAAAAGGGAAAGAAAGAAGAGGAAGAAGAAGAAAAAAGGGGGGAAAGAAGATCGGGGGAGGGGCCAAAAGGCCCTTGCCTCCCCCCCCCCTGCCCCAAAAAGGGGGGAGTGAAAGGGAAAGATGAGAGCTAAAAGGGAACAAAAAAAAGGAAGGAGAAAAGAAAAGGGTGAAAAGAAGGGGAGGACAGTTGCGATTCATTCCGCCAACAATGTGTGGATCGGGGGGGGGGGGGCGAAAGTCCTGTGCCTCCCCCCAGCAAACCTAAAACAGAGAGAAGGAAGGGAAGAAAATGGAAAAGAGGAGAGAAAGGGAAAGAAAAAAATGAGAAAGAAAAAAGGTAGGGGAGATCAGTTGCGATTTTTCCCGCCAACAAGGTGTAGATTGGGGGGGGGGGGGGGGGTGGGGGGTGACAGATGCCCCCCAAATATTATTAAAACATGTTTTATTTCTAGTTCGATACCGGTGATTTACAAATGTTGCTCAATTGACATAATTTTCTGAGATTTTCACTCAGTCTTGTGTAAATTATACTTTTTAATGCATTTGTTGGAAAATGACAAATTCCTAAAGAAAGAAAGAAAAAATATTGACCTGCTTTTGTCACAAAATAATGAGGTGTCAAAATTTGCTCATCTGACCGTAATTGAATGCCTAAAACCCTTTGAATTCCAGTGGCTCTGCCACCTGGACACCACCTAGGGCCCTAAGGTGGACTCTTGGATGCTCATCTGACGGTAATTCAATGCCTAAAACCACTGAACTTCCGAGCCTCCGCCCCCTTGACCCCACCAGGGGCCCTAAGGCGGGCCCTGCATGCTTTTTTGACCGTTTTAAAATTCCTAAAACCTCTCAGCTTCTGGGGGCTCTGCCCCATGGACCCTACGCCAATTATTTACCTGCCAGTGTCACAAGTAAGGTATCAATATGCTCATCTGACCGTAATAAATGCCTAAACCCCTGAGCTTTCGAGGCTCTGCCCCCCTGAACCAAACATATGGCCCTAAGGCGGGCCCCTGGATGCTCATCTGACTGATATCTAAAACCCCTGAGCCTCCAGGGCTCCCCTGGACCCCAAGCCAATTAGTGACCTGCAAGTGTCACAAATTAGGTATACAAAATATACTCATCTGACCAAAATTTATTGCCCCAAACCCCTGAGCTTCTGGGGGCTCCGCCTCCAGGACCCCACGCCAATTTGTGACCTGACGGTGTCACAATAAGGTATCAAAATATGCTCATCTGATGGTAATTTAATGTATAAAACCCTTGAGCTTCTGGGGTTCTGCCCCCTGGACCCCACGCCAATTCGAGACCTGCCAGTGTCACAATAAGGTATCAAAAATCATGGGAGACAGTGAGCATGGGAATCAATAATGCCTTTTACAATACTTAATTACATCAAGATTAATAATAATGGAAAAAAGCAATCAATGATCTACTAATTTCGTATATGTAAGAGTGGGGTGATGCAGATTTTTTGTCTACCCCCCCTCCCCAAACATATTTGCTCATTTCGCCACTGCCGGTGTCACCATTACGAACCAATATTTTGCTCGCATAATTTCAATTTTGGGCCCCCCCTAAGAAATCCTGGATCCGTGCCTGTTTATAAGTCATTCACACCACAATGCTACATTAAGTCATTTCCGTTTGGTCTCCTGATTTAGATTAGGAAGTCGTGGGAATGACTTAGAAGTGATGGGAACAATGTAATATAATGTTTTTCTTCTCAAGAGTTGTTTTTAATAACTAAAGGCTTCCAGTGACTTTTTGGTAGAAAAAAACTACTATACACATGTAATAAATGTCAGGACTTACAAAGGGTCATTTTAGTTTACTAGATGGATGGTGCTGTCATTCTGCTAATCACAACCTACTCTGCATTGTTCGTGTCAGTTGACACTCTTTGCACCCCTACCCCTCCCCCCTCAAATACAAACTGGCACTCATTGCATGAATATTACTGGTAATAATAGTGGTGATAATGATATTGTTAAAGGGTACATATCTATCATGTATTTTGGTCACTTATATTTTTATTGCAATGTAAAATACAGTTGAATTGAATTTGATTGAATTTGATTTGATTGCAAATTTATTTCACAACCAGGGAGTCTTCCAGCTGACACTATGATAATCACCATGATAAATGAGACCACGGTGTCTATCATCTGGACTATCTGGGACGGCATCACCATATTTGATGTAATTGATCAGTTCACGGTCACAGTTGACAGTCAACTTTTGGATGAATCAAGAGTGATGCTAACAAACCTGGTGCCAGCCTCTTTGTATAAAGTCTCTGTGAACGGCCTCACCGGACCGAATGATGAAATCGTGAGAGATTTCAGAACAGGTATTTATTATGCAATAACAACAAAAACATCAGTGTTAATAATGATGATATTACTAATAGTAATGATAACAATAGTTATAATAATGATGATAATGATAACAATACTACTACTACTAATGATAATAGACAAATAATGATAATAATAATGAAAATATTGATTAATATATTTATAATGATAAAGATAATAAAGATGCTGATAAAAATAATAATAATACAAATAATGATTAAAATAATGATAATAGAAATAATAATGATAATAATTTTAATAATAAGAATGAAAATGGTAATAAGGATAATAATAGTGATAATATTAATTTCTTATAATGATAATAATTCTTATTATAGTATCTAACAAATTTAAGTCACCAAATCCACTTGAAAAATCCACTGCTCAAGGCACATGTGTGAAAAAGATGAAATCATAAGAGTATTTGCATTATACACATGAACAGAACAGGAGTTAGATCGAACATTCAATAAATGAAAGAGAATAATTAATATTATATCAATTCAAACAGATGTATTTTAAGATTATTAATTTGATTATTTGATGATACAAAGATGCAAAGAATGTTAATAATTAGAACATCTGAGGGGTTTCTTCACACATCCTACAGCAAATTGCTGCATCATTTTCTTGTTTCAGTAAATGATTGGCAAGTGGGGACTAAAAGCGAACTGCTCATATTCAAACAAAGGTCCTACGCCCACTTTCTTCTGTGTGTGTTATTACTTAAAAAAAAAAAACTGTTAAGTCCAGTTCGCTGAAGTATGGTTGGAAAAACCTCTGTGGTAAAACTGTGGCAGATTTGTTAACAAACTAAACTTTAAAGATAACTTGTCACCAGGCACCATTAAACCACAACTTACATCACATGGTGTGATTTACAGTTAGAGCACAATAAAAGTGTTCATGGTTAAGGGGGTCAAATTTTAGTTTGTAGTGTTCCCTGAAAGGATATACTTTCTTGTATGTAATTTCAACATTTTGAAGCACCAAATAATTTGGGCAGATTTTTGTATCATCAGTTAGAGCTCAATAAAAGTATATATATTGTCAAGGGGTCAAAGTTTAGTTTGTAGTATTCTCTGAAAGGATATACTGTAATGTATAATATGATATAATGTAATTTCAACATTTTGAAGCACCAAATAATTTGGGCAGATATTTGTAGACCTAAAACTTTTTTGATTTTGAGCTTGTTTTTAATAATTTTTCTTAATGGCCCTGGCTACTTGTCTCCCTGAGATCTCCTGTAACGTAAGACAGTGTATTAACCCTATATAGCCCGGGCTATTTTGAAACTGCATAGCCCAGGGGGGGGGGGGGGGGGCTTCTAAGGCCTGTGATCGCGGCCGTGAAACGTCCTATCGCCGCAAAAATTTGCATGCATGTCAAGTGAAGTGTATAGAATACTATGGTAGTTTCAATTTTTTTTTGAAAAATTCACTCATTTTCATATTTATGGTAATTTATACAAATATGGTAATAACATTCACATTTTTTTCCATAAATCATATATATTCTTCATATTTAAACATTAATTTTCACTACATATATTATTTAGACCATTTGGGATAATAATACAGCCAAAAAATTGGAAGAGCCGGACTATTCCTTATGTTTTCTATTGTTTTGATAATTTCTTATGTATTTTTTTTTTTTAAGTTACGTAGTTTATTGTTTTTGTTGTTTTATTTCATTTCCAACTATGATTCAACTATTTTGACCCCAAAATAAACACCAAAACTATAAACAAGACCAAATAACCATTTTATCTCTTTATTTGAAAAATGAGATTTCCATATGTTTTGTACACAAATCACAAAAATGAGCGATTTTCGGGCTGACATGCTAAGACAAAAGGACACGTGACTTTGTAATGGTAGGTCCGATTTTCGGAAAAATTTCTTTCAAAAGATGCGCAAGACTTGAAAGAAAAAAGTCACAAAATTTCAGTGCAAGATTTTCTTGCGTTAAAAAAAATTATCGCGAAAAATGTCGAGGGGGGGGTTCTAAAGCCACCCCCGGGCTAGATAGGTTTAAGGCTGATGCATCAATACCTCATTTCAGATTCCTGTACCCTGATAAATTTCACTTTGTTTCTTTCACATTGTAGAACCCTCTCTTCTGTCTTTTAATGCCGAGTTCTGTGTATTGAGATAAAATATTACTCTGTTTCTTTTACATTGTAGCGCCCTCACCACCATCTAAAATTGAGGTGACTGAAGATGAATCTACTGATGCGGAGATCACTTTCACTTGGACTTCATCGCCTGGTGCTGAGTTCTACCGCCCTATTCTATTACGCCCTGATGGTAGTGAACTTTCTCATCCTGATGGCGATGTTCCTGCCACCAGTGCACTTGTGGCCACTTTCAAAGGCCTCCAATCCGGCACGGCATATGAACTGATTGTCAGGTCGGGACTGTACCTGTTTTCACAGTTCCCTGAAATCTTGAGTCGAGCTGTAACGACTGAACACACCACAGGTACAAATTGACATACACATTCAATACTTATGTCAGAAATATGAGTAGTTTTTGTCATAGATAATATACTTAGCCAACTTTAGTATTCAGTTGCAGATTTTGTAAATTTTACCTTCAGTTTCCCAAGCTCCCAAGCAGACTTGACCCTTACTGTACTGGACTATTTTGAGCACCTCGTGACTGGGGGGGGGGGGGGGGGGGGGGGCTGGGAGGCCCCCCCCATATGATCTCGGCCGTCGAAATTCCGATGAACGCAAAAATTTGCATGTTTGTAGATATTTACGTAAGGAACAAAATGGTATAATTAGTTTTTTCCTAATATGCAAATTTTGGTCGTTATAGCCTAATTAATTATGCAAAATGCTAATTTTATGCATTTTACAGAAAACTCTTCATTTTTGTCCGTAGACTTGTGAAGAATGTTGAAAATTTATTGAATAAATGTTTCCTTCATCTCAAAGTCATGAGGTTACATTATTTTTATTATATTTGAAAATGCATAGGTTAATTTGCATAAATTATGAATACGCATTCATGAATGTCAAATCTAGAAATATACAGGGAACTAGAATCATTACAAAAATTGTCAGACTCCACTTTTTGAATGTAAATTGAAATATTCATATGAAACTTCTTTTCTAACACAAAATAGTTATTTTGATGTAATTAAATAAATTAATAATGATAATTTATGCAAATTTGATGCGATTTTCAAATATTTATTTTCTTTTGTATTTTATTGTTTTTTATTTCTTATTATATCTGTTTTATTTCTAATGTATTCTTTTGTTCTGGAATACATCAAGTTACTTTGAGAAACATATAAAAGCAATTTGGTATCAATTCAAAATTCCAAGCGGTTGCGGCGCAATCTCCGAAAATGTCGAGGGGGGGGCCTCCCAGGCCCCCCCCCCCCCCCCAGTACAGTAAGGGTTAATCCAATTATTGTGGAGGCCTTGATTGGCAGGCATATGGTTATCATACACAATTATCTTTTGCTATGAATTATTATGCGATGCATTAATTGTGCATAATTTTGGATAGACCATGTGACATCACAGTGCTACAGTGCTCGTCAGTGAGTATTCCGTCTAAAAGTTGATTTACTTAAGTAAAATACTCAGATACCATTGGCTGCCGGCGAGGAGAACATAAGATCTATAATATAGTTCATGGAAGTTACGGTACATCATTCTTGCAGGCAGCTAACAGTATTATACACCTACGTTTTTTTCACTGAGTGAAAATGCATAATGGTGCTAAATGAGTAAATTACTTGGATATACAAGGACTATCCGATTCCAACGAAAAGTGTTATTTGTTTCTAAATTTGAAGTAAAGAAAATTACCTGAAGTTTTCCCCCATCGTTATTAAAACATGTTTTGTGAGATTTGTATGTCTTTTTTCATGTGTTTTACTCAATTTGTTCACACTGCGCATGTTTCTTTTCTCTGTTTTTGTTTACTGTTTAGGTGGTATTTCCAATACTACGGTTACAGAGGTTGCGAAAACCTCCTCATCGGTTACGCTTGCTCTCATCCCTCCAAATCTGAGTATAACGGTACTCTTCATAGATGTCTACACCGATTATGATACACGAATCACTTCAGCGTTTCAGGCTTATAATGATGAATCTCCCCTTCCACCTATTGTTGAGCAAACGATTCCAGGCCTCTCGCCTGCTACCACGTACAGGCTCAGGATCTCTTGGGGAAACGACAATGAAGAATACTACTTAACAACATGTAAGTAATATTTACATCAAATTATTAAGCGCAGATATATAGGCTGCTTTACCCTTCATTAGCATGATGCAGTCTCCTGTAGGCTCTCCTATAGTTTAAGTTGACTGGCAAGGTTTTTACTTGCACTGGAATTAGCATATTTTACTGTAAATGGACAAGTGCTTTGTCCACACACCATTTCTTTACTTCATGGCACTCCTTGCAGTTACTCGCCTCACCTACCATCCCAGTATATCTTCCTAAGTGAGCTTCAAAAGGAATTGTATCAAGTATCAAGAACTTTATAAATATAAAGCTTACTGGATAGTGATGGAGAAAAAAAACGCCCAAACGGACCACAAACTATTCAAAAGCTTCAGAAAAACATGTGCTTGTTCCAAGAAACCTTTGAAGACTGCAACAGACGAGGCTTTTCTTATGTCTAGTGGCACTTTATTCCAATTAAAGCTTTGAAGCAGCACAACTGAAAGCGCAATCTCCAAGACTAACTTTCGTTTTTGTTTTAGGTAGCTTTAGAAGCAGCTTGTCCTGTGTACTTTGTAAGTTATGTGAATCTGGATGTGATTTAAGAGATAATAATTCAGACATATATAATGTGAATGTTAATGCCCTATATGTTTGTTCTCTCTATACTCCTTTAATGTTGAATGTTCCATGTCACATGTATATTTTATTCTTATTTTTATTTGAAAAATGCATGTAAATTTGAATTGATAAATACTTTGGGGCTTGACCATTTAAAGCTTTGTAAACAAGCAAAAGTTTCTGAAAGACAATGTTACTAATAATGAAAAGAGGTGTATCATGGAAATATTTTGAGTAATTCAAAACGAGTATTGCACAAGTGTCTAGAATTCAGTTATGACGAGGTAGTGGCTTCTAAGTAATATATTAAGCTATCATCACTGTCATAATAAGATGAAGTGGGTAATGTTTGTAAGTAATATACAACGCTGTCAACTAGGCCTGAGTCATGTCGGGATTTTCATAAACCAGGTCGTGGCGGCCTTGCACGGATCGGGACCCGGTGTCCCGAAATCAGCTCGCAGGATTTGTCACTTGCCTCTATAAAAAGCGCATATCATCAGTATCCCTTAAAAGTGACCTTTTCTTTCAGTTAAATAAATCATCACATGCATACCTCGGCACAGATCGGTATATTCTTCCATTTGACATTATTTTCATCCATGATTGGCGATGTTTAGTGCCATTATCGTGCCTCTAAAAGTAAAAAAACTGGAGCGAAAATAGAAAGACAACAATCGAGCCGCCATTTTGATTCATGCAGGTTGAATAAATCGGGTCAAAAAATATGAATGTTAGAATAATAAAACGGCTATCTAAAAAATTCTTCTTTAAAGCATACCAATCAAATAATTTGTTAAAGACAAAATAAATATTTATCTCTTATTTTAAACATCGCATGCTTTTTTTTTTAAACTGAAAATTACTTGGTAATCACAAGAAGTTTCGATACAGAATGCTGTTGCAAGGCAAGTTCAGACTAGTCACGGAAAAATGCGCAGTGCAACTCGTTAGCTGTAATGCGTGCCAGACCGAACCCAAACAAATATACTTGATCGTAACAAGAAATCATTCAGAACTACGAGAGCACAATTGGAAAGACAACTACTGCTCAAAATTACCATAATCAGATACATTACTTGGACAAAGAATTCAATAATCGCCCAAGAAATGCCACAGAAATTGTGATAATCGAGGAGTAACTGGGTACATTTTTATCGCAAGGGGCCTGCTGCAAATACTTGAATCCTTTGTTATACTGCTTTTACCGTAGAGGGCGGTATTTGGTTTCTAGCCTCGTTTTCAATTTAAACACGTGTAATTCGGAGCAGCAGGGCCATTCCAATAATAATTGTACCTATAGTAACTCCTTAAATATCACTATTTCTGTGGCTTTCCTTGGACAACTATTGTATTCTTCCTCCAAGTTATGTATCTGCTTACGATAATTTTGAGTAGTTGTCTTTCCAATTGTGCTCTCGTAGTTTTTAATGATTTTTTGTTCTCGCTACGATCACGTATTTGTTTGGGTTCGTTTGGCACCATTACAGCCAATGAAGTGCAGTGCACAGCGCATTCTTTCTGTGACTAGTCTGATCGAACAGCTATCAGTATCAAAACTTGTTGTGATTACTAAGTAATTTTCAGCTTTTAAAAGAAACATATTACATATTTCATTTTTTTTCCGGAGCCTCGGTTTCCAAAAAACGATACCGGGACCCAACGGCGACGGTCAGGATTCGGTGTGACCGACCGTACCGACTCAGGCCTACTATCAACGCTAACGAAACTACACGGTGATGAAAAGAAAATGGAAATGAGGTAAAGGGCATGAACAGCTGTATGAGAGAGAAACGATTTGAAGATCTAAGAATAACAAATGGAGCCTTTTTCATATTCAAATTTTTGACCAGTGGTTTCATTTTTTTTCAGTGCCATCAAGTCCTACAATATTGAATGTGTTTCCCAGCTCCGACGGTCAATCTTTCCTTCTCAACTGGAGTCCCCCAGTACCATCAGACAACGTCTTTGGATACAAGATCCTGTATTCACCGTCGAAAGAGGATGATGGGGAGACGGAGTTATTTGCTGCCCCCATGGACACATCCAGGGCAGTTCTTAATCTCGTGCCCGGGGTTCCTTATACTTTCTCATTGTCTTCACTGGTTCAGAATCAGAGCGGTGATGTCTTCTTGGAGAGCGAACCCCTCGTCCGCACTTTCACATTAGGTAAGTACAATTTTTACATTATTTTCAACTTGACCCAATGAAACCGGGGGGGGGGGGGGGGGGGGGTTCAAAGCACCTCCCCCCCCCCAGGCTAGGTAGGTTTAAGCCTCATCTAGATTTATATACAGTTACCAGCTAATTATGTGGTTTTACATCTGTGCGAGAAAAAAAAAAATCATAATTTCAAAAATTATGTGTGACGGGTGCGCCTTTTGTGCCACTACATTTCTTAAGCTATCTTGGTCCTACATGTATCTCACTTTGTATACGGTAAGTGCTATTAACTTAAATACAGTGATCAGATAAACTTACCCCCCCCCCCCCCCCCCCTTAGGCTAGATAGGTTTAAGCCTCATCGATCTAGATGTATATGCAGTTACCAGCTGATTATGTGGTTTTACATCTGTGCTAGAAATAAAAAAATCATAATTTCAAAAATTATGTGTGACGGGTGCGCCTTTCGTGCCACTACATTTCTTAAGCTATCTTAGTCCTACATGTATCTCACTTTGTATAAGTGCTATTAACTTGAATACAGTGATCAGATATACTAACTTCTTTATGTTGTCAAGAATGTATCAGGGTTGCCACAGTCGTGGTAAAACCTGGGGGTGTTTCACAAAGATTCTAAGTCAACTTAACTCCAAGTTGGACTTAAAAATTATGGAGAGCCATTTGTTGCCTTAAAATCAAATATATTCAAAAGCAAAAATTCAAGTATTTTAGGCTTTTCATAAATTCTTCATCAAGAACATGAAATCTCCCATGATAATAAAAAATATGAATGATTTGAATCAACATTTTATGCCTTTTTGAAATAACTTTTACAAAATATTTTCAAAGATGCTAACGGCTTTTCATAATTGTTAAGTCCAACTTAGAGATAACTTCAATTAAGGGTCTTTGTAAAACTCCCTCCTGGAAAGTCATGGAAATTGACCTCTCCTAGAAGGTCATGAAACATGTTACAAACAAATCTCCCAGTCATGGAAAATCATGGACATTGTAATAGGGGAAGTAGGGGCTATCACACGCATGCATATCACTGTGTGATATTTGTACGCTGCTTGGATGCCACAACCCGTACTTAACTGGTAGTTATCTTGTCCTGGAAAAGGGCAAAAATGGGTTATGGGCCTTGGTTCTCAAACTGCCCATGGTAGAAAATAGCTTTCACTCGCCCTTACTTTGGTATAATTATCTTTGTTTCTTCTATGCAGATACCACACCAGGCCAAACCTACGTACTCTCCAGGACCAACAGCTCCATTGAGTATATCTGGACACAACTTAACCTTGCCCAGCCATCTTACTTCATATTGACTTTGACTTCAAATGGTGAACAGGTTGGGGATGTGGTGAAGGTATCTGGCTCCTCTCGGCCCAGCGCCTGGTTCGACGGATTACAGTCTGGGACGGCGTATGAACTGACTGTAAATCACTACAGCTTGTTCGTGCTAGGAACTCCTCAATCACTGATTGGAACAAACAGTGTTATCACAACAACAAGTAAGCAGCAAAGTACATTTATATCATGTTAGTGTTCCGGGAAGGCTGTCTCATTGAGGCCTGTACGTCATCCCTGTACACCAACACATGTAAAAAGTGTACGGTAGTTCATCATCACCAGACATTTAATGCGTGTATCATGAAACAGGAAAAAGGGTATCAAATTCACTGGAGATCAGAAGACACATGGAAAGGGTAGGAATTTTTATAGCCCCGGTCAGGAGCAGAGGGTCAGACAGGATTTTTTTAATCCTTAGGAAATACACAATAAAAAGTAAGATAATAGCGGGAGTAAGAAGAAGCAATCCTCAAATAGAGTGTACAATACCATGCAAGATACAAAATCCCTGGTGAGGGACTAAACAACTGGGGATATTAAACAGGTTTCCATGTATGGGGTATCAAAACTACTTTAGACTTTGATCCTCATTTAGTATGGTTTTCAGAAATTGATTTTACGTGGATGATGTACATGTGCTTATTGTGACCTACTCTCCCTTCGAGTCGAGTGCATGCATGTACTTCATGGTAGTGATAAGTGTGCATTATGTTCATTTTCAAAGCTTGATGCATTTTTGTGTTTGTCATATACATCATTTGTGCTCAGTAATGTTTAGCCCTTATTGAGGTACCGCATGGATTAGCAATATCCTTTGTTCTTTTGTAGACCCAAACCGCCCAGGACCTGTCACCGTCATCACTGTGGAGCAAGTGTCACTTATCGTGGGTTTCGAAGAACCTCCTCTTGCCACCAATTTTGATAGCTACGAGGTTTCCTTCAGCCAAGACGGGAGCAACATCGAGGTGTCCGCTGGGTCTGCCGGTGTCAATGACACCATGTTCAGGGTTGAAGGTCTTAACCCAGATACGTTGTATACCATCTATGTGAGGACTGTGAGTGGGACTGGGCCATCACGAAGTGTCAGTGAACCATCCACGGTTCAAGAAGCCACATCATGTAAGTCAAGATTCAAGATTCAAGATTCAAGATAATTTATTGTCATGTAACAGATACATACATTTGTTTTCAGACATTTGAAGGTGCATAATGATACATGTACATGTACATCAAGTCATAATTCATATTTCATTCCCTCACCATTCGTTAAGGATCAAATCAGCTGTATCGTTTGTCTGAATTGTGAGTAATTTATTGAATTGTAAAAATTGTAAAATTTGTGAAACGGTAGAGGTATTGTTGTCTAGTGGATAAGATTCCGGACTGTGAACCACCAGGCACAGGGTTCAATTTCCTTTTGCAGCACTAATGTCCTTTGGCAAGCCATTAATCTACATTTGCCACAGTCCATCCAGGTGAAGTAAATTGGCAGGAATTAATGGCTTAAAATGCTTGAGTGCTGGAATGGCAGCCGTGCTAAAGCCAAGGTAATGGTAATGGAGTGGCAATGTGCCAGATGTGAGCGCTATACAATACTCCACTTTTATTATTTTTGTTATTATTATCAAACTTCGAGTTAGTTTCAGACCCCTGTTAGTGTAATTGCATGCATAATGTAAATCTGAAGAATCGCTATTAGAAGGAATTTTTTTTCTCACTCCATGCTTTGACCTTGCACGATCAATCGCATCACCAATGCAGTATGTAACTCAATCGAGTACCGAAGTGTGACGTCATACTGGCCAAGTTGTCTGGGTTGCAGGTTCTAAATAACTTTGTGCTAAACAATGGTGTGGTTATCACACCCAAGCCTTACACTGAATTTGCCCTGCTCCAGCCCGTTGCTTAAAAGAATTTGCGGTGAATCTCATGCGTAGGCTCTGTGATTAGAACCAGTGACCTGGACAATGAGCCAATATGACGTTTGGTGCTCAATATACCCATCGATAATACCGTGACACGCATGAGATGCGCAGGTCATTGATCAGATTTTCCCTATCCATTTAATCTTACAGCTACATTGGAGCTCGGTCAGATCATTGTTCAAACTGTGGACACCACTTCGATCACATTTACATATGGAGTGAACAACAGCTTGGCAGGAGAGGTCTCCTTCCTACCCACACGATCTCCAAGCGATGGCACCATACGTCACATTGCTGCAGAGCGACGTGTCTTCCTCACCGGTCTTATACCTGGAAAGAGCTACACACTTACTCTTAATGTTGTTGGAGGTGATGATACTGTGTACACGGAATCTACAAGGACAGGTATGTATTGCGCCCTATTGGGCCAAAATGTTTGAGTTAATGTCCTTCGATCTGGCTCCAAACAGACGATATATATACTTATTTGAACATGAAATGGAGAACAACAAATTAATGAGATCTGAAGTTCTGTTTAATATGAAAGCTTTATATGCATGTTGCTTTCAAATTCAATTTCAATTTAGTGTCCAATATTGGAAATTTGTATTGCTCACATTTTACAAACGTACACAGAATCAAAATAAGTTTACATACATAATTTATCATATACATTGACATAGAAATTCTTCAGAATATTGTGTTATACAGAAGTTCTCTTACATTATTATAAAACAAAATAAGTGAATTTATTTAAAGTATTCGAGTGAACGGGAGTCGAAATATGAAATGAAATATAAGCATAGCATTAATCAGCTTTGCCTCTATAACAATTTTGCATTTCACTCAAATTAATTATTCAAGGCAGGAAGGGGTTACTCTTATTCATGAATGGCACTATGTAGTGCAACACGAATGGACTTGTGGATTTTCGATTGACTTTGGCACTTTATGCTCATGTACAGTTTGTAATTAAGAGATTTTTGATCAAAGGATAAAGTACATGTAAAATGTCACTGAAAAATGACACTAAACTGCTATAGGTTAACTGGTATAAGAACATAACAGGTTGCTTGATAGGCATCATATTTACTTATGAAGTACACACGACAAGCTGCTTCTAAAACCTCCTTACTCAAGAACAAAATTAACTCTTAGAGATTGCGCTTTGAGTTGTGCTGCTCCAAAGCTTTGGAATTAAACCTATCTGGTATCATTAGACATATTAAAGAAATGTTGCATTCGTTGCCATCTTCTTGAAGATGTACTTGTTTTTTAGAAGCTCCAGATTAGGTTTTGGTTGTGTGTGATTACTTTTTGTTAGTTGTCATCCTAGCCTAGTAGAGTTATATTTGTATAGTATGTTATTTTTAATATTATTATTTCCACTTACAGTGCCTTTACAGCCCCCATTTGTCACTTTGGTGGCAAGGTATGTTGATGCTACACTGACTTGGGGTGTTCCCACAGGCAGCATCGTAAATGGTTACGAGGTCAGTGTAGACGGTGCTATGTATAAGGATGTACCTGGAGACACAAGAAGTTTGGTCATCGAAGGACTGAAGCCTGCTACCAGCTATGAGGTGCAAGTACGCTCCGTCAGTGAGGATTTGAATGCGAGACGTACCAGTAGTCCTTCAACCAGATCAACTACTACACGTAAGATTCTAAATACAGTCAAACCTGCTTTAGTGACCACCTGTATAGAAAGACCACCTGTCTACAGAGACCAACTTTTGTTTTGTTTCCCTTGAAACCTGTACTGAAGGAACCTGTACATAAAGACCACTTTTCTTGTCTCCTTTGCATGGTCTTTATAGACATGTTTCACTGTATATATCATATTGATTATAATGATAATAATCAGGATTTATATAGCGCTTCAAACGTTACACAAGGGAATCAGATTCATTCACGCATGCACAATGACCTTTGCATTTCAAGTAAAGTGCTCAAACCACTTGACAATGACACCTTAGTTAGTACCTTAGCTACATATAGGTCAGTACAAAAAAACTGGATGAACAGATTATTATGTACCTATTGCATTTCTCAGTTTAATGATCCTGGCCTATATCATCACAAATATTTCATATTAAATGGGTAGAATTTCCCTTTTTAATGATGTATGATCATGTTTGTTACTGGGTTTGTGAGTTTTGGTTTTGACCTAAGGCGTAATACAGGTTTGTTCTGTAATTGCATCTAGATATGTTAATTTGATAAGATGTTAGTGGAGACAGTTAGGTTCCTCTTCTAAGAAACACACCATATACTCCAAAGCAATTTGGAATTTCTAGGATTGTCCTCTGAAGTGGATGAATAGTTTGCTAAAAACATATTTTGCTAAGACAGGTATGGATTTTGAAACAATTTTATTGCAGGACACTCTTATGAAGGAGAAATCAAGAAACATAACAGACTCCCATTTTTACAGGAAAATTATGAACTTGGGATATGGTAGTAATTTAATCAAGCTACTTAATCAATCATTATTGTACTTGTATCTGAAACAGTAAATGAATCTTGTTCATATAATCATATAAATCAGCAATTTAGTTCCATTTGTTTTGTCGCTTGGGTTGTGACATACATCTTGGTTTTGACCTAAGGGATCAAACATGTACTTATTCTCATATTCATACTCAGTATTTTATTGCATTGCTCTGTAATTTTGCTCTGTGATTGTGCTTAACTATCATAATACTCATCTTGCTTTATCCAGAGACTGCTTTGTGCTGTACAATCCGTGAGTCGGTGACATCGACTACAGTGGATGTTTACTTTGGGGAGCTGGATGGTGAAGTAGTGGCATACGTTGCCACACTGGAAGACTCAGAGGGCCCTGTAATTAATGATGAACTGTTGAATTCTCCTGTGGCATCTTTTGATAATCTCGATCCCTCTGAAGTACATACCTTGAGTATCAACTCATTAATTCCTCCATTTGAATCTCTTTCAAGGACATTCAGAACAAGTAAGCAAGCATTGAATATTGATGTCATTCTACAAGTATACGCACATGGGCAGGTCCACAGTATTTACATGTATAATAATTATATAACATTGAATGGCCTTGAGTGGGATTCAAGGGTTTATCCCACGAGCTGATAAGCATATATTTACACAATTTAGCACGATGGGTGAAATATTCTCAAAGAGAGTGCAATATACTTTTGTATCTCATGAAAGAAAAGCCATTCAGTATTACTATTATAAATTGTATGGTATATCTGCTACCTCATTTTTCTTTTATACGTCCGTAGGCTTATTTTCTTCTAATTTAATTAACTTCATAGCATATAAAAAAAAGGAAAGAAAATATTTTTGTTCTCACTGAATAATAATAATAATAAAGACATTTATAACGCACAAACATATCCACCCAGAGGGTGCTCAAGGCGCTTACAATGAGTTACATAATATACATAGATATAATTTTGCTTAAATTACATTACACATGGTTATAAAAAAGAAGAAGATGATATTAGTTAAAGTTGGCCATTAGATAAGTTTTCAGGCTGGCCTTGAAACTATCTACTGATTTGCGGTCCTTAAGTGTGTTAGGGAGACTGTTCCACAATCGGGGAGCTGCTGAGGCAAATGCTCGATCTCCCCATGATCGTCTGGTCTTAGGGATGATCAGAGTTGATGTATTGGCAGAACGCAGACCAGAACGACCAGGCTTGCGAAGGTTGAGTAGAGAAGAGATGTACTGTGGCGAGGAGAACTTCAAGGCACGGTATGTGATCAGAAGGATTTTGTAGGTGAGACGATGTTCAACAGGAAGCCAATGCAGGGATTTAAGGACTGGAGTGATGTGGGCGAACTTGCGTGTATATGTCACTAGACGGGCAGCAGCATTCTGAACAAGCTGGAGCCTCTTAACTTGAGACATAGGGATGCCATAGAGTAAAGAGTTACAACAATCGATGCGGGATGTAACAAATGCATGCACAAGCTGCTCAGCTGCCTTTGTGGTGAGATACTTGCGAATAGCACGAAGATTGCGGAGACTGTGGATCGCAAGTTTAACACTTGATGATACTTGCGACTCCATGGTCATATTGGGGTCAAAAATAACTCCAAGATTTCGAACTTTCTTCACTGGAGTAATTGATGACGAACCAATATTCAGATTGGGGGTTACCGACTTGGCGAGTTGCTGCTTGGAACCCAGCATAACAAACTGAGATTTGTTGGCATTGAGCTTCAAGTAATTCTCCTTCATCCTGAAGCATATTTTAAGGGCTACGCTCATATATCCATTGTTTTAGCTTTTGTTTAATCATACATATATTTATGGTTTTACATGTTTATGCACACTAAAACATGAGATATGGAAAAATACTGCACAGTCATTCAGGTACTTTACATGTATATGGTTTTTAAATTGCATGACCATCCTGGTACTTTTACATAAAGAGTAAAATACACAGATATCTGTGCACTTGTGAATTGTAAGAATGTATGTTTATACTTTGTTCATGAGTTTTTACTTTTCTTGCTTATTTAGAATATTGATTTCACTAAAATCAAAGACATATATGCAACATTCACCCCTCTCCCTCCCCCCACCAAAAAAAAAAAAAAAGGAAGTGTTACCACCAGATCGTATGATGACTTTCTTTCAGATCCACCATCGCCTGGTGACATCACTATACAGGAAATTACTTCCACATCTATCAGGGTATCATGGGATAGAGCTGCTGATGATCTCACCACAGTCACTGGCTATGTGCTCAGCTACGTTGATGCATCAGGACTTGAGACAGAAACTGTCTCAAAGCCTTGTGACCCGAATGAATATACCTTGACGGGCCTGAACCCAGACTCCTACTATAAGATTATCGTCAAAACTCAACTGATGGAGGCAGGGGTTTTCCCAGAGCAAGAGGGGGATGATGATAGCTCTGTACAGTTCAATACAGGTAAGTATGACAGGACACTGGAACAGAAACTACAGTCAAACCTGCTTTAGTGACCACCTGTCTATAAAGACCACATTTTGTTGTTTCCCTTGAATATTGTTTCTCATTTAAACCTGTACTGAAAGAACCTGTCCATAAAGAACACCTGCCTATAGAGACAACTTTTCATGTTTATCTTGATTGGTCTTTATATACAGGTTACACTGTATTACTCAATTACGTGAATGAAAATTAATGTGACCTAAAGATTACTTTCCATTTAGTCTTTTGCATTTCTGTTTCCCATCATGACAGGACACTGAAACAGAAACTCCAGTCAAACCTGCTTTAGTGACCACCTGTTTCCCTTGAATATTGTTTCTCTTTTAAACCTGTACGGAAGGAACCTGTGCATAAAGAACACCTGGCCATAGAGACAACTTTTCATGTTTCTCTTGATCGATCTTTATATACAGGTTACACTGTATTACTCAAGTTCGTGCATGAAAATTAATGTGACCTAAAGATTACTTTCCATTTAGTCTTTTGCATTTCTGTTTTTCATCGAAATTGGTTAAATTAAAAATGAAAATAAATGGATGATTAAATAAAACATTTGTCACTCTATGCCTCTACTCTATACAAAAGTACAGTTACACCTGTCTATAGCGGCCACCTCTATCCATGTCACCTGTGTTTAGTGGTCACCTATATTGTTTCTCTTTAGAAAGAAATGTGTGTTGTGGAACCTGTCTAGAGAGGAAACTTGTCTACAATGCCCAGTTTTCCTGTTTCCATTGGGTGGCTTTATAGACTTTGACTTTGATAGAGTTTGACGGTAACATAATATTACGTCCCTCCCTTCAACTAATATGGATCAAACAATCATGTAGAGGTGCCGTGGTTAAGTCGCCGGACTGTCGATCACAAGGTCTGCGGTTTGAGACCATCGCGGCACTAATGTCCTTTGGCAAGACATTGATCTACATTTGCCACTCTCAACCCAGGTGATGTAAATGGGTATCTGGAATTAATCCTTTGAAATGCTAGAGCACAGCTTTAGCCGGGTTACTAATCTCCCAGTTTGGAAGCGCTTTGTGAGTATCATTATTATTATTATTATTATCTTTGACTTCTCCCCATAGAACCTGTCCCCGAAGACACAATAGTGGTTCAGAGGAGAACTACAACCACACTGGGCATTGTATGGAATGCTGAGGGTCTGAGTGGTCAGCTGATACGTTACAGACGCGTTGACTCAGATGATGTTGAACAGTCGGTGCCAGCGAGCGGGAATACTGCAACTCTCGGTAACTTGCTGCCCGGAACACTCTACTCTTTCCAACTAAGCATTAGTGGCTTCACTGTTGCAAGTGGAATAGGAAGAACAGGTTGGTTGCAGGGTTCAAGCCCCGGCATGGCTCTTATGTCAGTGAGCCAGGCATTTTTATCTACATTGCTCCTCTTTAGGTAATAAATGGGTACCCAGTAGGATCCGAAGGTCAAATTTTAGTAGCATGTGTGACCCAAAATAGTGGGGAACTAGCTGAGATGCTCCCCAGGGAGTGGGGAATGTTAACTGTATAATCCTTGAATCCATTGACTGAGGTAATGACTGTAAGCTCTGTAGTCAGGGTCCCCAGGGTCATGGAAAAAACTGTAACGTCATGGGGAAAAAATATTCTAGAAAGTCATGGAAATTTAGGAAAAAAATCTCCCAAAGTCATGGAAAGTTGTAGAAATTGATCGTGGGTGTGAGCTGTGTGTGGCCAAGGCAGCTTTCCAGTTTGAACTGACAACAGGCGTGTTATAACTATAAGTCTTGGATGCTGTCAAGCCATTCCAATATGGTACTTAACTTGACATGGAAAAGGCAAAAATGGTTTATGGAAAGTCATGGAATTTGGGTTTCAAATTTCAGTGGGAAGAAATTAATGTATATTTGCCTCTCTCGAGCCAGGTGAGGTGATTGGTAACCTGGCAGGACTTATTAATATTTCGTCAATATCTCAGCTTGACCAATACTGTCTTTTATTTATATTATTATCATTATCATTATTATTATTATTTATATTATTATTATTATTATTTCTTTTTAGTTCCCAGACAACCAGGGACACTCTCACTGACAGAGACAACTTCAACAGAGCTGTTCATCGAATGGCCGCAGGAGACTGGAAATGCAGATTTCTACCGCATAACCGTTTCCCCTCTTAACATGGCCGACTGCCCTGAGAAGACAGAGCAGACCACTGATCTACGATCTGTGACGTTGAACCGACTCTTCCCTCAAACAACATACTTGGTGACGGTCAGAGCGGTGGCCGGTATCAGTCAGGATCAGACCGAGAGCACTGCCCAGTCCAATACTTTTACAACAGGTATGTTTTCATTTTCATTTCATGTTCATTATTTGCTTACAATTTAAATGCAACTATAAATATATAATAAAGCTAAGGTTACAAGATTGAAGTTATCTTGATATGAAAGGTACCGGGTAATGCAAAGTTTTTGGAAATTTTGAAAATTGGATGAATAGTAATTCTTTAAAATTTGATATATTTGGATGCCCTTGAGGATGTATTATAAGCACTAGAAAATTTAGCCCCTAAAACACATCTGCTTTCGAGAAATTGAATAATAAAAAATTTACCGGTGCTCCAGGTAAATTTCAAATAGCGCCTAAGGCCATTCCATGGTGGCTGCGATCATGAAAATCTCAGAATATGCAAGTAGCAAATCGGTCGATTGTAGTCAAGAAACATTGTTTTAAAGGTATTAAAAGTAATATCAGTCTTGAGAAGGCGCTATACAACACAAAGAGTTTATTATGTACAGTTTCATCACTTTAGACTTGATTTCAACCGTGACAAAGATCATTGAATATTGTAAAATGTCATTATGCTTCTAATATGTACATTTGAACCAAATTCATGACCCCATACCAAAACTTTGTAGTACCTTTAACAAAATACAAAACATTCACACAAACAAGGAAACCTCACTCCAAATAATAAGTGTAGGTGTGCTGAAAATGAGGTGTATTCCTGCCCTTTGATGGACAATATTCCTGACGAAAATTTACAAGAGATATATAAATGAAGATATTCTTGGCATGATGCGATGCCTTTTAGCTGACATGGGCGGAGCCATTTTCTTGAAAATGTGACATACCAGTTGAAGTTGTACATATGTATCATGCACCAAGCTTTACTTTTTAATGAAAAGATAGCAAATTATATCTGGTTAAAAATATATGACAGGGGAACAATTGTAACTAATTAATTTAGAATACTTAAATATAGCAGTTAACAAATTTATTTCATATATGAGCAACCTTCCCTCTACAAGAGCACACACTTATTTATCCAATTTGCGTTCTGGCAATCATAGTACAAAGGACAATAGCAGGTGAATGAAATGCTCCGTCACCACACACACCTAGTATTAGGAGGCATCCATAAATTTGAATACATTTACTTGATACACGACTTCACATAGTACGTCACGTTATCAAGGAAAAGGCGATACCCATGTCATGCTGAGAAGCTGTACATTATTCTTGCTTTTTGCCTCCCTCACACACTTTGGTGGGGAATCTTGTAGATTAATGGGCAAGGATATAATATATCTCTCAGGATAAGTAAAGTCATTTCTTGGGTTGAGGTTTCCTTTAAGTTATATTTCAGAGATGCAATACCTTCAGGGAGAGAAGCTAGAATGACTACAAAAGTTTTGCAATTAAATAACAACAAAATGAAAAAATGCAATCTTGTTAAAACAGTCGTTCCCCCCACGTCCCTTTCCCCTTTCTGAAACAGGATTATAGTATTAGATAGAGAGCTCAGCAAAACCCAATATCTTTACAACAGGTATGTGTACGGTCGTAAAGACTGCTTGCTCCTGCATGCAACATTTGTTCTGCATCAATATCCAATACCAACCGAATTCTAAACTTCAACCTTGGACCCAACGCTTTACCTTTAATACCTTATCCTAAACTATTAGTGTCTCAAAAAAAATATGCATGGTTATGAGCTAAGTAACCAACATTATTTTCAAAAAACAATGATTCCACCTCTGTTGCTGCTGCAATGTTATTTTTTGTTTGTTGAAATAAATCTTTATTCAGATAAAATCACGGATTACATCCTAGTACATAAATATTCATAACAAAGCACTTAATCACATGTTTAAATGAGATCAAATCAAATAATATATCTCAATTTACTTGATTGTAAATCAGTAATTGTCTTCTTCCACTTGGTAATATTCAAATCTGTTGTCTTAGTTTTATTTCCCTCTACTTCTATTTTGTATTTCAACGTTAAAGGCAATGTTATCATGCAACAAAATGGACACAATGTGTGCAGACATTTCTGCCCTTTCTTTTCATGCCTCTGTTATATTTTTAGGGCTCTGAATCAAACAATACTTAGCCCAAGTAGAAATGTGGAAATGCTAAGTCTTGAAAGGTGTACATGGCTACTAAAACTTGAATCAGGGCAATCACCAATCAACAGCAGGGCAATCCATCTAATGTTATTTTCTCATGTTATCATGTATATTGTTATTTATATGTTTTTATATTGGTCAATAATATCAAATCAAATCAAAATCTTGAATTCTTTTTCTATACAGCGGATGCCCTTGAAGGAGAGGTGTTTTTGATAAATCGCACCAGTTATTCAATGGAGATTCTTTTTGAACCCATCACTGCTCCATCATCGACCTTCCCTCATGTCGTGACAATCACTCCAGCCCCCAATGATGGTGTCGGCGACCTACTGATCCAGGGAAACGACAGGATCGTGGACATAGATAACCTCACACCGGGCCAGACCTATAGCATCACTATTAGGAGGAATGAAGTTCCAGGCCCAGTTAGGCAGATAACAACAAGTATGTTGTCAATTTGTTACCTTTTCTTTCTGAAAACCGAAAAGGGGTGCAGGCATACAGCATCCTGATTAAGAAGGGATGAAACTCATGAGTGCTGGTTTTTCTGCTTACATTCATTTTCTTCATATTCCTTAACCATTTACCCATAGAATGCCAGGTAAAAAGAGTTTCAGGTTGGTATTTTACATTCTAGTAGCACACAAATGAAATGTACAAGTATTTTGTAAGTGATTGGTACTCTTTAAAAAAAGGATGAACATACTGGACTCTCTATCTCTCTATAATATAATATATATATATATATATATATACATTGTAATGTGTCTATAACATGTATATTCTCATTACATATCAGTTGTCTTTTAGATTTGGATTAAGTAAAGTAAATTATCTTTCGTGATGGTTGTAAGCAATAAAAATCTCCCAATGGACAATACAACATTGCAATTAACATTCCTTCTGTCCATTCCAGTTCCCCGACCTCCCCAGGAAGTGGGCATTTGGATAGCCAAGACGACACAGACGTCGCTGACTGCTTTGTGGGAACATCCATTGAGGCCATCATCCACCTCCCCTATCCCATTGGTAGATCAGTACGTGATGGAAGTCACTCGTGATGGGAATCCAGCAGGGTCGCAGACCGTCGACGGCGAGGTCACCGCAGCTACGGTAGACGGACTGGAGGTCAGCACAGAATACGATGTCCATGTCACCTCTTTAGCTGGTGTAGGTGTGGACAATGTCAGAAGTGAGACTGTCACCCTCACTGCTAGTACAGGTAAGCACATTAACCCTTTCACGTTTTTTGTGACTATTTGCTCCTCATATATCGTCACCCGGCTGGCAGAAGGGCATTAGCGCGCAAGTGACTCAAAAAGTACTTTTCAAATTATTCGCATTTAAAGATTTGTTTTATAATTTAAACTTCTTTCCGTCCAAAAAAATTGGTTCAAAACTTAAAAGGCTAATAGAAATGTCATAGTAGAACACGGCCAATTTTTTTGGAAATTTTAAAACAAGTTTGAGACGATTTAGTGCTAACGCCCTTCTGCTTAGAGCTTCATTTTTTACCTGATATTCGAGCTAACGCCCTTCTGCCACCCAGGCAACGATATTGTGCATCAAATTGGCAACAAGAATATTTTACATTGTTCTTATGAAGTGTGATGTCTCTGAAAACAATATGTGGGTACAAATTTTGTTAATAAGTTGAAAAATTGCAAATTTCAATCAAAATAAAAAATTGATATTCGAACCTCTTGATGTGCTGCCAATTGAAGGACTTCCCAGTTTGTGACACCACTGCTGTACCACAGAGCCACTACTATTACTACTAATCTTTAGTTCTCCTCTACCAACCCACACGTACTCTAAGATCCTCCAACTCTGGTCTTCTACACATACTGCTTTCAAAAAAATCTTGGGGGGAACAAGCTTTTGCTCATGCCGGACCAGCCCTGTGGAATTCACTTCCACAGGAGCTGAAGAACTCCGACTCTTCAACGTCTTTTAAGAGCAACCTTAAACCCTATTTGTTTAATTTCGCGTTTTGAAGACAGACATTAATTCATTCTTTCATTTTTGCATTTTCTTTCTTATGTAAATTTACACAATTCTTTGTCATGATGTAATGTGTTCCCTTATATTTTGAAGTGCCTTGAGCATTTAATTAAAATGGATAATTGCGCTATATAAATCTCATGTATTATTAGGTGGTCTGCCGATGACAGATCACCTATTGATTTCGTTAGAATTTTCTTTCTTTATTTATTTATTCTTTATTTATTTTTATTTCTTCCGTACACTTTTTTGTACACACGTTCACTCGAAATCGACATCGTCAATTTCCTTCAAATTTCTGTCAATTATCAAGCCCTATGATTTCAAGTCAAATCAACTTTTTCAAGGTCATTAGGTCTTTGTGACGTCATCCAGGCGCCATTTTGTAAAAATCAGGTCATTATCATATCTCGATAACGAGTCATCAAAAATCAACCATATTTATTATACATCAACTTCAGGTCAAAGGTCAACTAAAAATTTCAACAAATTCCGCGCGCGCACCTCGACGCGCACGTACGCGCGCATTAAAATTTTAAAATGCTCAAATTCGTTCCAAATTAATTTTGCATACGTTTCAGGCCATTTTAAGCATTTTGCAAAAAAACGCGCGCACGGACATGCGCGCGCGTTTTCGCGCGTAATTGCATCTTCCAACATAGAATCGCCAAATTTTTTCTGTCATCATATTTGGCACATTTTTTCAAGCATTTTGATACCTTGTTCAACTTTTTCTGCCCATTAATAACGGAATGAGCGTCCGTTTAAGATAATTACCGTGCGCGCGAGCTTTTGTAATACATAGCATACATGGGCAAAAACATGCCTATACAAAATCCATTGTAGCGCTTTAGGATGCAAGGTGACCCCAAGTTTTTTTCCATATTTTGATAGAGTATGAATCGGAGATATGATTTCATGTTTCATTTGACCCTCAATTAACTCATGACGTCATCATAATGGCCTCCGAACTCAAAATTTCAATTTTCATATTATGACGTCAGCAGATTTTTTTTGGAAAATTGATTGTATCTCTGCAAATGTTGATCAATTTTCTTTCAAATTTTGATATGTTCTACCTTAGAATATTCTCTACAAATGCAGTCGACACGATATTTCATTTTGACAAAGGCATCATGGCGTATTTTTGCGATTAAAGGAGGCATGTCAATTTTTCACATTTTGCGTGTATTCTCTATGGGACATGACTTTTTCTCAAAACTGGATTCTACATTTTCGTCTTTCGCGAGCAATATCTCCGTCGTTTTATCTTTGTTTACGCTGAGCTTTGAGTATGTTGTAGCTGAGACAATAAGCTATCATAAGTGTGCCCTTTATTTTTCGATCAGATGCCGAGATCATGCTCATATTTCACTTGCAACGTGGGATTTGAGAATTCCATTTCTCGTTTACGTTTAATCGCTATGGGAAATGTTTTGGTATATAGGTAACGCACTTTACTTCGAACCTCGAGATCCCTGGATCGAGTCCGGGAGTCTCCAACAATTTTTTTTCTTCATTTTTTTTTCTTTTTTGACTTTTCAATGATCATAAAATTTAAAACAGACCACCTAATTCGTCCCCATGACGAATTAAATTTCTAGTTATTGTTATTAATATTATGATTATTATTCATTGTAGTGACACCCCTCCCCGGTCAAATCCTTGTCATCGCATACACTATTACCACCATTGACTTTGTGTGGGGAGACAGCAGCGAAGAGGCAGGATTTGTCCGCGACGACGTGACCTACTTGCCGCTAACCACAAATTCTAACTATGAACCAACTGGAACCAGACGAGGTAGACTGACAGTCCTCACGCCTGGTGCTTTGTACAACATTCGTCTTGATGTCGTCTCATCTGCTCCTCAGGACGACACTACTTCCCAGAGAACTGGTAATGATTTTGTATAGAACTTATTATTTTTTTTAAATTTGTTTTTACACATATTTATATAGGTATTTTTTCAGTTCAGTTTCTGTTCATTTTATTCAAAACCACACAAAACATGATATAATCTGTTACATAAAAAAAACTGGTAACAGTACACCAATCAACACATTTACGAATACATCATAAACTGAATGATTTTAGGACCCCTTTAGAAACTAAGCTTCTTAAATCATGGTATTCCATGGTATTTGTGGTGGTTTTTTCACACTTTTCTTCTGGATGCTGCCACTCATAATGATACCTATTAATCAAAATCTGGTAGTGATGCAAATTATTAGTAGTTATCAACTTTGTATTCAAAGAAAAGCAATATCTAGGGTGTTGAAAAATATATCTTGAGGAGAGGTTCACTTGCACATGTTACTTAGTCAGCTGCCATTTCTCTATATTTTTTTAAAAAGTTTCCAATGTACAGTTAATAACAAAATTATTCATACCCTTTGTAAATTCTATATTTTTAATTTTTTTTTTGTAACTTAAGAATGAAAGATGGCTGAATAAGGGCCTTTGTTAAATACTTTTAGATGTAAGCTTTATTATGTATCATTCTCAAGAAACACAATTCAGGGCAAATCTATTTAATATGTCCCCTCAATATATTCTTAATAGATTTTGCAGACCTGATGAAGCCACTAGAAGATGAAAGTCTCAATAACATTTCAAGATCATTTCAAGAAAAACAAATTATAGTCTTTGAGTTTATTTAATTTCATACAGTTTGTTCAAATTAAATGCATATTATTTTCAGACAATGCATACATGCACTACAAACTACTTGTAAGTTTTACCGCTACTAAAAAATGTTGTATATATCAATTGTATATCTACATTGATGAATACATTTCAAAGGCACATGAACTGCATGCAACTTTATGTATGGCCAATGAACACTCTAATCAACTTTTACTCCAAAGCAACTTTATATCACAATAGAAATTCATTTTAATCTTTTCCACACTTTTTCCCGTTATTGAACAAACAAGGAATGCTGCAATCAGCTTCCTTCACTCATATACACACATTTACAATACACTTTTCAAACACTGTGGCAGGCTATGTTTTTTTCCATGGAAAAAATAAAATAAATGATTTGTTTGTATGTTTGTGTTTGCAGTACCGCTGCCCCCGACCGACCTGATAGTCCTTAGCAGGACTCAACTGTCGGTGACATTCAGTTGGACTCTCGGAAACACTGAACTAGATAACTTTACAATCTCCTACATGCTACGTGACGACAATGTTGAAGTGACGGTCAATCCTGGTCTTACTACCTACGAGCTGACCAATTTGGAGCCTGATACAGCATATAGCTTCAGTATGGTAACAGTTAGTGGGGATGAACAGAGTTTAGAGGTCACTACAAATGGGGCAACAGGTATGTAAGGATTCTCATTTGATATTTGTTGTTGTTGTTAGAATTCATTTCAGAAATATGCACTTTCATGTATCTATTTTCTTCTCACTTTTCGTTCAAGTATTATCATCTAATCAATATTGAATAATGAACATCAATCAGCTTTTATTTCATGCTCATATTTTGTTTTCATGGCCGTGGTTTGTATTATTGAAAGGCCAGTCTAACAACTATTGACTTATAAAATGATTCCCTATGAATCTACTTAGTACCAGTGTATGAAAATGCAGGTGGCAATATTTTTATATTTCCTGTCAGATATCTTTTAGGAGGGATGCATGGTCCCCCCCCCCCCTTCCCCTAACTCCTACATGGTATAGCGCTTCATTCACTTAAATCTCAATCCAGGGGCTCAAGGTTTTAATCCCAGCGTAGCACTTACATGTTTTGAGAAGACCTTAATCCTCATTTGCCACTCTCCCCCGAGGTGTTAAATGGGTACCTGGCTGAGTGAACTGGGCACTGATTTCAGCTGACAGAGCTAAAGCTAGGGTAATAACATCCACAGTTATTTGGAAGAACATAGGGACATTATATCATAATGTAATATGGGCTATACATAAACTGTTCATTATCTTTATTACAAAAACATTTAAAGGGCAATCCAACCCTTGTAATAAGCTGATTTGTATGAAAGCAGAAAAATAACTGAAATAGAATGGTAATAGTTTGAAATGAATCGGACCAACAGGAAGGAAGTTATGAATGTTTGAAATATGAGATCACTATCATCTATGCAAACCTTAAATAGGTAGTTTGGTCAGTAGATTGTGACGTAGGACGTGGATAACTCTCCCATTTGCTGTGTCCAAAAATATCACTATTTCTTTTTACTTGTTAGTTCCTTCTCTCTTGGGGCACTACTCAAAATATATATTATAGGTACCATATTATTATTAGTCCTTTAAAAAAAGAATAATCCCTCCTGAGCCATGATTTTTTTAAAATTTAATTTTTAGTCATTTTATATATTGGAACAGATGGGAAAGTATTCCAGCAACACATCACATTGACATTGCTGCTTCAGCCAATTTGAAGTGCCCTTACGTATAGCGATTACAATTTTTGACATTTCATAACTTTTCAATATTTAGTCTTATTTAATTGAAACTTTCAAGATCAGTTTTCTTCTTTGATTTCTCTGCTTTCTTTTAGAGTAGTTGTCTATTTAGGTTGGATTTTTCCATTTAAAGATTCTTCCATTCACCTGAGTATATTGATTTCTCTACCTCCCCGATAGATCCACTGGCATCAAACACCATCCTTGCTGCTGAAACGACAGACTCGTCAATTAAAGCATGGTTTACCCCCATCAGTGGCGCTGCCGGTCCGTACGGTGTCGCTGTACCTGGGCGAGCTGATCTGACCATTCAAGACAATGAACCCCTGACCTTTACCCTGACTGGCTTGTCACCTAGCTCTGTTTATGATATTGACGTTTACAGGTCGAATCAGGAATACACCGACTCTGTCAGGACAAGTAAGCTCTTATACTATTATTATAATTAATTATTTTGTATTATTATTATTATTATTATTATTGTTGATATTATTATTATTATCATTATCATTACTATTATTATAACTATTTGTTATTATGATTAGTATCATTATCATAATTATTATTGATGTTACTTTAATAATTCACCACATAACAAGAGTATTTGTGAAATGGAACCAGATCTATTGTAAGTCCTCCATTTAATAGCAAAACCTACTGTGTCCTTTCACCAAAATATGTCTGTATATACTGTTCATGTATGAATTATTTGTTTCTATGCAACATTAATTTGTGATAAATGCTCAAATTATATCAAGTCAAATCATTGAACTGGAAATGCTAAGTGCGAAAATCTGATTCTCTCTACGACATAGATCCGCCTAATCCTGGTGAAGTGACTTCGCTTGAGGGTGGAAGATTTGCAGTAGAATTCAGCTTCAGTGCTGGTGTTCCTGCAGAAGCCATTAACTCTTATCAGATTTATCGTCAGGTAACGAGGTTTATTACTAACATGGTTGTTGTGTGGGAGTGTCGTGGTTGAGTGGTTTAAGGCACTTGACTGAAGATGCGAAGGTTGAGGGTTCGAATCCTTAAAATCCTTAAAATGCTTGAGTGCTATAAAGGCAGCCATGCTAATGCTGGGGTAATAATGATGGAACCCCAGGAGTGAAAATTTGTCAAATATTAGTACTATACAAGACTCCACTATTCATATATTTAATATCATTACTGTAGTAACTTCCTTAGTGTCTGCCTACCATGGTACCTAGCCATAAGATCCTGCCCATTAGGAAAAATAGCAAATTAATTTCCTTTTCTCCAGTCATTGAAAAGTGAAGAGATGATTGGTACAACATTAAAGAATAGCTGTGAATAAAGACATTCTGAAGGGTTGAGTCTAAAGCTTGAGATAGTTAACTTTCGGATGAAATGCTGTTTGTCTAATCTTTTCTGTCTTTTTTGTCTAAGAGGAAAAGCTTCACTATTACTTCACTGTTATTATTTGAATATGGAACCCACTTCCTTCTTTTGTTGGCATTTCGGCTTTGACTGACTCTTCTATAAAGAATTTTAAGACACACCTCTTCAATATTAACTGAATATGTTAATTACTTTTCCTTTTTGGGATTGGTTGTTTGTCGTTAGCATTATTTTTAAATTTTGATGAGAAATATTTCACAGAATTTTTTACTATATAAAAAGCAGTTATATGTATTTATGTATGTATTCACTGCTAGCCAAGAAGAGTCGAAGAATTCGAAAACAATTGCTTGAATCAGAATTTGTATTGGTCCTATGAGAAGTAATCAGTCATGCAAATCCATTCCTGTACAATTTGATATGTATAAAGAAATACAGAATACAGACTGATGTAAATGATGATTATGGAATCAAGAGTGCAATAACATACCATGATATTCTTGTCTAGACAGTCCCCTTAGAGTATTACAAGTAAAGAGTATTAGGAATATACCAAGTCTGGTTTAAGCAAATTTACATGCATCACATATGGGATTTCCGGAGGGTCTAGCTGTCTTTGAGGTGAGAACTTAACAAAACTGAAGCTCTATGTAACTGTGACTTTTTCAATAATTCTGTATTTTTGACATTATGTTGTCTAGGGTGATGGAATGTCAAGGGTCCTTGGTAATCCATCGTGTTGCAACCGGGTGTTGCTTGCAACGTTGCTTGCCACTGCCCCACTGTCATTTGAAGACACAGGTCTGAATCCTAATACAACCTACATGTATGAGATCAGTTCTCTCCTCAATGCTGCAGATGGCTTTCCCCTCCAAATGAGCAATCAAGTACAGCTTGTCGACGTCGTCACAGGTAATATTTAGAACTAAACCATTTGTTTCTTTGTGTGTTCAAAAACAGGATTAGTAAACAGTTACATGTATGATTCAAATGCAACTGTTTTTTTTTCTGTTTTTATTATTGTGTTTTAAATATTATCATTATTTAAATTTCTTTTTGTTATTGTTATTATTGCTAAAGCTGTATTGTAGATGTACGTAATGCTAAAGCACTAATTATGAATGTCATTGTTTAGTCTCTATAGCAATTTGTAATTCATTCCCTTCTATTTATTTCAAACCAGATGAACTCCCCGCAGGAACCGTGGACGTTCGTGAAACGACGACTACTACCATCAACCTGGTATGGCTGACAACTGATTTGAATTCCTTGGCTTTCTTCATCAGCTACAAACCTACACATGAAACACAACAGACACAGAGAACTCTGTCTGTATCACCAGAAATCGTGTATGCTGAGTACACTCTGGATTCACTGACTGCTGGGGAGCTCTATACAATTAGAATACAGAATGGTGACAACGACCTCAACGATGAGATCACACAGAGAACTTGTAAGTACGATTTTGAAATCTCGGCCCCAAATCATGTGGCATGTTTGAAAGAAAATCCAACCTCAAAGCCTATCTGTACTAATTTGGCCAGGGGGAATTAGACCTCCCTGCAAGGCCACTGACAGCTGGTATTTTGAATGAACACATTACAATGAAATTCATAATGAAAGCTTGTAAGGAGCCTTGCTTCCAACTGTTTAATATTATACAGATATTGACTGGCAGGGGGTATGATATAACATTCTTTGGACTGCTGAAGAATGTTATATACCCCCTGCCAGTCAATATCTGTTATATTAGATACCGGTAGCCCTGGTTTGAAAAATTTAGGGACGGAGGGGGGTCAATTTTTTGGCCGGAATTGGCAGAGGATGAACAACATTTTAGACAAAATTGTGAGAGAAAAAAAATATTAGATATAATTTGAGAAAATTTTTAAAAATTTCAAGGGGAAAACAAAAATATTCTTATGAAAAAAAGAAGGTATTTTGGGGGTAAAAAAAAGGTAATTACAAGGGGAAAGAAAAAATTTGACCCTCATACGTTCTTCAAGAGGGCGACATGCATGGATTAAAAATTTATTTATTTCACCAGCTGGTGAATATAACCGTTGAAAGTGACCGGCCAGGAAAATATAACAATTACGATCCTCGCAATTGATATCACATGACGAGCCCTGGACCAATCACATCTCAGTATCTGTCTAAGCTATCTAATATTCTTGATTGTTTCCAGGGCCGAATGCTATCACTCAGTTGACGTCGTCCCTCACTACATCAACCAACATCACACTCAACTGGAATAGCGCCCCCAGGGTTGTGTCGTATTACGAAGTCGCGTATGATCCTCCCAATGGCAAGTCTCCAAGACGCACTGATGTACGGGCAGATGAACCACGCACCCTTACCCTGTCAGGATTGTTCCCTGATTCTCAATATACAGTTACCGTGGTAACGTGGTCTGGGACCGGTGAAGATGCTACATCAAGCACACCATTCTCAGTCATGTTTAATACAGGTATGTGTATACAATCTAGAATCATTATTGTGCAGTGAAAATTATTCTTTCCCCATACTTACCATATTGCCTCTGCTGTTAAAATTTGTATTGAAATGACATGGAAAAAGTTTGATTTTGATTTTTCCAGGTATCTTTCATGAAAGATATCCTGTATCTGCTAGTAAACCTTGTATTAGAATAACTTGAAAATTTGTTTTTTCCTCATTTGATATAGCTCCTATCCAACCACTGCAAGTCATTGTGCGATTTGTGAATGAGACCGAGGCCCAGTTGACTTGGGGTTTAGTTCTTGGAGAGGATACGTACATCATCACCGTGGATGATAGTGGTTTGGACCCTGTCTCATCTCAAGTAACAGTTCCGGAAGGGGAAACACCGTTGTCTGTGAGGAAGGGGCTAACACCTGGAAGTCTGTATACTGCAATCGTTCAGACTACAAAGGCGAACGGTCGGGATCAACAATTCAGGACATGTAAGCCTCTTTACAGGGTGATCCAACCTTTGTAACGATTTCATTTGTACAAAAACGGAAAATAAGAGAAACAGAATGGCAAAAGTTTGAGATAAATCGGACCAATAAGCAGAAAGTTATGAGTGTGAAACCACTATATATATATGCCAATTTCAAAGTCAGAAATTTGGTTACTATGGATTGTGACGTAGTTGCAGATAACTCTCCTGTTTGTTGTGCATAAAGGTACCATAACATTCTGCCCATGTGTTTTTTGCTTGAAGTCAAAAGATCACATTTAAAATCTTGCAAGAAACAGATTTTTACTTTGAACAAAGTAAATTGATTTCTTTTTTAAAAAATGCAAAAAGAATAGAAACTTGCAATAAAGGGGTTTACTTTGATCAAAGTTTAAAACAAAATTACATTGAAAACACAAGAAGTATAGAAACTCTATCATAGTTGGTTTTCATTGAGAATTTGACATCATTTGAATGTTTACCCAATAACAGGTGTTGTCATTCACCAAGAGTAGACTTCTCTTTTACGACTAACATGTCTTGTGTAAGGGCACTGTGCCCTAGCCTAATGTGATAAGGCATTTTCATTTTAAAATCAAATTTCCCTCGCCCTCGAGATGTGAAAAAAGTTGGGAGTATTTCTGGTGGAACCATGTGTTTGCTGCTTCAGAGACATTTGCACACAGAGACACATTAATTGCTAATTGAATCACATCTTGTTTCATCATATTATGATGTAATACACAGGGATACTGACAGCTATGAGGCTTTAATGTCTTTTTGCTACACATGTTCATGTATGTTCAGCTTTAATAGCATGCTTCCCTTCTTTCTCTACAGCCCCCTACCCTCCAACCGATCTTGATGTCACCGAAAGTACCCCAACATCCATCAGCGTGGCGTGGGCACCACCAAGGGCTGGAGGAGTCTTTGACGAGTACATCTTGTCCTATAGCATTGGGGATAGAATCAGGACGGAGGTTGGACGATTCGCACCCGATGTCACCACGGCAACCATCAATAACCTGAACACGGCTACCACCTACAACATCTACCTCGTTACCGAGGCTAATGATGGAGGTTTCCCCCAGAGCAGCGATGTGATTACTAGGGAGGGGCGAACAGGTAAGAAGAGCATTTCTATTCGTTTGGTTTCAGATGACACTATTCAATCTCTTGGAATTTTCCCATAGATCCCATAGACGGGCATGGTGGCTCAGTGGTTAGAGCGCCCGCCTCATGAACGGATGGTCGTGGGTTTGATCCCCGACTGAGTAATACCAAAGACTTATAACAATGGGACCTTCTGGCTTCTAGATTGGAGAAGGGTAGTAGTAACACATTATTTTATGCAGGGCCCGCTGGAAGAGCAGTTTCATAACTGAAGTGGCTACCCTGGGTAAATAAAACGTTATTATATTATTATCATGTCACTTTTCACGCCACTCTACAATTCAATCAATTCAAGTTCATGAAAACATATTATATACGAAGGATGTAACATGCTGTAAACCCAGTGGCTTGAGATAATTGTAAGAGCAACTTGTTTTTGTTTTAGATGACACCTTTCAGTCTCTTGGATTTTTCACGCAATTCGTTTTCTCTCCTATCTACTCCAAAATGAGTCTTTGGGCTTATTGTCAGTTTGATGGTGGGGGAAATAAACATTTCTATCCTCTTTAAGTTCTGCTATATCCTCCTTCCTCATTTCACCTCATTGTGTGGAGGGTGAAATTATCGAACAGATATTTAAGAGGAATAATAATGATAATAAAATGCTTTTATGGCTAACAGTATGGTGCTTTCAGCATTGTGAATATGATTATGACACTGCCACTCCACAGTTCAACTTCATTATGCGATATTTGTGTCTAGATGTTTTTATTTGTTCTTCTAGAAATCCCAGCTCCTGGAGAGATCATCATCATCAACCGAACTCCGACCAGCTTTAGATTCCAGTGGGGTCCATCCACTATGGAAGATGTGAGTTATATCACCACTTACAGACCATCAGATGGCTCCAAGCTTGATACCCTCAGCATCAGACAGTCTGATGTTACTGGTGCTATCCCAGGACGTCTCTATGAACTCACAGTTTTTGTTCTCCCAGGAGAACAGCAGGAAACGGGCCTCGTTCGAACCTGTAAGTCGCTATTATTACCTCTTCCAGTCTGCTAACGTCAAGCATTTATTAATTTGTCTGATCCGTTGTTGTTATATTTGTTTTGTTTTCTAGGCCAATTTCATCCCAGTCTGCTAACTGCAAGCAACTAATTTGTCTGATTTGTTGTTGTTATGTTTGTTTTGTTATCTAGTGCCTTCAAGTCCAGTTCTCCTAGCTGCAACCGTTGTTGACTATGTCTCGGTGACTTTAGTGTGGATTCCAGGGAGTGGGGAGTATACCGGCTTCATCATCAGCTACAAACCCACAGCGGGCATTAAGTACATTGATGTGGCGGAGGTGGACCAAGATGTGAGGACATGGAAGGTCGAAGGCCTCTCCCCGGACGTTTCGTATGACTTCCAGGTCGTTGCGGTGAGTGGAGAAACCGACACCACATACAGTGAACCTACCAGGAAGACAAACACCATGACATGTGAGTTTTTACCTTATTGGGAAGAAATTAAGCTAGGAGAGTGAGATGATGTTAGCTTTAGGAAGAAGAATAGTATAGTAATAATGACTGCTTTGAGAGACATAGTTGTTTTTATATGCTCAAGGGGAGCATATAAAAACAACTATGTCTCAAAAATTAAAGTAGTCATTATTACTTTTATATACTGAAAAAAGAGTCAACTTATGACACAACCTTGGCTTTTCTCTGAGAGTTAGACTACAGGTAGTCTAGATCTAGCCTCTAGCCTCTAGGAATCTATGTAGCATTTTCCCCCTAGGCCTAATTCCTCACAAATTTCGAAGCTGTTGAGTGTCATAACCTTGACCTGAAGACCTAAAGGATCATCCAAATCAAGCGAACCTTGGATTTTGTCCATGTCTTCTGCTGAGATAGCTGGTTTGTGAGTCACAACTTTCTTTCCTTCTTGTTTAAGCATTGCTGAAAAACACTTAAAAACTCTTGTCGAATTGGAAAAATCTTCATGCTTAATTTATGATGTCGACATTGTTGGAATTGAGGAAATGACGCTGAAATCTGAATCTCTAGGCCTAGGCCTAGATCTACGTTGTCCAGCTCCGAATTTGGAAGTTTGTTTACACTATCTAGGTCTGTGTTGATAACTTGCAGGTAGCCTAGATCTAGACCTAATCTTCAAATATTTTTATGGAGAATTTCACGTACCCTTTTGATGTTCTTGCTGTCAGCATAATTAATCAAGTCTTGCAAATGATCATCATCAAAAAGTTGAAATCTAGGAAGAGTTTCTTCAGCCATTGTTGCCTTGTTTGAAAACTAGGCCGGATTTAGTAGTACGATCGAAATCGCCACGATCGTCTTATTAAAAAATTGAAACAAAACAGGTATTAGAAAGATAACAACTTTTGAATAATGCCCTTTTAATAGCTTGATTTCCTTGCCTACAGCCGCAATTTTGATCTGAAGAGTCTGCTTAGAAAGTTTACAAAATCATATTATCACAATACGCGTGCGTGTGAAGCAGCAAGCTAGCTGCTTTGTGACGCGGCTAGCTGTGTCTCGTATGTGACGTCACAAATCTCGATGCTCTACGGAGGACCGCTGAAGATAGAAAATATGAATCTCAAAATTAACATTTTTGAGAGATGATTACTGCGGGCCCCAAACATGTTTTGAAGAGGGAAGTTGTTACATTCGATCAGTAAGGCTTCCCCTTCACAATGATATAAATTTGGATCAATTCAAAACATATTTGATTCTCTGGGTGACTCCTTTAAGGTGAAAAATATGATGTACATGTACATGTACACTGATGTATTTCATGGGCTGCCCTCATGAAGTCTGTTACTGCTATAAACAAAGAATTAGTCTTATGAACATTCTTGCGGGCAGCCGACAGTTTATAACCAGGGCCGGTATTTTATTCAGTTTTCGGCCTAGATAAAATACTTAGCCAATTAGGGTATTCAGTTCAAACTCCTGGCTTATTTTTATCCTAAATTCAAGACAGCTCCCTAGCAGACTAAAGCCAATTATGTTGGAAGCATGAATTGGCAAGCGTATGGTTTCATACGCAGTACAAATGAGCTGCACTCGATACATAAATTGCGGCTCACTTTTGATTGACCGTGTGATGTCACGATGCTTATCAGTATTTAGGGGAGCCTTCTAAATTTGCGACTGTGCCCGGACACGTCGGGGCGCAATGAATATAAAGGTCGCATCTCAAGAGACACATTTAGGCGCAAATTAAGGGTCGCTAAGGGGCGCGACAGTTACCCTCACCCGATTCTTGCATATGAAAAGAAACTGTCTATTGTTGGTATAAACCCGCTCTATTCTTCTTACGCCCTTTTGCGCCCTACCAGGTGATGGAAGATTATCTCTCCCGTCATTGTTCTCGCTCGTGATGCGCGATGCACAACGGTACAGCTTAAACTTGCTATACAGAAAGTATTTGTCAGCCAAAGCCTGTCTGTCCCTCTTCCTGTTCTCGTTCTGATAAACATCACATTATTTGTAAAAACTTGATGTATTCTTCTCGCGTCGCGATCTATTCTTCCCGCGCTGGGGTATTATCTTTCCTATCATTGTGGAAGCTTTGCGATGTACATTGCTATAGCACAGCCTGAACTTGTCTGGTGGGAGTGTTTTTGTTTTGGGGGGCAATCAACACACTCGTTCATCTTGATCAGAATAAATTATGATTTTTTTTTCTGTTGTTGGTTTAATACACCTTCTTTTAATATTTGTGACGACTGTATGAAATGTGAAATAAAGATGACTATGTACGATGAATGGTTGTTTAATTGCGAGCTTGATTGTCCCCAACAACAAAAAGTAAAAGACGAATGAGTGAATGAATACATGTATGTGGTTATAGTCAGCAAACTGATTACTGTTTGGGACACTTGTGTATGTTTGTAATTCGAATGATTATCAACATATTTGTATAATTTCCACGTCGCAATATTATTCTAGCGTCGTAATGGACAAAGGAATCATCATTCTCTCCCGTCATTATTCACGCTACGTGTAGCACATTGCCACAGCCTGAGCTTGGAAGAGTTTATATTTTGTCATTCAAATCCTGTTTTTCCTCTCTTGACTTCTAATAAACAACCCATATTGTATTAAAATAAAACTCGATGTATTCTTTTTGCGTCGTGTCTTTTCTTCTCGTGCCGTTTTTTGCAATAATCAGACTGGAGAGTTTAACATTGTTTTGGTAATCAATGAACTCACGGTGCATCATGATCAGTAAAGGAAAATCTTTATAAAATGCATTATAACATTACTAATGGTAATAATAACAATAATTCTAAAAGGACTTTTTTAAACACTCTTCCATACCCTCCCCCAAGTAAGTATAGATATGAATCAACGAAAATCTGAACGGATGTATTTTTTGATATTTCAGCTGTTTCTAAACCGTAACGTTAAGTTAATTTTATCATTAATAAAAATTGTATACTATTTGTAATTTGACAAATTTTTGCAAAATAAGTAAAATTTGCCGCAAATAATAGTGCGACACCCCCCCCCCCCCACCTGTCAGGATATTGTCGGTAAAATTGCGCTGCCGTCGGGAAACAAAGAGAAAAGGGGGAGGGGGAAAAAGAGGAAAGAGGAAAAGAAAGGAAAGAAAAGAGAAGAAAGAAAAAGAAAAAGAGGGAGGAGAGGAAAGAAAGGAAAAGAAAGAAAAAAGAAAAAAGAAAGAAAAAAAAATAAAAGGGAAAGAAAAGAAACGGGGGGGGGGGGGGGTGAAAGAGAGGAGAGAGGGGGAGGTAAGAGCCTGAGAGAGGAGGGGTGGGAGTAAAAGAGAGAAGGGGGTTGTTGGGTGGAGTCGTCTCGTCGAAGGAGCAAGAAAGACACGGGTAAATATGTTGCTGTGTCGGGTCAGCTGTGTCGGTATTCTTGCTCGATCCTCGTGTACTATATCAATGCAGAAGTTTGAAGTCGGTAAGATGTATATTGTTGGTCGGCCGACAAGTTTTTTTCCGCTACGAACTGTGACTTTTATCTGCTGTGACGACTTCGTGAGTGACTATAACTTCAATACTTGTATTTTCTCAAAGTTTCACTTTCCTATAATATCAGCTAAAGAAATCAGAATTTTAAAAATTTGGGGAAAACTAAATTCAAACAAGGTTCAAGAGTCAACAATGGTACGATGAACCGTCTTCTTTCTCTAATCATTTAAGGAAACGTCAAAGCTTCCGCGCTTTGCGCGAGAGGGAGAAACTGAATTCAGACAAATAGGGCTTATTAAGAGTCAAAAACGGTACAACGAATCCTCTTCTTTCTCTAATGATTTAAGGAAATTTCAAAGCTTCAGTGCTTTGCGCGGGGGAGGGGGAGAAACTGCATTCAGACAAGGATTAAGAGTCGAAAACGGTACAACGAATCCTCTTCTTTCTCTAATAATTTAATTAAACGCCAAAAATTCCGCACTTCGCGCGAAGAGGAAAACTTTGACCAGTCGAGAACGATACAACAAATTGTCTTCTTTCTCTAATAATTTAAGGAAACATCAAAGCTTTCGCGCTTAAGGGGGAAACTGAATTCAGACAATTAGGGCTTATTAAGAGTAAAAAACGGTACAACGAATCCTCTTCTTTTCTAATAATTTAATGAAACGTCAAAGCTTCCGCGTTTCGTGCAAGAGGGTGAAACTGAATTCAGATGAATAGGGCTTAATAAGAGTCGAAAACGGTACAATTCTCTTCTTTCTCTAATAATTTAAGGAAACGTTGAACCTTCCGTGCTTCGCGCGAGACGGGGAAACTGAATTCAGATAAATAGGGCTTAGTAAGGGTCGAAAGGTACGACAAATTGTCTTCCTTTCTCTATATTGTGATGAAACGCCAAAAATTCCATGCTTCGCGCGGAAGGGTAAAAATTCATTTAGACCAGTCGAGAACGATACAACGAATCGTCTTACTCTAATAATTTAAGAAAACTGGTCCTTTAGAATAACCAAATTTTAGAGGATTCACACTTTTCACAACGAAAAACTTCTCCATGTTTCAGTCCTTGCGCGATCATCTCCAGCTCCAGCAGATATTGGGCGTCAGCGCGCACACCGGTACTACCGGGGCAGTATAGCCACTGCTGACGGCTGCATGCGCATTAGCTGCACTTCGAGCTTCCGTTGTTTGTATCAATAATACTCAAAGAGTTGAAAGAGAAAGCGCCATTTCATTGGTTTAAGGTTTGAAAATTGATACTCAATATTGTGTTAAAGTTATATCAGAAAAGATAATCTTTATTTTATAATTCTACGGGGCGATTTTTAATTTTGCAATCGCCCCCGTGAGCAACCTGACGGGGGCGAATATGGAGCTCACGGGGGCGAATCGTCCATCGCCCCCATGTATTTTGAGCGCTGCATGCATGTGTCCATTGGTTTATTATGGTAGTTTGTTCAAATCATATAAGTTCTGTATGTACTTTTTGTAGTTTTTCCTCTCGTAGCAGCAATCAGAAATATCAAGTGACCATCTGATGTCCAGACTTCTTGACCTTTTTGTGATGCTTGGCTTTCCACAGAAAGCTTCATCAATAGCTAAGCCAGACCCCTTCAGTTTGCGTCTAGCGTGTACAGCTGACCGCTTCCGATAGGAGCAGAACTTCACTATTATTGCTCTCGGCTTTTTCTTCCTGGTTGTAGCGCCATCTGTGGTAGTAGTAGTTGTTGCTGTTGCATCTCCGCTCTTCGACGAGCTGCTTTGCATCCTGGGTGAGACACGATGAGATCTATCAATCTCCTCCGCGGACGATTGTACGCCTAATCGCTCGGACACAAGGCTGCAGATCTGACCATCCGTATTCTCATCTGTGTTTTCAGGAATGCCGTAGAATTTTAAGCAGTTTCCTCTTGAATACTGCTCCATGACATTCACAGAAAGTTGGAGGTTGTTGAGAGTTGTTGCTCGGGTGGAGATCGTGCTATTCAATTGCTTGATTTCCTTTTCTTTGGCCTGGACGTTGGCTTCTAATTCCATTATTCTTCCATCGTTGATCTCTAGTCGTTCTGTTGTAGCAGTATTACTTTCCTCCAATCCCTCAATCTGCTCAAATAACTTTTTCAATTGTCTGTCGATTGCCTTTTCCACTGCTGAATCAATTGCTTTGAAAAAGGCGTTGCTTTTTAGGTAATCCTGCACTGCTTGAATGATCGTGTTTCCATGAAATCTTTGATTTGTCCTTTCTCTCTTATGCCATCCACTTTCAGATCCCAAACTCTTTTTACGGGCTCATCATCTTCCCTTCTCAACACATGACCCATCTATCTCAATCTACTTCTCTCTTTTTAGTTTCTTCCAGACCCGACCTTTCCATGAGCTCACCTGTGTTCTTCCTATCAAACAGTTTCACACCACACATCTTTCATATCATTGCTCTTTCTGTTCTCCTCAAGATGCCCTCTTGTACTGCTTTAAAAAATCAAAACATAGTAATAATAAATGTGGTCTATTCTTCCATACATCTTCCTTGATTTACGATTTATTTATTTATTTTTCCTCTTCAGTATCTATTACTGCCGACGCCTTTGTCGTGTTGGACTACAACTCAACTTCAATTACTGTGGCCTGGAGAGACACAAACACCAATATCATAGTCAGCATTGACCCCCAGGACGATGAAGCAAGGAACGTGAATGTTGGTGAAAGGCCCGTTCATACTTTCACCGGTTTGAACTCATCCACTGCTTACACTATTACCTCATTGAGTCAATTGCAGAACCTAGAGACTCAAGTTAGAACGAGTAAGTGAAGATGATCATTTTTATGTTAGTTTTTGTTCACTTAATACTCGTCTTTCAACAAAACTATTTACCTAAACTTTGGGAGCAATTACGAAAAAATGGATCTTCTAATATCACTTTTCCTTAATAGACACCTGTACAAAATCTGGTAAACAATTTCTTTTTTCTCCAAAGTTACAAAAATGGATTTTGCTCCTTTTGGAATTAAACTCTTATATTATGTGTGACATTCTGACATGTGGACCGTGAGTGACCTGGCAGAGGCCAATGACGTGGCTCATACTTTCAATAGATATTGGGAAGTAGTTGTGCGATAATGATAATGCTCCCCATGGAGTGGAAAATGTGCATACATTGTGTGCGGGTAAGCCTGAATCCAATGACCGGGGTAATAATATATCTGTAAAGCGTTTAGGCACATCGTTGTATTGATGTATTGGCCGCTATATAAAAGCAGAAATTAAAAAAGAAAATGATCAAAAAGATGATGATCAAAGTCAGTTGATATCCAGTAATTTAGAGCAGAAAGAAAAATGAATACAAAATAAAACAATTACTTGTGTCATTGTAAACTTTTTTTGTTTACTATACATTACACAGACCCAGCATCGCCATCAAATCTGGAGGTTTCCAAGACCTCGACCTCGTTCTCTATCAAATGGGAAGCAGCCGAGTCGGAGGTCAGTCAGTACAAGGTTGATGTGAAGTGCGCAGATATGTCCTGTTCCTTCAACGGTGTTATCTACCCCAACGAGAGACTGGTTTATGAGCTCGAGGGACTGTTCTATCTCAGGGAGTATCTAGTGACCGTGTCGTCTTGTCTGGATGCGGATAGCCAATTTGCAGAGCAGATGGGTGAAGAACCTTTAGAGAGTAGCATCGTTACAGGTAAGAATGATACTGCCGCTGCTGATTTTTTTTTATGGTGGGTGGTGGTTATTTTATTTGACTGCTAAAAAAAACATAAATGCTTGTTAGTAAGCAACCAAAAGACCGACGGCTTTAGGTCCTCTCCGAGGAACTTGGTAATGAGGATTAATGCCTTACCAAAGGACACTAGCGCATCGACTTGGTTTCGAACCCGGGTCACTGGATTACGAGACCACTGCTCGACCGACTGAGCTATCGCGCTGATGATGATAATAATAATATTATAAAAGTAATAATATATTATAATATAAAATGTGATATGATACTATGTAATATTGGACTATAACACTCTTGTCCACCATGCTGAGTTGCTCAAGTCACTTGAATATTACCCCAGCCCTAGCTAGGCTACTGATTTGGGTGATCATAGCATTCAAGAAATTCCTTCCTTCCAATTCCATTTCAACTCCGGGGTGGAAAGCAGCATTCACAGTTTGTGAGAGATTTTACAATTAGTTGTCTTTCTAGATTAGTTTGCAGATGAATTTAGCACAGTGAGCATCAATAGCTGTCATCAGGCTTGATACAGTACATGCAGCCACTTAAAGGAATCAAATTTCATTACCGGTATCTATTAAAGCCTGTACCAGTTTGAAATGATGAAAATGTAAAATTCTCTTGAGTTTTTCCTGCTCATGTTTACATGTACAATATCTCTTTCCTTATATCCATATTTGGTTTTTAACTCTCTTTTTAACACTTCAGTTGCTTTCTTATCCTCTCTGCACAATTGGTTGTTTGCCTTTGATGCAGTTTTGCTCAAAAAAGTTGGCACCAATTGACAGAAAGATTGCATTAGGAAACACATCAGCTTTACAGAATTAACCATTTCTGGTCTTTACTTGCTCCATGACAATCCTTTCAACACAAATAAAGATTAATCTTGCAATGGAAACAGTTAAATATCTTGAAGGCTTTGATTCATGTACCATGTATATGTGCAGGACTACACACCCCCAAGAAAGATTACCGAGAGTCCATTTCAGGACTCCTCAATCCTCTCTCTCTCTCTCACATGGTGCACCCGCAAGCCTACTGTAAATAATAATATTATTCAGTTCTTGTAGAGTGCATAATACGTTATGAATTAACATCTCTATGCGCTTCCGAAGAGATTTGGAAATTAATACCATGTATCCCATAATAAAGTATACAGTATGGCACAGGAAGATAAAATTGTTTTGCATCTTAAGAGTTCTATCCCTGTCCTTGAATATGTGTAGATGACGTGCCTGTTGACGAGATCGTTGTTCAGGAGACCACGACAGACAGCATCACCATCTTCTACGCCACCGGTAACAGGCGAGGATTCGTTGAAGCCATCTACCTCGCAGGAACACCAGCTCTAGTAGGATCCAATACCTTTGTCACCGGAGCTGTAGTCGAGAAGACATTCAATGGCTTGACACCCGGAATGCTTTACACTATACGGATCACGGAATTAACTAACACCATTATGCAAAGGACTGTCAATGTCCGCACAAGTGAGTAGCTTCTCTTTAGACCTACTGGTATGGAAAATGAAGCTTTGATATAATGCAGAATTATAGTGGGATTTTAAACGGATCAATAAAGTTTAAAGAAAGTAAGATGCCTCTGTGCATTTGCAAAAATTTACACTTCTCACATCTTTTGCATAACTAAAATCTTTTTAAGGAATGATAATGTTGGTATATATTAAACTGAGTTGCCTCTCTACAACTGCAGAGAGCATCAAATACATTTTGATATCACACAGATTCATGACATTCACAATACTGAGTTTTCTCTGTGCACTGATTTGGTAAAACAAATATAATGAATGCTAATGCTTGAAAAAGGGGGGAAGAATGCTGGTTATATAAAAAAAAATGTTTTCCTTGAAAATGGTTTCTCATTGAAACATGTTCTAAAGTAACCTGTCTACAAAAAACACTTTTTGTGTTTCCCTTGGGTGGCCGCCATAGACAGGTTTAACTGTACAACGATAGTGACACCTGTCACTTTAGTAAGACACATGTTGAATAGGTGAATGAGGGGGTCTAATAATCAAGTGCTTATGTTCTCATCCCTTTAGGACCCATCGCTCCGTCTTCTATTTTCGGAAGCCCCACATCCACCGTGATTCCAGTCGCTTGGCTCGCCTCTCCTGGACCTATCAGCTTTTACGAAGTAACGTATTCTCCTCCCGATGGTACCACTCCGGCCGTTTCTAGAGAAGACGCTAGGGGAACTCTGTCTCTGGACATTGTTACTCTTCTACCCCAGAAGGTGTACACTGTGTTTGTTAGAGCTGTGGCAGGAGTGGATAACATGCCGAGCATCAGTGAAGCCGTAAGCGGAACGTTCGAAACATGTAAGCCGATAGGATCTATTGACACATGCTGTAACCCCTTCTGAGGGTGTTAAATTCCATAAAAATTCACATACTCTAATAATAATTATAATAATATTGGAGACTTATGTAGCGCTCATGCCTAGCACATTGCCAATCCTGGCGCTCCATTATTATTACTCCGGCTTTCCGACGGTTGCCTTTACAGCGCTTGAGCATTTTAAGGAATTAATTCCTGCCGAGCACCCATTTACCTCACCTGGGTGGAGTGTGGTAATTTAGATGAATGTCTTGCCAAAGGACTTTAGTACTACAACAGGGATTTGAACCTTGTACATTGAGACTTATCCACCGGACCGCAACACCTCTACATTTTGTTCACTAGACAGCAACATGCTCTACCAAAACTCTGGAATAATTTTTTTTTTTTCTTCCAGAAGTTCACTTTTATTATGGAGCTTTTTTTTTCTCACAGTATATCTTGAAAGTAAAAAGGACAATGTGACAAAGAATTTAAATTGGTACATGAATCGAACAAGTTATTTTATGGTAAATGTTTGTAAAGCTAGTTGCACAATAGGAACTAAAACTGACTGCCCTGAATGTGCAAAGTATCATTCAATAGATTAGAATTAATTTTCTATTAAATGTCAAACCAAAACGTTGTATTTCATGGTCATGCAATCTTGTCCAACAATGTATTAGTGAAAGGATTTGAAAGCGTCCTTCTTTTGTGACTATAGTTTAACGTTTGAATGTATAGCCAAGCTCTTGAATAGTAATCAGCCATTGCCTCTTCCAGAGCTGCCCACCATTCCGTTTTTGCCGGAATTACTCTGTTTTTTCCCCCAAATTACGGTATTACGTTTTTTCTTTATAAAATATTTTTTTTTTGTTGGTTTTTTTTCCTTTTTTTTTTTATTACATACCACACGTCAACCAACTGCTCTAAAATGGTGATTTCATCACAAATTCAATAGAAAACTAATTTTAAAACATACTTGAAGAGAAAAATATTCTCAAAAAGAATGAAATGCAGATAATACCAAAATAACCAAAACAAAAAACCCTGCTTGTTTGGAAAAAACAGCATGAGGAATGAACATTTCTGCATTGGAAGTGTGTCGCGCGTGAATGTAAGTTTTGTTTTTATGAATTCCTTTTTTTTGCTTGAAATTCCTTTTTTTTGCCATCATGATTCCTTTTTTTGGTCGCACAAGGCAGCTCTGCTCTTCATTAATTCATATATTTCAGTTCCTGATGTTGGTCATGACATCAAGTGAATATTTAGGAACTCGCAAACATGACTCTTTTTAGTCCTGGATATCTGAATTGACCTTTTCTACGTCTTGCAGTGTTCGGTGAAAAATGGAGATGCACTTGTACATGTGAATATTGCTTTATAATAATACTACTCTCTTCATTTAAATTTAAATTCAACTTCTCCTTCACCTCAGTGCCAGCGCAGCCAGGAGAGATCATCTTGCGCAGGATCACAACCGACACCATCACCTATACATTGAGTGAAGTGCCCAGTGTCCTCCAGTATATTGTTCAGCTGAACATAGGCACAGATTTACAGTCCGCAAATCCCCACGTACTTCCAAATGTCGAAGGAGAGTTTGACGAACTCACGCCGGGTCAGTTATACACGCTTGTTTTAACTGTGCCTGGTACACAAGGAGATTTGGCCACCATTCAAGTCAGAACAGGTATATTTTCTTTTTCTGATTTACTGTTGGTTATATTTGGGGTGATGATGGTTTAGTTTACTTGACTGCTAAGAAAGCATTGTGTTAAAGCCCCACTGCACTACTTGCAGCTACTTGCTCCCTCTATATAGAAAACAATGCCTAAGCGGTGCCTGTTGGTTCCCCATGATCCTCTTTTTCTTATGCTAATTGAGGGCTGAGTTGATGAGACAACCACCTGTCAGTGACCACGCTGGGTGATCTAATCCCTCTTGGCCAAACTAGTACAGACGGGATAAAGTATTAAAGCAATCAGGGGACCAGCTATTTTAAGTCCCTTATGCAGGACTGGGTAATGAAGATTAGATTCTAATCCCTTACCAAATGACACCAGCGTATCACTTGGTTTTGAGTTTCAAGACCACTGCTCTAGATCAACCAGGATAACAACGAATGCCATTTTATGTATTAGTCAAGTTATTGTTTCATTTCATTCAACATTAAATACATTTAATGTACTGTGCATGTCTATATTTATTCAAACAGAGGAAACAGGAGAGAGCAAATACATGAAAAACCTAAACAAAAGTAATAGTAAGGTCTAATTATAAAGTATTATAATGCTCTAATATCATTAATTTTTCCCATCTGAAGGCATTTAATGAACAACAATATTTGATATGCAAATGTAAATTATTCAAACTTTGGGTCCCTTATAAAAGATACATATAAGATAGAATTACATTGTTGTTAGTAGTTGTAGTAGTAGTAACAGTATTAATAGTAGTAGTAGTAGTAGTAAAAGAAGTAGTCGTAGTGGCAGTAGTGGTAGTACTAGTAAAGAAGTTGTAGTAGTGGCGATAATAGTAGTAGTAGTAGAGGTAGAAGTAGTGGCAGTAGTAGTAGTAGGAGTATTACTTGCAGTAGTACTGATATCATTTATTATTCATAGGTATTTATACATTATTATTATTGATATTATAATTATCATTAATACATCACCATCATCACCATTACGACCACCGTCATTTTTGCTATAATATTATAATCATAATAATAGGAATGTTACAAATCATATAATTATTATTGCTTTTCAGACCCAAACCCTCCAGGAAGCGTGTCAGTAGAACTTACATCGGTGCCCTATTCGTCCTTGCTCGCGGAGTGGGAAGCGCCTCCAGCTGGTTCCCTCAGCGGATACGAGGTTAGGGTCCGCCCGGCTGATCAAGTCTTGACCACCGTTTGGGACGTCGTTGATAGTTCTACCACAGAGCTACTGCTTGATAACCTTCTCCCAGAGGTGAATTACACTGTGGAGGTGCGGACCATCTCGGCAGGGGAAGGATTTTCATCTACGAGTGACCCGACTGAAGCAATGGGCAGAACTGGTTAGCTCAATTTAATTCTTTACCTACGGGAAATGGGCGGTCACTCTTCAAAAGGCATTTGAAGAGTCATGCTCTTCAGGGAACATTTTTTATCTGATGTTCTTCCACACTTGCATAATACAATGATAACGCTCACAAATTATTTTCACCCCTTCCCAGAACTCAACCTTCTCTTTATATGTTGAGTTAAGTAAAGTGACATGGAACCCCTAAAATAGAGAGAAAAACGTCTTTTGGCGATTGTTACACTTTAAGGGCTGCTATACAGATTTCTAATAGATATACCATCATAATAATTGCCATTACAGTCTGATAAAACGTGAAAGAACTATAGAAGGGAAACATGAAAGAGGTGAACAAGGAATCACTAGGTTTCACAACATCAAGCAAGACTGGACTCTGTTATTGAGAGATTAATTAGAATAAGATCTTATAATCAAAGCCCATTGATGTGCGTAGCCACCAACCCTGACCTGGGACGGCACTACATGAATGAATGAATGATATTTAAACAATTTTTTTCTTTCTTGCCTCAGCTCCATTCCCAGAAGCTATCTTGCTCGTGACTGGCTATGACACCACTACCATCTCTGTCACCTGGCGCAAGAAAGAAGGTGTCGACTACCTGGTGCAGTTCATTGAAGTAGGCCAGGAGCTTGGAGAGGACTTCCAAGGCCTGGTCCAGTCGTCATCATCAACCAGCACCATCCTGTCGTTCAGGTACACAGACCTGGTTCCAGGAAGAAATTATGAGCTCATCGTCAGAAGCAACGATCAAAGCGAGGACACAATCCGTGTTAGTCAGAGAACCAGTAAGTCATACTAGAGTTGGAGATGATGATTTTCTTCCGCTGAAATTTTTTCCGGAATGATGTCGTCTGTTGAAGCTAGATGTGTGTAAAACAATATGATACCCCTCTAGCTCCAAACAAACAATGAGTGATTTCAAGTTGGGTGTTAGTGTTTAATAGTGTTAGTGTTTAGAGCAGTCAAGAGCTCTTAAATCGAGCTAATAATTTAGCGTCATTCGTGCATAGACTGTTGTGCAGTACAACACCGAACTGGAAATCAACATTTGCCTCATCCCTAGGGCCTAGTGTTAGTGAATAGGACATTTGTGCGTAAAATAATAACACCAGCCAGAAAGGTGGTTCAGCAGACGACAACTTTGTAAAATCGATAACACTAGCTACCGGAAGTTGACGATATTCAGAAGTCAAAGTCTTAACACTAGCTGATTTCCATTCGGTGTTTAGGGCTGGTGTTAGTGTTTATTAAATACTAATACCAACCCTAAACACCGAACTTGTTGTATACCACGGGTGGCCAACATTTTAAAGCTCGCGGGCCACAGCTAACGATTGACATAAGTTGGCGGGCCGTAGGTATACTTCTCCCCCACCCCCTCCTCTCCCCCAAACCAGTGGCGAATCCAGGGAGGGGGGCCAGGCCTCCTCCCCTGGGAAAGACAGGTAAAAACATGTTAATTTATTGATTTAGTAAATCTTTATTTAGATACTGGCCCCCCGCCCTCACCTGGCGCTCAAGGCAAGGGGGTGCGATTTTCAAACTTTGGAGGGCCAATCAAAATATTGTGCTGACTACCAACCCCCCTCCCACTGAGCGAATTTTTCGGGGGCAAAAACAACAACAATTAGTGCTCCTCCCCCCCCCCCCCGATTATTCACCGGCTGGCTGTTAAATATCGCTGCTAAATATTTTCTTACGAATTGGGCCCCCTCTCTAGCCCCCTCCCCTGCCGCCGGCTAGATCCGCCGCTGCCCCACACAAACACTCATGCAATACGTGTACACACCTGCAATTTTGCAAAAGCAAACAAGCAAACAACAAAACCGGTGAGAAAAAAAATCAGGCTTATTTTTTAATGTGATTTTTGGGGCTGCATTATTTTGATAGGCAAGTTTCAGCAAGTCTAGATGCAGCGTGTCATAATTCATTGCTATGTTGTTAACCTTCATTACATTCACACTCTGGTGACAAATGAGGCAAAGTAGTTTACCTTTCTCTTTTATGAAGAAATACTTCAGAAACCAATCTGATTTAAAGTTTCTGCCTTCACCAGAAACAATATCCTAACTGTATTAGTTACACTGAACATCTCATTGAACGCAGTGTATATGTAATGGGAACGGGACAAGTTTACGATTAAGATTCATGAGAAAATTCAACGGTGGTAGAAAAGAGTTGAACAACTTGGCATTTCAAACATATTTCTCGATTCACAACATATGTATATTTACAGACGTTACTGCATGCGGAAATTACAAATTACAAATTATGTTGTGAATGATGAAGACAAATTATGGAAATACAGATAGCTGTGTGTAAATGTTTTACCCTATTTCATCGCTGCTACATGTTTGTGGGCCGCATTTCACTTATGAGGTATTTTGATAATTACTTTTTCAAAGCTCCGCGGGCCGCACCAAAAGAGCTCGCGGGCTGCGGGTTGGCCACCCGTGTTGTATACAGTAGACATATAAGAGGTAACGCGATAAATCTCATCTGTTATAAGTCGTTCTAGAACTTAAATAGCTTCTCCCTCTCTGAAATTATCTTCTGTAGTAATATCATGTGTTAGAGATCTTTGATGAAAGTTTCTTTGTTAAAGATACATGTAATATTTCTTCTGTAGCGATGTTGTTAGAATGAAATTGAAAACACAAGAAATGCTTCATAACCTTCAATTTTGCAATGTGTCCATGCAAAGAAGCAACGTCTCTGTTTCACAGCTATGGCCTTCAAGGAACAGCAAAGTTGTAGCTTATCAATCTTTAATTTGCTCATGCTCCAGGTAGCCATCTAGCATTCTCCACGAACACCACATTTCAAATGAGTCTAAATTCTTTCTGCTCTTTAAAATACAAATATATATTGTTTTGAAATAAGTTTCTTTATTTACTTCTTTAATCTTTGTAATGTGATAATGATTTTCGTCTTGTTTTGTGCTTTGTTTGTATTCTGTATTTATTTTGTTTATTACTATCATTGTAAGAGAAATCACTGTGTTTTATTACAAGCCGCTGGCGTTTTAATTCAACTTCCCATGCTCAATTTGATTATATATGATATCTTTGTATTTTATGACATTTATTAATAAATTGAAAATGTCCAGCATTCATTTCTGTACATCACCACCAGAGAGCCTAATAGAGGTACCATCCATTAGTACAGCTTGATATTATTAATGTGATGTCTTTTCTTTTTAACCCTAGTGCCGTCTCCACCGATGAACGCTGCTGCTGCACCACTCAGCGCAGAGAGCATCAGGGTGGCATGGACCGCCGCCACAAATGATTTTGAGTTTTACGAAGTCACCTTCTATCCTGCAGCTGATATGACAGATTCTACTGCCATGACCATACCAAGGGATCAATTCAGTGTTGATATAGATAGTTTATTAGCCGATACAGAGTATGTTTTTGATATTAGGAGTGTGAGCGGCAGTGGGAATTCGTTGCAGAAGAGTGCTGCTATCACAGCAAGTGCAGCAACAGGTTGGAGAAGAATTCACGTTTGTTTATCCGTTACGACTAAATTCTCATGTACCCCCGGTAATACTATTCCATGAAACCATTATCCCTTTAATAGCAGGGGTTGGTTGCCTGAATGCCTTGTCTCAACTCTCCTTGTTTGTGCGGCTTTCAGATTTAGTTCCCTCAACAACAACAAAATCCAAAAAATTCCCAAAAATCTTCAGCCTTCCTCTAACTCGGATTTCTTAATTTTGTTGTACCACAGATTTCAGCGCATTGGGGATTAAATTGCTTGCCCTGGGCATGGGCTGATAGGTACATTAATCCTGGTGATCCACCAAGTACAGGAAAATGTATCACCAGTAAAATCTCATGAGCCAAATGATTTGTTAATTGTTTGATTTGCATTATTCATCTTAATTCAAACTGTCTACCAAGTTGATGTGTATCGAACCTGTCGAAGAGTGGACGGTGGACGGACCTCAAGTCATGCTTTAGAGACAGGACAGTTGATATAGTTTATTATAGTTTTTTACTCATCTTGGACTTATATGACCATCATCTTTTCATCGCATAGAACAATCTGGAGATAATGCACAGTTTTCAGTAGAAACAGAAAACGGTATTTTGAGCAGAAACCAGTTCCTGAAATCTGACATCGAGTGCAAAACTGTAAGTTCAGCCCCACATACTTTATTTCGTGTATATCCACAGCGATAAGAGAACCTCATTATGCCACCCAAGCTCCGCCCAGCTAGCAATAAAAAAGCCAAAACCACAGGCAAAATCCAGTCTGCCAGCCAAGGACAAATGCCAACACCTAAACGTCCTTTTAACGCTCATGAGGGGGTAAACCAAGAGGTAATAAGGCAGCAAGGTATGACAGCCACCACAAGCAGAGATGAATCATCGAAGGACAAGGGGGTCTTCATAAATTTTGATGATCTCTCTGACCAGCTAGGGGACATTAATTACGGAGGTGATGGTAATATGGCACAGGTTATAACCAGTGCAGTGGAGGCAGCAATTAAAACTGCAATACCAGCCATTGTTCAAGCAGTGAGAGATGCTTTTATGGTCAATGTAAAAGAATCTGTCAATCCTGTGATCCTGCGGTCACAATTTCGCATGGATGAGATGGAGCAGGAAACAAAAAGAGAAAATCTGCGCATTAGCGGCTTAGCAGAAAATGGTGAAGAAGAAGAAGGCGAAGAGTCTGAAGATGACCTAATAAGAAAGGTCATTGGATTGGCAAAAGCAGTGGATGTTGAAATTCAACCATCTGACATCTCGTCCTGTTATCGTATAGGGAAGTGGTCACCAGATAAGGAGAAGATTCGTCAGTCTGTTGTGCGCTTCACAACAAGGAGGAGGAGGGATGCCCTGTACCAGGCACGTTTTGGTCTGAAAGACAAGGACAACTTCACGAGGGTGTATGTGAATGAGGACCTAACCAGGCTGAGGTACTCGGTGATGATGGCGGCCAAAAAGATAGATGGAGTCAAGAGTGTGGCGACAAGGTCAGGAACAATTGTCTGCAAGATGGATGATGGCGATTTTAAAACAATTCGCAACCCTGATGACCTTTTTGATCTTGGACTTGATGATATGGATTACGCTCGCTTCAAGCTATTTGTCATTGCTTGATTTTCTTTTTATCTGAGTAATTTTAAGTCATTAATAGAAAAATGACTTTAAAATGGAGGACAATGAACTCAATCTGTGTCTTAGTTCACACAAATTAACTCCTGTTAATTTTGATGATGTTCTGCAAACCAAAACTGAAAATGCATTTTCTCTTACACATGTCAATATCAGATCTTTGAATAGAAATATAGAAAACCTAAAACTGTTATACGAATGTAGTATCAAATCAAAATTTGATATAATATGTTTATCTGAAGTGTGGAGCGTACCAGACACATCCATCTTGGGCATACAAGGCTATACTTTAGAGGTGAAATGCCGCAATCATACTTTAAGAGGTGGAGGTGTTGGTGCATACATTCACTCTTCCCTTAAATACAGGCTTTTGGGAAATTTTGAAGTAGCACATGCTGAATCACTTTGGTTGGAAGTAGTAATTAATGAAAAGAAGATCATTATTGGTGTCATCTATCGCAAGCCAAATACAGATATTCATGAGTTTCAGGATAGTCTGTTAAGTATTGTACATGATCTGAAATTAGACAAAAGTCAATGTGTGCTAACTGGAGACTTCAATATCAATCTTCTAGGCGATGAAATGGCAGCTGATAACTTTCTCACCTCCATGCAATGTATCGGCATGCATCAATTGATTAATTTTCCTACTAGAGTAACGCAACATAGCTTCTCTTTGATTGATCATATATATACCAATATGAATGTTCCCAGTATTCATGCAGGAATAATTGAATCTGACGTTACAGACCACTTTCCGATCTTTACCATTTTTAAGTCTAATATACAATTTAAGAAAAAGTCTTGCCGAGGAAAATTAATGTCTCGTTCTTACAAGAACTATGATGTTACAAAATTCCATGCTGAGCTTGCCAATATAACATGGGAATCAGTTTATGCAGCGGATGATGCTGATCTCGCATACTCCCGTTTTTGTGAAATCATGACAAAAGTGTGTGATGAGCATGCACCAGTTGTAGCTCAACACGGTAAAAGGAGAAAGAACGAACCTAAGAAACCTTGGATTACAAAAGCTATAATGAATTCCATAAAAAAGAAACATACAATGTATTCACAGGTTCTTGCCACCAACCACAATCCTGTCTATTTAACAACATACAAGAAGTACAGGAATATGTTAACTACAATAATCAGAAACTCAAAGAGAAATTACTATAGTAGGATATTCCTTGAAAATAAGGGTGATACTAGCAAAACATGGAAGACTGTAAACGAGATTTTAAGTGGTGGAAACAATTCGTTTAAGCCAACAGTGGTGGATAAATTGTGTGTGAATGATACTGGTACTAATGAAACCCTGTGTAATGAACAAGATATTGCAAATGCATTTAATGACTTCTTTGTTAATGTTGGTCCAAATTTGGCGAATGCCATACCAAACACAAATCGTAATACAGAGAAAGTTTTAGACGATGGTGTAGACAAATCTTTCTTCTGGAAACCAGTTACTGAGACTGAGGTTAGCAACCATTTAATAGCCTTGAATGTAAAGAAAGCTAGTGGGTATGATAATATGCCAATCAAGCTGATAAAAGATGCTGTGCACTATGTAACTTCTCCCCTTACATTTATTTTCAATCTGTCTTTCACCTCTGGTAAATTCCCAGATGCCTTTAAAATAGCAAAAGTGACACCTGTTTATAAGAAAGGACCTAAAGATGAAGCAGGAAATTATAGACCTATTTCAGTATTACCTGTTCTTGGGAAGGTTTTTGAAAAAATTGTAAATAATAGGCTTCTTGACTTTCTTGAAAAAAATCATGTATTATATGAGCACCAGTATGGCTTCCGTAAAAAATACAGTACAAAATTGTCAATGATAAATTTAGTTAACACTTTGAGGAATTCAATGGATGAGGGAAGAATCACACTTGGGATATTTGTAGACTTTAAGAAAGCATTTGATACAATTAATCATGATATTTTATACAGCAAACTTTCACACTATGGAATACGAGGCATAGCATTACAGTGGTTTAAGGACTATTTTTATAGAAGATTTCAATTTGTACAGTACGGAAATGTAACATCTCCCATGCTGCCTTTAACATGTGGTGTACCGCAAGGCTCTGTCCTAGGCCCAACGCTTTTCCTACTTTATATTAATGATATGCCATTTGCTACACGTTACTTTAACTTTCGACTCTTTGCGGATGACTCAAACTTATTCCATACATTTCCTGAAGGGCAAAAAGAAATTGATATGACTGAAGTGAACACAAATCTTCAAATTGTTTCAGACTGGTGTAATGCTAATAAACTGACAATTAATTTACAAAAGACGAGTTATATGCTAATAAGAAACCAGAGACGGCAGATTAATGTTCAAGGGCAACTGGCTATATCAGAAGCTGAAATAATAGAAGTTGATTCTTCGCTCTTTGTTGGGATAAAGATTGATAAACACTTGACTTGGAAACCCCACATACAAATGGTTAATAAATGCATCAGACAAAAAGTAGGAATCCTCTTCCGCTTACGGCATTTTGTGCCTAGAAATATCCTAGTGTTGTTGTATAAAACCTTTATTCAACCTCATATATCATACGGAATTGAAGTGTGGGGGAGCACTTACAAGTCTCACTTAAATTGCATACTGTATACACAGAAGATGGCCATACGGACAATCACATTTAGCCATTTTATGAGTCGTTCAGCACCATTGTTTTACGAATTGAAAATCTTAGATATTAACAAGTTCTATGAGTTGTCTCTATGTACATTTATGTATGACCTAGTACATAATAATTTACCTCACTGTTTGACGGATTATTGTGATAAAATTGAGCATAGATACAATACAAGAAAAAGAGAAAAGGGCCATCTACGTATACCACTGTATAAAACAACACAAGGCAAATTTTCAGTAACTTGTGTAGGAACCCGATTATGGAATGAACTTCCCGATGAAATCAAAAACAAAGGGTCTAGAAACACTTTTCGTAAACATCTCAACGATTACTTGATGAATAAGTGATTGAATTATGCAAGTACACATGTATATATTGTAAATAATCTCCATATTACATTTTTGTTGTTTTTTTTTTGTCAAAAAAATGCAATTTTTTGTATAAATAATCTGTAGATACATGTATCTATGACTTTTTAACCTGGTATATCCTCTTCATAATTATATTTGGAGTGTAGAAATTGTGCTACGGTATTACTCAACATGTATACTTCTACTGTCAAGTTTTATTTTTTGATAATGATATATTTATTTTTGCCAAGTGTGTGCTAAGAACAGGGGCCAGACTCGACTAGCACATGTGCTATTATTTGGCTCCTTTTCATCACCTTCTATATTCTATGAGAAAAGACATATGTCTAGCATATCAATACTTTGTTAGGTTTTTCTTTAATATGATCTATAATATTCATTTATGAACATGTACCATTCACGATGTATTCAAATGTTTAATCACTGATGTTATTGATGATGAATAAATAAAATCAAATCAAATCAAATCAAATTATTGACCCATTGCCTTCAAGAACCGGATGGATCCTGTATAAAAAACCTCTAGTAATAAAGGAGTTCAGTAGTCAGGTCGTTAAAGGTAATACAAAGTTTTGGTATGGGGTAATGGATTTGGTTCAAATGAACATATTGGAAGCATATGTAATCCTACAATATTCAGTGATCGTTGTCGCGTTTGAAATCAAGTCTAAAGTGATGAAATTGTAAATAATAAACTCTTTATGTTGTATAGCGCCCTCTTAAGGCCAAGATATTAATTCAGCTATAAAACATTATTTGACTAAAATCGACCGATTAACTATTACCGTTTGGAATATATATATATCAAATCTGCATATTCTGAGATACTTATGATTGCAGCTAACATCGTATGGCTGTAGGCGCTATTTCAAATTTATCAGAATTTACCGGGAGCACCGGTAAATTTTTATATTAAATTTTTCTCGAAAGCAGAAGAGTTTTAGGGGCTAAAATTTTTAGTGCTTATAATACATCCATAGGGGCATCCAAATATATCAAAATGGTAAAGAATCACTATCCAGCCAATTTTCAAAATTTACCAAAACTTTGTAATACCTTTAATAGATAAGTAATAAGTTTGTTTTGAATATCAAACAAGAGGATGCTTTGCTAAATTCTCATTTTAGTCACACCCTCTGTTTCTCTCACCCCCCCCCCCATTGATTTCTCTTCTGCATTTGATTTTTTAAGATGACCTTCTATTTTATAAGATCGACATCCCTGGAAAATTACAATTTTCTGTTGATCTATCCATAACCTTTGTAATTCTGTCTAATTTGGATCACTCTACCCATCTCCTTTGTTCACCTTTCATACAGAACCAATCATCATGAGACTCTTCTCTGCCGTGGAGAATGTTTTGCTAATTGATTTCACCCCCATCGTTGGTATCTTTGATGATTACCGCTATGGATACCGCGCCCTTCCCTCCGGTACAATCACCTACGAGCCACTTGACTCGGGAACGTCTCAGTTCGGCATCCAGGGATTGAGGTCAGGTGCTCTGTATGAGATAACGCTGGACACACGAAGAGGAGCGATCTACACCGAAGTTGATCGGATCCAGGCTAGAACTAGTAAGCTTCAATTAGACCACATTTCAATCTACTGTTTTATGTTGAATTTGTTTCCATTTGTGTAATATCCTCAAGTTAGAATAGAGTCCGGATATAACACTAGCGATAACACACAACGTGCAGAGAAATGGCCGTGTTCTATGTAATGTGTTTGATCCAAGAGGCACAAATACAGGATCATAAAACGTATATTCTTGGACTCGACCTGTTATTCAGTCAATGATCATTAGTGGTATGAACGATAATTGAGCTGGATTAACTAGTGATTGGAATGAATGTCAGATATTATAATTGTGCATGTAAGATTAATGTGTGCCAATCTCTGACAAATTCATTTGTGTACAACTACCTGTATATTAATGCATTATTATCAACCTTAAAAACACTTTAACTGACATTCTACGGGCTACAAATTAGGAGTATGAAGAAAATAAAAACCAGATAAAAATCTGTGTACAACAATGCTCACAGGCCCTATTTCATGCTGGCGCGGACAGGTGTGTCGAGAAGCCGACTCGCATTAACATGTACTTGACACCATTTTTTTTTAAAGAGGAAAATACATGTAGTTAAAGGAACTTGGTAACATTGTTCAGATGAACGATAGTGGTGCTTAGGTAGTGACTTCAATGCTAGATGTACAATATAAGATAATCTGAAAATTTGAGTGAAAACGGACCATTATTCATGGTACAAATTGGGAAAACTGCTCTGTTCAATTTCTTAATTCCCCCAACTATATTATTAAAATTTAATTACATTTTAGGTGAATGTAAATCGTCACAAAGCAATAAAATGGCTCTACATTCCATTCCAGACAGTTAAGTGTTGACAGATTTTGTATAGCCTGTTTTGTGTCTTTTTTCATGGAAAAACGGTTGGGGAAAATTCAAAAATGGTTGGGAGAATTTACTGTTAATCACTGTTAGAGGGTGCCTCCCATCGACGCCTTCAAAGAAAACCATAGATATCTTCGTGGTTTGAGAATTTTTTCAGGATTTGTTGCTTGTCAGAGGGGTAGTACAGTAGAAGGAATATAGTAAATAACATTTTATACAAAGAAGATTAAGCAATTTTTTTCATCAACCTTCAACAATGTTACCGAGTCACTTTAAGAACAGTTCGTTATAATTTCTTTTTTTCGACATTGCTACTATGATAATTTTGTCACAAATTATTTCAGCTATCAGTTGAGCTTTTCATATCATGATATTGCTTTAACTTGGTGTAAGGCAATATCTGATGCACATTGTCAGATATGATTGTAGAGCTGGAATGGTATATATTAAAGTGTGAGACATGAATTAAGGATTTTGAATACCTGCTGCATCATTAACTCCCTTTGGCAATTTATCTACACTTGCCACACTCCACGCAGGTGAGGTAGATGGGTACTTAATGGCTAGAATCAATTCCTGAAGCTGCTCAAGTGCCATAATGGCAGCCATGCTAAAGTTGGGGTAATAACTGTAGAGTGCCCGCAGTGTCAAGTCTGGCAAGTCAAAGCGTTATACAAGAAGCTATGTACTTACTGCCCATTATGCCTCCTGGCACATAGGGCAGCAACAAAAGTCTTCCACTCCTTCCGATCCTGGACCAGTCTTTGGATGGTTCCCCATGTGTCGTCCAGGTCTTTAATCTCCCCTTCCACATTTCTTCGCCAAGTGTTTTTAAATTCTGGTGTCCAGTGGAGGGCTGTCCGTGTGATGTCATCTATGTTCTTTCTCATGTCCGATTCATCTCCAGTATTATTACATGACTTTCATATTTCTCTTTTTTACTCAGGGCCCTCTGCCCCTCGTCTGATTAGTCCAGTGAGAGACTTCGATGATAATTCATTCACCTTAGAATGGCTAGCCCCCTCTACAGCTCAGGTTGATTTTGACGGGTTCCGCGTGATCTATACCCCTGCCGATGGAGCGCTTGAGTCTCCACTGTTACTTGATAAGACTCGGACATCACTGTTCCTGACGCGTCTTGAACCAGCGACTGAATATATGGTTACATTGGTGTCTGTGTCAGGACAAGGAAGCACACAACAAGTCAGCTTTGAAGAAAATGTTTCAGTTACAACAGGTACACATTATTTTGTATACATCTTACATGAGAGTACAAATGTTAAAGCCCCTCTGTACTACATATAGCTACTTGCTTCCTCTATATAACAAACAATGCCTAATCGGTGTCTGTTGGTCCCCCATGATCCTGTTAATTGAGAGCTGATTTGATGAGATAACCACCTGTCAGTGACCTTGCAGGGAGGTCTACCCCCCCTTCCTGGCCAAACTAGTGCAGACAGGCTTTAAATTCACTGATTTTTGTTAAAGTGGTATTTATTTTAAAAACAACCATGTGTTGCAACATTATTATTATTATTATTTATTCGACCATAAAAACACATTCAGCATGTACAGTGTATATAGGTGTATACAGAGTGAAATAGGAAAAATACAAAGTAAGATAAAGAAGGAATAGCATGTGGGTCAGGGTGCACAAAAGCGAAATTCTTCCCTGTTGCCCGGGGGCATGTGCACCCTCACATGCCATTCCGAGACATAATAGAATATATTGCAAGGTTCACATTATATAAGTATACAAAATAATTACAAACAATCATTCAGAAAATCATGATTAAATTAAATTTCGATAAATGCATTAAGAGGATATGAAGCTGCAATGAATAGAGTGCTTTAAGATTTGTATGCAGAAAAAACTTAAAACTTAAAATAACCAGAACACAATTAACATAAATCGTCATTATTCAATTGATCCAACGGTGTCTCATTCAAAGAAATTCTAATTAAAAAGAAAAAAGAAGAGATGTGTAATTGTTCAAGGTAAATCTGACCAGCAATTTCTTGTATATAACAAAAATATACATATGAATAGAGCGTAAATATTGTTTTGGGCTATACAATCAAGGAAATTATAAAACGTCATGTACCACAATAATGTACAATTTTTGCAGAAATTAAAGGTGCAATAAGCATTAGGATTGATAATCATTCACAAAATATTGAGTAGGGCCTATGGTGTTATCATTTAAGAAGAGTGGCATAATGTGGATATGAAGCTATCAATGTGGACCATTGTTCCAGGTTCAATTAATATAATCATTGTATCATTGAAAGAAAAAAAAAGAAAAAAAAAAAAATTAAACAAGTAACATTCTGAATCCAGTGTTTCAATAAGTTCTTGGATATTGATAAACAATGATTATTAAAGAAAAGGAGGAATCCCCCACTCTCAGTGAGGAAGCCCCTCTCAGTTTGAAAATTAGTTAGAATCGAGAAGGGACCGCTTCATAGAGAGTAGAAAGGATGAAAGTGAGGAGACCACCGATGCATCCCTAACCTCTAACGGTAATTCATCCCATACCCGAGGAAATCTCCGGGAAGCGGACAGGAACAGGGCCTGTGTTCGTGATTGCTGATGAATGAAGGACAGTGTAAAGAGGCGTCTCTTGCTAATGGCTATGTTTTCTATTAGTGTTTCACAGTCACAACAAAAGTACAGACATTTGAAGGTAAAGGTTTTGTATGTAACCCAGTCAGTAGAAGCTTTAGTTCTTTTAGCGTTTCTGAACAGACAGTGTTTCTTAGAAATAAGTTTCTTGAGCTCAGCTGTGATCCATGGTGAGCATTTGGATTTACGCTTAGATGATTGTGGAATCGATTCTTTAATTGCTGCATTAAAAAGATCTAAGAATAGTTCAGAACTTTCTTCAACATTACAAGGGTCTAGAAATGAGTTCCAGGGAATGAGATGAAGAAGAGTCCGCAGGTGGTCAAAGTCTCCCTTGTTGACATGTAGGAAAGACCGGAGAACAGAAGGCATTGGAGCGGGCTGCGATGAGCGAAGACGAACGCAAACAGCCAAATGGTCCGATTCCACAGGATTGGCCATAGTATGAACATTTGTTATGGCATGGTCACGATTGGTCAATACTAAGTCTATGAGTGACCCTGAATAGACATTCGTAGCGGTCAGACGAGTAGGAGAAGCTACCATTTGAGTGAGATCGAAGTCATTCATGAAAGATGACAAATGGGTCCGGTTGTTTGAAAGAACATTAGGGGACATGTCGACGTTGAGGTCCCCTAGGAGAAGAAGCCCATCGTAGTCATCGGGGTTTCACAGAATCCAGCTCAGCTTGTAGCAACTTTGAACTGTGCATATTTTACTATCAAAATGCTGGAGCGCTGTATAAATGGCAGCTAGGCTAAAGCTGAGGTAATAATAAATGTGCGTCAAATAGAATTATCTAGATAGACGACGCTAAAGAAATGCCTATTATTATTATTATTAATAATTTTAAATTATCTTTACAATTTGTATCTCTTTCGTAGCCGCTGGTGTGCCTGGTGGTGTCAACATCAAGGAGCTGACTGAGACGTCCATTCGTATCACATGGAACAGTGCTCCCAGTGTAACCTACATCCCCACCATCACACCAGATGAAGGGACAACCGGGATCTTGGGTGACGAGGCTGCCATCTTTGAAGAACTCACCCCTGGCCAGCTCTACACACTGACAATGACACAGATTGGTGGTTCCTCAGGTCCCTCCACTCAACAGTACACATGTGAGTGATTTACTTTCAGATTGTTTATTAAATAATTAAAGGGAAATCAAAATTTAAAGGCATCGTTTAACAATGTTAAATCTGAGATGCGCGGCCCTACCTGTTATCAGTGTCTGTGATATGGTGTAATATTAAAGTGACTTGGTAACATTGTTGAAGTTTGATGAAAAAATTGCTTCATTTTTGTATAAAATGTTACTTACTATATTCCTTGTACTGTACTAACCCTCTGACATGAAACAAATCCTGAAAAAAATTCTCAAACCACGAAGATATCTATGGTTTTCTTTGAAGGAGTCGATGTATGACACCCTATAACATTGATTAACAGTGATTAACAGTAAATTCTCCCAACCATTTTTGAATTTTCCCAACCGTTTTTCAATGAAAAAAAGACATAAAATAGGCTATAAAAAATCTGTTAACACTTAAATGTCTGGAATGGAATGTAGAGCCATTTTATTGCTTTGTGGCGATTTCCATTCACCTAAAATGTAATTAAATTGTAATAATATAGTTGGGAGAATTAAGGAATCGATCAGATCAGTTTTTCTCAATTTGTACCATGAATAATGGTCCGTTTTCACTCAAATTTTCAGATTATCTAGCATTGAAGTCACTACCTTAGCACCACTATCTCTCATCTGAACAATGTTACAAAGTCCCTTCAAAGCCCTAATATTGCGCTTCAAGAAAAAAGTGCCTTAAAAAAGTAAAAATCTTTGAGTAACCGGTTTTACCACAATCGTTTTCCCAAATAGACTGTAGTGTTAGGAAAATGCAAAATTTGATTTTGATTTCCAATCGTAAATATCTTAATAATCAGACAGGCGATCGGCTTGTAAAAGTCATGGGGTTCCTGACTGACCTAAAGGTTTATATTTATCATTGGAGCATGAGCTAAATCCAGGATTTTGTTTCAGAATCTGAGTCAAATTTACGCAATCCCTTTAACCCTTTCATAACAATCGTTCCACATTTGTTTGTTTGGTTCAATAAATTAAGATTCAGAGCCTAACAAAATATGCGAGACGCATTAGTAGAAAGGGCAAAATTTCTGAATAAACTGCATTTATTTGAATTTCATGACTATCTTGCGGTTGATGTCAGGAACTTTTAAAAAGTAAAATAAACTTTAAAATCCTTGAATTGGCAACACACTGAGAAATTAAATTCATTATTTTTGACGGAAATGGCAATGTTTCAACATTCCCGCCGATGTATACTGTTTTTAGAGACATTCCATTTAATTTTTACAATGTAGCAATAAAAGAAAAATATTATTGTTGCCAATTTAGAGGGAAATGTGATAGATTTGGGGTCAATAAATGAATTTGTTTCCACAGTACCAAATGCCCCCATGGATGTGGCCATCTCCAGAACTACTGCCTTTGAACTGGACGTATCCTGGAGTCCGCCAGCGCTTGGGTTCTACAACTCCTTTAGTCTAACCTACTCTCAGGTTGGGGCTAGTGAAGTCACTACTATACCTGTTCCTGCGAGTGATACACCCTCTGTTACCTTGCCTGACCTTCTGCCAGAGACGTCCTACGCTGTATCGGTTGTCTCGGTCAGAGGAACTATCAGCAGTCAGCCTGCTGAGACGTCGGGAACCACAGGTAACTTCCTTCCATCGTTCATCCAGGGCCCGATTTCACAAAACTTGTCATCAGTGACAAATGACAGTTTTTGTTATAAGCTACTGAAATCCTTGCTTCTGATTGGTTATCAGCAGATTTGTCACTGATTTTTGTCGTTTGTCATTGAAAAAAGGCTTCGTGAACGGGGTCCCAGATTTCGCCCAACCCTTTGTGTGTGTGCCATGCAAATGATCTCCTTGTGCAAAATTACTGCCGCTGGGGTATTCATATGTACAATTAAGCTAAACAGGTGTTAAATGGGTTTTAATGAAGATGATTTAGACTGGAAATTGTTAATTTTAAAAGGTTTTTACGCACAAAATAGTCCTCTTAATTGTAACCTTTTGTTTATGCCAAATGGTACTTGTGGCAACTCTGGGAGTGTGCCAGTTTGCACCGGTGGCGCATCAAAGTTGATATGATCCACACTTTGAACTAGAGTTTACTAAGACTTCCACTGCTGAGAGGCAGAAGATCGTTTTGATGGGTCAGTGACACAAAGTCATAACTCCATGTTGGCCATTTTGAGAAAAAGTGGTTAGTGTGTCACTGAGCACTTGGGCCTTGAGTTAAGTCTATGTTTCACTAGGCATTGACTTCAATGGGGTGTTGGGTGGAGTTAAGTCGTTGTGTGTCCTGGAAAGCCCACATTTTCCTGAACATTTTGATATCAAATACTTGTTTTGGCAAAATATGGAGTTACATCCTTGTGTCACTGAACCCTCGATTTCCCTGGATCAACTCAACAGGTGATTTAATACAAATGTGATTTCTCAGACACATAAGCATCTTTAAAAAAAAAGAAAAGTTCCATGGCATTGACGGTATTTGTATTTCCAGCCATTGTATTCTATAAAGAATCCGTGAATTTGTTAGGGCTGGAATTACCTTGTCTATTCCTGTCTATAATCCATCGATCTCCACATGTGGGCTATAAACATGCAGTCCCTTATTTAAACTAAAACTGTTGTTATGATTATAACTATTATTACATTTTAACATGGTATCTTCTTGTAGGTCGAGCCCCAGAGGGTGTGCCGGTACTTGTAGAACGTACGACTACCACCATTTCCATCAGCTGGGGTGCATCAATGGATGCACTGGCTACCGGATACCAGCTGAGGATCAGAACAGAAGGAGGTACATCCATCCTCTTCAACCTAGGGCAAGCACTCACCACCTACACCTTTATGAACTTGGAATCAGGAACATACTATATCATCAGCCTGCAGATTGTTGGGCTGTCAGAAGCACCACAGGAATTGCCAGTCACGACATGTAAGTTGTTCATTGCCCTTGGGTGTGGTCTGGGGTTGCGAGGATGGGGAGGGGGGGGGGGGGTAACTCAGATTTGGTTTGGGTGGGGATGTGCGGCTGGAGCCTCCCATACCCATTTTTAAGGGCTATTTGGGGAGAAAAAGATACTTGCTATTTGATTTTGGGCTGAAAAAGCAAAATTATTTCAATCTCATTGTGGATATTGAAAAGAAAATTGTAACCCATATCTAAGGCCAGGATATCTAAAGGTGAGGTAGGACCACCCATTAGTATTGTTATCATTGTAATTATTTTTCATGTTGTTGTTATTGTCATGCCATCATCATCATCATCATCATCATTATCATCATCATCATCATCATCATCATCATTATTGTCATTATTATCATCATAATCATCATCATCATCGTCATCATGATCATCTTTATTTTCATTATTATTATTATCATTATTATCAACATTATAATTATCATCATCGTTATTTTACAGACCCTCAGACCCCAGGTGCCATTCAGATCCTTCGCACCACGCAGACCAGTATCACCTTCGCCTGGGGCAGCGCCGGAGGAAACTTTGATCTCTACTCTATCAATCTGTACCCTGATGGTTCCCAAACTGCCTTCCTGCAGGATGTTCCCAGAGGCTCCGACCTTACCGTCTCCAAGAACTACCTTGCCCCTGGAACGTTGTATAGGATCGAGATCTACGCTGTCACAGGATCTACACGCAGTGCTCTCCGAGACACCACTGCTTCTACTGGTAAGCTTATATTGTTTTTATCCAACGTATGAGTATTTTTGGTGCTTTGTGTAATAAATTAAAGTGTGAGTTAGAGGCTCATATTGTAACTTCACCATAGTCCATTTGTACATAATGTAAGTACATGGTATTTACATATGATATGAAAAAACATTCTAATTGATGAATCGTATTAGGTATGTTTGTTTATTACTGGTATTTAATCTATAATATATATTGTTCTGTTTTTTGTAATTTATTTATTGATGTTACGATGTATTTTGGAAAAAATATTGATATATATGTCAATGAAGTTCATTGAATAAAATACATACATCTATGGAATGTAACAGTAGTAGAGATTGGTAGAAATGTAATTAGAAGTAAACCTTAGCTATATTATTTCATTTTATTTTGATAAACCTCTTAAACCTGTTGATTGTTGAATTGTTTGATGTCCATTGTAGTCTATAGATATTTTTTCCCATTACTGATGCGAATGCCCAAATAATTCGCTGTGTTGTATTTTCAGTTTATATAGACAAAATAGGTCTGAAACATATTTACTGTTGACAGAATGTGTTTTCCTCTGTTGGAGCTGTGAGGGGATTATTGCTGTCAATAATATCAATCCCTCCTGTTTTTCTTTTCAGCAATGGAGCTTTTGGTCTTCATCACAATTGATGCCTTTGGCGTGGCTCTTTCCTGGCCTAATGCACCAGATTTTTCCAATTACTATCTTGAATATGATCCCTCAAATGGTATGCCGCCCTCTCCAGTTCCTACCACCCAGGACAGTGTCTTCCTCAATAGTCTTACTCCAGGACAGGTCTACAACTTTGCTCTCTCCTCGGGCACTCCTGAAACAGGCACACAGAGTTTAGTCAGGGCAACATATGTCTTAGGTAAGATTTGTTGTCATATTGCTCTTAAATTTGTGATTAATCAGAAGTAGGAGTGGTATTTTTCTGACTTGCACTTTCTTTATATGAAGATATATAATGCAGAAGGAAATCAGAGAATAATGGCTGCGTATCTTAAATCAAAGTTACCAATTGCTGTTCTCCCTTTTGGATTTTTTTCTTTCCCTTTTAAAAACACTACACCACGGAGTCAGACCGACAGATTGACAAATATATATGTAGATTTTTTTCCTACGGAACCTGCATACAAGCAACTAAAGCTAAATCATGGACTTTGTATACAGCATTTATTTCCGTCTCATCAGCGCCTGTGATGAGGCAATTGCATGTACATGTAAAGATATTTGCTCTCTACTATTCCCAGAATGAGTTGGAATGTACTTTATTTTTATTTTCTCTCTTTCAGCGCCGCTTGCACCGACTATGGAGATCATGATCCTCTCTCCAACTACCATTCTGATCAAGATCCTACCAGCCTCCGCAGGGGTCCTGGATTACTATCGAGTGGGTGTGACAGCCAGACAGACGGGGTTGGGTGTCGGCCAAAACGGTGTCGCTAGCTTCAATATCCCCAGAGAGGCCTGTCCTGACGTGGTTATCACAGACCTGGTACCTGGAGGAATGTACGACGTTGAGGTCGTAGCTGTGTCCGGAGAGACGAATAGTGCTGTTTCATCCATGGATGTCTCCTTAGGTAATTACATGGTTAAACAGTTCTACATTCATGTACTGATAGATGAAGTTGAGTCCTGGTCAAGCAATCACATTATGAAAGTAACAGTCTGGTAGCAATTAGGATAAGTTGATTATGTAGTAGATAAGAATTGGTTTATTCATGTATATTGAGGTTTGGATAAAGTAGTATCATCAAATAGTTGGCCCAATCATGCTAAAATCACATGCATGGCACACAGAAAAAAGGTATATGAGACTGAAATGTACACAAATGTGTGGTCCCAACTTTTCAGGCATATATCGAATATGAGGGCAATTGAGGACAATGAACTTTATCATTGTTTTTATTATTATTATTATCGTTGTTGTTGTTGTTATTATCATTATCATTATTATTATTATCAATATCATTGTTATTCTTAATTTTCATTATTATTTATTATTTCAAATTTCTATTATCATTATTATTGCTATTATTATTCTTAGTAGAAGTAGTAGAGTAGTATTGCTTTTATTATTATCATTCGTATAATTATAACTATTATTATATTTCAGATACCATGGTTGCTGGCCAGTTGACTGTGAGTGATCGCACTACAAACTCTCTAGAAGTAGTCTGGGGTGCAGTCACCGGTAGAACGTTCACCAACTATGTGGTGAACCTGTTTATTGGTAATACTCGGACCCAGACCCGATCACAGGGCATCAACGAGGAACGCAAGGTGTTATTTGAGGGCCTGCTGCCAGGCACAGAGTACTCCCTGAATCTGGCAGTGGAAGGAGATGCAATTACACAGTCTACCATACTTACTGCTACAGGTTAGTTTTCTTCCCATTTGAATATGGCATGATCATAAACTGCCTGCTGGATGCCAGAAGGGCGTGAACTATAGAATCAATCTTAGTAAAAACACCTTTTTGGCTCTCTAGAGATTGATAAGAGGGCATATTTAAGGTATTTAGTCATTTCCTGTTCCATACGTTACCAATCAACATGTAGATCTGTATTTGTTAGTTTTCTCTTTTTCAGAATACACCTCAAAATAGGCCCAATACTGTAGATTTGAAATGTATTTAAATTAATCAAAAATTAGATTACAATTTTTGTAAACAATAAATTACATACATATATGTGTCTTTCAACAGCACCGCTGACCCCTGGTAGCCTGTCCTTCCTGTCAGTCGAAGGTCAAGAGGTCACTCTAGCATGGCCTGCTAGAAACTCTCAGGTTGATTCCTATGAGCTCTGCTGGACTCCTTCCAGCCAGACTCGAAGTCCTACTGCCGATGCAACCCAGGAGCTCCTGACGTTAGAGCAGTCTGATGTGGAATACACCATCTCCTTGTATGCTGTGGTGTCTGTGGGTGTAGGGGACGAAGTGAAGACTATCAGAAGTGATGCAATCACCTGCTTCATCACACTCAGTAAGTGGACAAATCTGCTGCTCTAAGCCAGAAGGGCGATAATTAAAGAGTTAAAGTGTATGAGTGATAACCCTCCATTACACACAGCAGTGGACGCAGATGTGCTGGTCAGAGCCAAAAGGGGGTTAATTATAGAGTTGAGGTGTATGAGTTACCTCCCTTCATCACGCTCAGTAAGTGGACGCAAATCTGCTGCTCTGAGTTATAAGGGTGATAATTATAGAGTTCCGACTCGAGTTCAAACAGACAAAATGGTGTAGAAATGCTTATACCTTTATTATTCCTTTACTGACTCATAATATGAAGAACACATTCCTCTGACATGTACTGCATGTGTATAGATTAAATGTGAATATCGTGTTATTGCTGTCAGTACCATAATCTCTCACATAATAGTAGGTGTGAATATTTCCACTTAAAAATTGAATGAAATGAATTCCCATGTGAAGTCAATTTAGTTCTGATATACATTTACATGTTTGTTGGTTTACTGCAGCTTAAGCAAAATTCAATATCGCATTGTATCACACCAGGCATGCACCAATTAATGACTTAATAATTTTCCGGATTTGTTTAATGATTTATATTATAATTATTTTCAGGTGAGGGCCTTGAAGGCGAGCTGAACGTGACAGATTTCACTTCCGACTCAATCTCGGTAGAGTGGAGCGAGGTCGTCAGCATCAACTTTGAGAACTACCGCCTCCAGGCTACACCAGAGGGCGACGGATCCCCAATTGTGGCTGTGATACCTCCCGAGGGTCCCAGGATGCATACCTTTGAGAACCTGATACCAGGTGTTAGGTACACCATCAATAACATCTTTGAAGGCTCTGATCCAATGGTGACTAGGACTGTACATCAAAGAACAAGTGAGTGATGGTTGCTCCTAATCATCCATTACCCGATTGGCAATAGAAACAGGGTTGTCACTGATTTAGGAGAGGTGTCATGGTCTAGTGGATATGTCACTGGACTGTGGATCACATGGTTCACGGTTCAAGTCCTGCCGTGGCACTAATGTCCATTGGCAAGACATTAATCTACATTTGCCACTCTCAAGTGAATCCAATGACCGGGGTAATACCAGTTACAATGTGATGTGCTAAGGAACATAGTATTAAGCACTATACAAGTCTATTGGCAATAAGAACAGGGTTGTCCCTGGATTAGTACAGGATCACATTGTTCATGGTTGAAGTCACTCTGCGGCAATGTCCTTTTGCAAGACATTCTACATTTGCCACTCTCCACCCAGGTGGTAAATAGTACCCTGTAGGATATGAATGTTAATGTGATTGGATTGACATGTGTGTGCTTGTAAAATGGCACGTGGCTGGAATATTCCCTAGGAGCGGATGCACTATCATGTGCGGAATAGCTAGTGAATCCAATGACCGGGGTAGTAATAATTACAATGTGAAGTGCTTAAAAATGTAGTATCAAGAAGTTAGCTGGTAACTTCTTGATAGTATTAAGGGCTTTACAAGTGTGACTATTATTATTAAGTCTATGAGAAATAGAGAATTCAGTAGTCAGTGGGTTAAGTGTTGTTCACACAATGCCAAGTTATTTGTAGCAGCCGTTTACCCTGAGTTTTTGCAGAACTGTATTGAATGAATCCATGGTGAGGGCCTCTCCAATGTCGATGAGAAGATTGTCTCAGAGTTTCGGGCAACAAAGGAAAGGTTTGATTGCCATAACACATCATGGTCCGAGGTCTAGAACATATGTACATGTAGGTTGGGATAAAAGATGGTGGTGTTTGTTGCTGAAGATTCAAATTCAGAAGGTACGTAGGATAGAACAAAGTTGTGATTGATTTTTTTTCAACAAGAAGAAGAACTTTGAAAATGATTCTCCCTGTTCATCATGTTCTTTTAATGACTTCTGCTCCTCTCAGGACCAAATCCAGTTTCTGGACTCACTGTGGCTGATTTGACCCCTCAATCCATCACCGTGACCTGGCAACATGCTACAGGCTCATTCAACGACTACATTGTCACCTACACTCTCTCCGATGACCCCATGATGGTCATCTATGCGGATCGCATCCCTAGCGATGGTACCCGAGTGTCAGTCATAGATGGGTTGCTCCCTGATACATCCTACGTGGTAACTGTCTACACCAGCAGTGGAACCGACGCTGATCAGACAACAAGTACAGAAGAGTTCGTCCAGGCTAGAACTAGTAAGGGTTCTCCTCTGTACGACTCCTTCACACTTGACATATTAAACTGCCTAAAAAACCCAATGAGGTGAAAGGAAATCAATGTAGGGGCAGTGGAATTCTCTGCTGCCAATCACATGATTCTAGAGATGTAGGTTTTGGCGTCTTCACAAGAGTTGGGGTTATACGTCTAGGTCGGATATCTTAATTTCTTTTACCACAGAATCTGTAGGTGTCTTTTTTAGATTGTAGCTGTAGACATCTATGATACGAGAGTGCCAGTGGAACTCTCTGCTACCAATCAAGTGATTCAAGATGTGACCAAGGTCGAGATAAAACTGACTGAATAATCAATGGTGTCAGTTTCGCCGCATTCACAAGAGTTGGGGTTATATACGACTAGCTCGGATAACTTAATTTCTTATTTCACAGAATCTTTAGGTATCTTTAGGATTGTAGCCGTAGACATCTATGATACGAGAGCATCAGTGGAATTCTCAGCTACAAATCAAGTGATTCTAGATGTGACCAAACTGACTGAATAATCAATGGTGTCAGTTTCGCCGCCTTCACAAGAGTTGGGTAATATACGACTAGCTCGGATATCTTGATTTTTTTCCCCACAGAATCGTTAGGGGTCTTTGAGATTGAAGGTGAGACATCTATGACACGAGAATGTCAGTGGAATTCCAGATGTGACCAAGTGCGAGATAGAACTGACTGAATGATCAATGGTGTAGGTTTTGCCGCCTTCACAACAATCAGGGTTATGCGCCTAGCTCGGATATCTTTTTTTTCTTTTTACCACAGAATCTTTAGGTGTCTTTTTTAGATTGTAGCCGTAGACATCTGTGATACGAGAGCATCAGCGGAATTCTCTGCTACAAATCACAGGATTCTACATGTGACCAAGTGCGAGATAAAACTGACTGAATAATCAATGGAGTGGGTTTCGCAGCCTTCACAACAATCGGGGTTATGAGACCAACTCGTATATCTTAATTTGTTTTAGCACAGAATCTTTAGGTGTCTTTGAATCTTTAGGTGTCTTTGTAGCCGTAGGCATCCATGATACGAGAGTGTCAGTGGAATTATCTGCTACAAATCTCATGTGTCGAGATGTCACCAATTACGAGATAGCAGTCACCACATCAGCTGGAGGCATGGCTCAGATCATCACAGTTAAAAAGGGCATTACTCTGCAGATATCACGGACCTGATCGGTGGTACCAGTTATGATGTAGATCAGGCTGTAGGAAAGAACTACAAGAGGTACGTATTTACAATTTAAAAAAATATTTTATATGATTGTAGAAAGGTGTTTGGTAATCCAAAAAGACACAAATTCAGTTGTTACTGATGAAATTTGGATAATCGGAGGGTTTAGCAATATTTTTCTTCCCCTCAGGTAGCCAGTAATTACTGTGCCTGATGCTAAATCATTCTCATCACTTGTAACTTTGAGTTTTTTATGCCTCCGTTACGAAGTAGCCGAAGTCATCATGTTTTCGGGTTGTACGTCCGTCCGTCCGTATATCTGTACGTACGTACGTCCGTACGTCCCATTCTCGTGATCGCGATATCTCAAGAACCGATCAATTAATGAATTACCGCCAAACTTGGGTCATGTATGTATCTTGCAGAGCCAATGAACTGATTAGATTTTGGAGTCCTAAGGTCAAGGGTTATTGGGCTTATTATGTATGCAAAAATAGCTTAATCACGCTATTCTGAGAACCTGGTAATGGTTTACAATCAAACTTGAGTTTTTAAAATTGCTTCTGTTTTGGTTTGTAAATCGCTCTATGGCGGAGGCATTTTTTTTCGACTGCATGCAGTCGAAGATCCATCTAGTTTTCTCATAACTCAAGAATGATAGGTGGACTGGTTGAATTAGGGCCTTTGTTGAATACTATTACATTCGAAAAAAATTACAAAACTTGGTAAGGGTATGTGAAATTTAGTTGTTAACTGTTTGTGCTACCCACTGTTCACTATTCAATAATCCAATCGATTACGAGTTGATTTTTATTTGAAAGTTGCGGTGAAACTCTCTTTCAAAATGCAATTACATGAACTCTGATCGACTTTACCAGATGACTTGTGAATTCTCTAATTCCCATATGCTTAGTACAGGAAGTTCCCATTGGCATCAGGTCAATCTTCTAACACTTATTCATTTCTGAGCTTCCGATCAACAGTAGCTACGATGGCTTTGTCATCACAGCTAATGGTGAATCGAAACAAGTCCTTCAAGCCCAAGCTAATTACCAGGCTACCTTTGAGAACATGATTCCTGGGGAGACTTACAAGCGTGGATGCGTACCGGTATTCCTTTCTGTATCCGCCAGATTTGACAAGTCAGGCCCTCATGGATTTTACTTCAGTGTCCGTAAAAACAGGTACCTATAACTTTAGACATGTTTTCTTTAAAGTCTGTCTGTACTAGTTTGGCTAGGAGGGAATAGAACATCCAGGATGGTCATCTCATGGCCAGGTGGCTATCTCATCAACTCGGCTCTCAATTAACATAAGAAAAAGAGGATCATGGGGGACCAATGGTCACCAATTAGGCATTGTTTTCTAGATAGAGGGAGCAAGTACCTACAAGTAGTACAGTGGGCCTTTAAGTAAGGCCCTCATGGATTTTACCTAGTTTCCATAACAATGGGTACTTAACTTTTTCTTCAAATGAAAGAATACTGTAGTAAAAAAAAGGAATACTGTAGTTTGAAATTCTCCTTCAGAAATATTGTACCGAGAAATACAAATACATGTAGTTCTTTTTTTAAAACAACTCTCTTTACTCTTAAATCTTCAACAGTTGTGATCTGCTCACATCCTTTTCGACGTTGATCTATCTTTTATTTCCCTTTCCCTTCCTCTTTCATTTTCACCTCATTTTTTGATGAAAATATGTTGAAAACAAAAAAACAAAAACGAAATCATTAGATTTTTAGTAAAATCGGTTGCTTTTGTTTCTTAAAAATCAAGGACATGTGTATATGTAATGATACATTTTGCTTGACCTACCTAAATTCCTGAGGATGTTTTCCATTAATTGTTAGGTAACCTATCACTGAAAGGCAGAAGCAAAGGATGATATCAAATAACACTAAGAGTATCCTACATATAGGCTTATATTCACTAAGAACTTATAATCTACCGATTCACTTTCATGTGTTTTGCGTTCCGGATTCATCTTTTTGCGCCACTTCAATATAGACCAGTTTTTTTACTGACATTTTCCAATTTTATGCATACTTTATAAACAAAGGTCGTTCTGGAGAGGCTGAAGGCTTGACCAAGACTTGCCCGACATAGCAGCATATAATTTATTGAGACTGGATTCCACATATTGTTTTTCATTCATTAATAACAGTTTAATGGAATACCTCTTCACTAGGTCCCCAGGAAAGAAATATCCATAAATTTGAATATGTAAGTAAACCAAGCTACCAAAGAGTTGAACCAAAACTGTTTATCCATTTCCTCCTTTATCTCTGTTCTTAAGATACTCCTGACTCGGCGATGATCAGTCAATCACCTCCACCTTAATCACAGTCAGCTGGGGAGCTGTGTCTGGTGTGGTTCAGTATTCTGTCACTATCAGCCTGTTAGAAGGACTTCGTACAGAAAATATCATGAGCAGAAAAGTTGACTTCACGCAGCTCACTCCAGGGAGGTTATATACGATCACCCTCATCTCAGAATCACCCGGAGGGTCTCGTGACTCAAGTGCACAGGTGAGTGGAAAATGTCTTGAGGTTAGGATTCCTTTAACATTGTTTTTATTGCCTTCTTTTGTTATACATGTACAAATTTATGTTCCTGAAATTTAAATGCAAGAATTTACTTTGCTATTTTGCATTGGTAAATTAGGAATGCTTCTGAAAGTCAGAAAAAGAACACACACAAAAAATCAGTTGCCCCATTCAAGTACTGATCTTATGTGCATTGGGGCAGCTCATCTAAATAAGTGCTATAGAGACAATCTGGCATAGGTTCAGACATATAAATCATTACCATTGAAAATCTGAACATCAAATTTTTATCTTCTGTTATCAGCTCCGTCTCCACCGTCATCACTGGTTGCCGAGACTCTTGATGTGGATGATACAGAAGGCCTTCAACTTTACTGGACAATATAGCTACCATCAGCAGGAGAGTGGGATGCCATTAATTACTTAACTGTTTCCAGTGAAAAATTACTACCGGTATATACTGGTGTTAAAAGGGTTGGCTTGGAGGTGATTAACCCTATTTAGCCCGGGCTATTTTGAAACTGCATAGCCCGGGGGGGGGGGGGGGGGGGGGGGGGGGGGGGGCTTCTAAGGCCCCCCCCCCCCTATGATCTCGGCCGTGAAACGACCGATCGCCACGAAAATTTGCATACATGTCAAGTGAAGTGTATAGAATACTATGGTAATTTCAATTTTTTGAAAAACTCACTCATTTGCATATTCATGGTAATTTATGCAAATAAGGTCATCAAATTCACGTTTTTGCCCATAAATCAGACATTATTCATATTTAGGCATTCTTTCTCACTACATATATTTGTTAGACCATTTGGAATAATAATACAACACAAACATTTTAAAAACCAGGGTTATTCCTTATGTTATCTATTGTTTTGATAATTTCTTATGTATTTCCTTGTTTTTTTAACTTATGTATTTTATTGTTTTTGTTGTTTTATTTCATTTCTAACTATAATTCAACTATTTTGACCCCAAAATAAACACCCTAAACTATAAACAAGACCAAATAACCAATGTTTTATCTCTGTATTTGAAAAATGAGATTTCCTTACGTTTTGTACACAAATCACAAAAATGAGCGATTTTCGGGCTGACATGCAAAGACAAAAGGACACGTGACTTTGTAATGGTAGGTCCGATTTTCGAAAAATTTCTTTCAAAAGATGTGCAAGACTCGAAAGAAAAAAGTCACAAAATTTCAGTGCAAGATTTTCTTGCGTTAAAAAATTATCGCGAAAAATGTTGAGGGGGGGGGGGGGCTTCTCAAGCCCCCCCCCCCCCCCGGGCTAAATAGGGTTAAACCTTTAAGTGGAATTATATAGACCGTTGGCAATTTTCGCAACACGTTTCAAATTTATGTGTAGAAAATGGTCTGATTTTCAGACCCTTTTACCGTATGGTCGTTTTGTGCTGCACAAAGATTCAATCAGCTTAATTTTGGTCATTACAAGAAGTGGGTTATTGATGAGTAGTACAAATGCTCTTGTACCCTTTACAGCTCATTTATGTATGATATTACCAAAGAAAAAAAGAAGTCCCTCAGTCACTGAATAGCATCTGACAGTGAAGTCTAGTAAGTAAACAAATACTAGGACACTGCTAACATTTAAATTCCACAAATAGGACATACGTGACATATTCATAATTCCTGCAAGGTTCTACAGAATTTGATGTTGGCTGCAAAGGGGAAACACTACCTTTAAACACAGGTCACTATGTTGAAATGAAAGTTGTGATTTTTATTGAAGATTATTTCCAACAAGTTTTTGTGACGTTGTTTTTATTTTACTGGTTCAAACAATCAATCTACTGCAGGATAAAGAATCCAGAATGCATTATAGCCATGTTCTCTTGACATACAATGCCCCTTCCAGAGCTCAAGATTAGCTTTAAGTTCTTATAGTTAATTTGTTTATTGTTCTGTCTGTTCTCATGTTGCACTTACCGGTATGTGTATAATTGCTTGTACTTGTTTGTCATTCATCTTTAGCACAGTTGCACTTTGAGAATTTGATTTTAAGTGAATTTTGCATTCTAATTGTGATCGAGTCTGCCACAGTTATCACGTCATATATCAGATATATATTTTCAAATACATATGAAGAGTTTGTCATGAAATGAAATATGTACATTTCAGACGTTAGAGAGAAACAACATTTTATTTACAGAATTTCCTACACTCCAATGAATGGAGTAAGTCAGGTTTTCCCGATCAATTTCATATTTCAGTTCAGTTCAGTTTGTTTATTCATTTCATTTTCATAAAAAACACGGCAAAAACAAATAAACGTTTAAGTATATATACATACTAAGGCATAGATTGTTCAGTTTATACAGAATAAGTACAAATGAAATAGGAGAACAAAGGAAAAGCCCATGGTGGCTTGTTTATAAAGAAAGGACGTGCAATATATCCTCTATTTGTAAATCATATATTATTGCCTCAAAGACATTGTCATCAGATTTTAAAACATTTCACATTTTGATGATGTTTATTTTTATGATTCTTAATCATCTAAATAATTGACATATAATCATGTTTTTTTTTTCATTTCATCATTACAAATATTATTTCATTTTTATATAATTTCAGTATGATTGTAAATTTCTTTCTTTTTATCACTGTTCTTCTGTTTATAGTACATTGCATGACATATTGCATGTGCAGCATTTTATATTTACTTTCCATTTGATGGTTTTACATTTTACTTTCCATTTGATGGTTTACATTTTGCTTTCCATACTCTATGTTTTGCACCTCATTTACATTTCAACTCATGACCTCCATTCCATCCTCTCTCCACCTTCACACATCACTCTCATTGCCATTGTCACACCTTGTTTCTTCTATTCAATTTCTACCCAACATGCTACCCTTTCCATTCCACTTCCACCCAACATGCTACCATTTTCATTCCATTTCCACCCACCATGCTACCATTTCCGTTCCACTTCCACCCCTCATGCTACCATTTCCATTCCACTTCCACCCCTCATGCTACCATTTCCATTCCACTTCCACCCCTCATGCTACCATTTCCATTCCACTTCCACCCCTCATGCTACCATTTCCATTCCACTTCCACCCCTCATGCTACCATTTCCATTCCACTTCCACCCCTCATGCTACCATTTCCATTCCACTTCCACCCCTCATGCTACCATTTCCATTCCATTTCCACCCATCATGCTACCATTTCCATTCCATTTCCACTGCACATGGTTCTATTCTTTGGTTCTCATTTATATTCAGAACACCTCATGATCTCCTTTCCATATTGTCTATTGGTCCTTCCTTCTCCCTAGGTTCTTCCATTATTATTTTTTACTATTCCACTTTTATTTTTTGATTAGTTCTTTATTTATGATGTAACTTATGTTCTTATCTGTTGAAATTGAATTTCTCTTATTAAAGGCAGTGCAACTCAGGATCTGGTCCAGTCAAGACATCATTTTATTTTCTTCTCTTTTTAGTTAGACTTAGCTGTTTATTTAAGAACAAGAGTTTATAAGTTGATTTGAGCAGAAGTTCAGTGTTTGCGAGCAATGTTTGAGAGACGCAATTTTACAAGTTTACAATTTTACAAGTTTAAACATGTTTTCCTTAATTTTGTTTATAACTGGCATGTGATAACCACAGGTTTGTTTTCTTTCTTTTCATCTTTACATCCTTTATTTCATGTTCACATGGGACCTAAATAGTCCTCATGATGATATATATATATATATTTACAGTGCTTCCCAGAAAAAACGAATCCGAGAATTATTGATGTTTTATCATAACTTAACCACAATAATCTATGGCTGATCGTCAACTAAACGGAGTTAAGTCTTTTGTCAGTTATGTTTGTTGCTATGCCAGGCAGCCAGTGTAAAAAAGAATTCGTTTAATCAAATTATGGAATCGCAAGCGTTACTTTCAACAAACAGAACTTTGTTATTCCCAGCTCATTTTTCCTGATTGAGGTGTATGAAAGGGCAGAAAATGAATTTTCTAGAAATGTGATTTTCTCATTGAAATTCAGATACGTCTGCCAAATAACTTGTTGGTACTCTTTCTACAAATTGATTTTAATCACTCATGCGTGAAATATGCATCATATGAGTTGCATCAAATGAAAGAGGAGGATCTAAGCTCTACATATATGTGTCATTTATTAATCATAATTATGATTAAGTTATGATAAAACATCGATAATTCTCGGTTTCGTTTTTTCTGGGACGCACTTTATATATAAATGATTATAATCAAAGTCTAAGTCCGGTGTGTAAAGTCAATCCGGGCCGATTTTTGTGTGTGGTTACGAGCCGGACTTTGTTGCGTGAACAAACCCTTTACCGGACATTTTGGGAACATGAATGAGGTCCCTCCGTTCCCTGACTAGTAGGGGGGGGGGGGGGGTCTATGAACCTTGAAAAAGGGGCACGTTCATATTCTCGTCTAGCAAACCAGCATATCCGTAATTTCGATTTAGATCGACCCTCGTCTTCACTGTCTTCATCTGAGGAGGGACCATGAACTACCTCTACCGCATCTGGGAAAATAAAAGGGTGCAAACATACACAAAAACACTACCACTACCAGGGGCGTACGCAGGGGGGGTGTTTTGGGGGTTCAAACACCCCCCTTTGGTATTTTAATGTATGTAAACCCCCTAAAAAAATCTAAAACCCCCCCCCCCCCCCCCCCCCCCCCCTTTGGCTTTTTTTTTTTTTTTTTTTTTTTAATTAAAAAAAAAAAAAAAAAAAAAAAAAAAAAAAATTATACCCACGGCTAACCTAAATAAGGTGACCTTACCCTCCCCCCGTACGTAAAAAAATGTCAAATTTTGAAATTTTGAGACCAAAAAAAAAAAAAAAAGTGTCCGCTTATCCCCCCCCCCCCCCCCCGATTTTCAAATTTTCGGGAGCAAAATATTTTAAAACCCCCCCCTTGAAAAAATCCTGCGTACGCCCCTGACCACTACTACCATTATTCCAAGGCAAATACACGCATCATAAGAAGACAACAGAGCAAAACTCTCTTCCCCGCTCATGAAAAAACACAACAACCCCAAACCAAATACAAAAGGAAGGCTTTGATATATAATTATAATACTTGAAAAATACAAGACAAAAGACTTGTACTAGCCTTACACAAAGTATATTTATCTTTTTCTTGACTACAGTTGACAAAAATTTGCTTATAAATTCATTAATGTTATAACTTTGTAAACTTCCGCAATACGGCAAGAAATTGTGCAGTCGATCGTTGCTGGCTATTGGCTACTCTGTTTGATTATGACTTTGTGATGATGGGACGAGCAACCTCTTGACTCTCATTAGTCCAGAATCTGGCCCATTTACTTTTGATCTCCACCACACCAACGCTACCTCTCCCTACTTACTTGCGACCCGCCGATGATGGCGTGATCATTAAATTAGGACGCCAGTCTGGGCTGGTGAGCATAATTATGAGTTTGTTGATAACGCCATCTTCGACGGCTTGAATCAAGTGTGTAGGAAAATTATAAAGGCTGTGCAGATTCTGGACTAGACTCTCATGCGCATCATCAGTCTCGGTCGTAACTCCATGCTTATCAGACTCTAGTCCAGAATCTGCCCGGTTCTTAATATTCCCTACAATTTATTGAAGCCCAATATACGCTCACCAGAAGAATCAGTGAAGATTTCTATTTGTTGCTAATAACCCGCCCCCCCCCCCCCACTCAGAGGTCGGAATGACCGCATGCGTGTTGCCAAAATGTCCGGTAAAGGGGTACTTTTCGTGCGACAAAGTCCGGCCCGAGAATTGTAAAAAAGAAAGGGGTGTATTTGACTTTTCACCCGGAGATATCTTTAAAAAGGGGTGTTTTTTCTTTTTCTCTCTCATCTCTTTGGACTCCTGAGAAATTATTCCGAATTTAGGGGAGTACATTGAGCATTTTTCCTGATTTAGGGGGGTTTCCAAGGCAGGAAAAGCCCGCGAAATGCCCGCGAGATGCCCGCGAAATGCCCGCGAAAGGGGGTTCGGAAATATTGGCAGTCCTCAGATAGGGGGTGCTTTCAAAAAGAGGGAACGAGCATATGCGTACCCTAAATTACATTGAGTAGGGGGGGGGCGGGGCTAATAACCGCAAATGAATCGTCTGCCACTAAATGGCCAGACATCTTTGTCGGCTAGATGTATAATGACTGAATAATGGGCAAGAGAGAGATAAAGAAATCGAGTCCCGACGCATTTAGAGAACATAGTCTACTCTGTGTCAGTCTGTGTGTCTGAATATAACATGAAGCCAGAAAAACGGAGAGGAGAAGCATGAAGAAAAGAAGTAAAAGAAGAAGTTGTAAAAATGTATGTACATTAACAAATATAAATTGAATACATGATGTATTATTAATGAGTCATTCAGACAATACACGCCTACAAACGCTGTCGACCGATATCCCAAGTTGGGGGAACGTTCATTTCTCCCCCTTTCATTGTCTGCGGTCAATACCTTTACCTCGAACCTTTGATAATGAATAATAGTGGGTTTTTGTAAAGCCCTCATGTCTGTCAGACTTTACACGCCTGGCACCCCACACGTTATATTAAGCCAGCTGAAACATGGCTGCCATTGAGGTACCCATTAACCTCCCCGGGGTCGAGTGTGGCAAATGTAGATAAATATCTTGCAAAAAGACAGTCTTCATTCCTATGCTAACATCTTGATTTGATGAACGTAGTTATGTCTTGGTTTCTATCAACACAAGAAATTTTCAAATTAATATATCAACACTAAAATTTGCTTAGGGAAAAATGTTGGAAAATGAATTTCGAAATAATGAAGTGAATTTAAGAGGACTGGACTTTCTTTTCCCAGTCCAACTCCCTCTTTGCCCCCACCCTCTCTCCCCCTCTCTCTCTCTCTCTCTCTTTCTCTCCCTCTCTCTCTCTCTCTCATTCTCTCTCTCTCTCTCCTTCTGAAACGCATACACCTTTGTGCGATACTTATCTGTCATATTAATCAACATCAGTCGTCAATGGCTACGTTTCACCCTTTTTAATAATAATACTTTTAGTACTCCACGAACTTTGTTCCAAGCGTTTTGACCTAGAATCTTACATGAACTATTCACATAGAATTGTATGAAGACAATTAGTCTAGGAAAATAATAGCATGTCGTCAGTCGAAACCCGTTGATTTTAAAGAATTCTTACCATTTTGATTATCATTTTCCCTCTCTTCTCTTTAATTTGTATTTTTACCCTCCCCCCCCCTTTCTCTCCCTTTTTCTATCGCCTCCTTTTTTTTCTCTCATCCCTTTCAGTTCTTCCAACTCCGCCCCCCTCTCTCTCTCTCTCTATCCATCTCTTGCTTTTTCATCTTCCTAGTATATCATTATCTATTTATTGCAACCAAAAGATTGTTTTAAAAACATATTAAAAACAAAGAGATACATAGAAATCAGACAATGTTAGAAATGATTTACACAATGAACTTATATAAAATAATGAATATCTATACAGTGGCTGCAATCAAATTATTACACGATATCAATTAAATTCCTCCCTTTTCTTCGGCTCCCCCCCCCCTCTCTCTCTCTCTTCTTCCCCATCGCCCAGTCGACACACTTAAGGGCGGATATTTTAACTCTCTACGTCATCAAAACGACTCCCCAAAATCCCAGTACTACTTTAACCATAAAAAGGGAACAAAAACGAGGTTAACAAAAAAAGAAGAAAAAAAAAAGTCATGACACGATTTTCTATTCATTTAAAGCAGGTCATGACGCACTGAAACTTAGCCTCGTCTCGATTGTTACATGCAAGTTAATAATAATAACTATATTTGTTTATACAGCGCCTAACACTGACTTTATCCAAACTTAGCAGCCGTTAATGATAATAATATCGAATATTTAGGAGCGCTATATGAAAGTACCATAGAGAGTTTACATTCTAACTGTTTAAATAGATAAAATAATATGCATATAAATGATCAATGGCAACAGTTGAAACTGAATATTTCAAGGGTCTATAAATGCTCCAATAAGAAATGTGTAAATAATAAAAGAAATAATTGCTTCTTTTTAATGCACATTTTTCGCAGTTTATGAATCGCTGAAACTTATCTTTGTCTCGATTATTAAATGCATGAGCAGCCGTTTATACTGTTGAAATAGATTAAAGAAAACGCAAAGAACTATCAATAGCAACATTTGAAACAGAATATTTAAGGGTCTTAACGAGAAGGTTGAGTTCTGGGAAGAGGTGAAAAATAATTTGTTAGGGTTATCATTGTATTATGCAAGTATGGAGGAACATCAGAAAGAAAATGTTTCCTGAAAAGCATGGCTCTTCAAATGCCTTAATATTCTAAATATGGCATGTAACATCATACAAATCGAAGCGGATTTTTATGCCACATGTTCCTGTATTCCGAAATAAATCTTTGTATGTACAGTACTTGTAACTTTACCAAGACTGGGCCAAATTTCTTATTATTTTGATGATTCCAGAACCTTGCAGTACATACACTAGATGATCAACCTTTTATGATCGATTCCACAATGTTTCCTTCACAATCATGCAATCGCATGACCAGAACTCAACTTTAACTGTGATGATATAATAACAAACTTGCAAACAGTTGAATAAATATATGCCTTATAAATAAAAAGAAATACAATTTAAAAAGATAGACAAAAGCGCAAACGGGTTATTTTTAAGCAGTGCGTAATGCCCAATGTTTGTTTTTTTGGCACGCTGCCTAATGTTATTCCTTTACACTAGATTATGAGTTAATGACGCAGGATAACTACCGTGACTCTTAACTACCCAGTAGTTTTTTATTGTACTGTTAAATAAAAAACACAAACAAAGAATGACAATAATCTATTCGGAATATTTTTAGGTTGTACGTAATGCCCGTGATTTTTCTTTGCTTCTAAGCACGCCACTGTACGTTCTTTTTACACAGGCGATAACGCGTGAGAAACCATTGATTTTTTTTTATTCCATGCAAGTCATCAAATATCTCATTGATCAAACAAAAAGGGAAGAGGAACAAATCCAGACCGCAGGAGATCCTGGAACACAATTAAATCGTATTGCACCAACAAACCAGCAAATCAATGTACACACATGCACGTCAGAGCTATAGGCCTATAATGCTTTAGAACTTTATACGCAATACAAGACCAAATATGGGACGATGTACCGCTATTCATTATCACAATTCGTATTATTATGTCTGTATCGCCAGAATCTATTCAGTCACATGGTCATTCATTTTTTATAGGATTATTTTTTTGTTATTGACCTATTCATGGATGAAACCCGCGGCCTCGGCATAATATAATTATTAACCTCCCGGAAACTGGCTATTCAAATATTTACAAATAGTTTCAATAGTTGTCGCTAAGCCCATACGTTGCGTATAGGAGGCGATATTTAAAAAAAAACCTATTTACTAAATATTCTATGCTGAGCTATTGAACAAAAATTTCTCCATCCCTTTCTCCATAAGGCCTACGTGTTTATATATACAGACATTTTTATCTCTAAGTCTCTCTCTTGTTTTCCATCTCTCGATCAATCGAGATATCACACGACTCCTTATTATACGCGATCACACATTAATTTTCAAATATCACCATATGAATTTATTCACACGCTCAACACTTCCCCCAATGATATCAAATATTTCACTTCTTTTTCTCTTTTTCTCTCGAAATGCGCATAGTATATCGCTCATATGGCCTATTAGTGATGCCCTTATTATTATGTTCTAATGTAATTACATTTATTATGCTGACATAGCCAGTGGAGTGTCCACCTGACACATGTGTCTGACTCATTTGCATACAGCCAATCAGAAGAGTCTAGCTAGCTATCTAAACTTGCACGTGCACACATGGTAACCGTTAGGGTTAGTGATAGGGTTATAATAATCATGCAGACCCACCTATATTATCAACCCATCGTTAGCTCAATCGGTAAGGACAGCGTACATGTAATACAACGTTGGAGTTGTGGGTTCGAATATCAGTAAATATTCATTTCTATGTTTTGCCTTTATAACTAGTGAGGCAAAGCAATACATAATCAAAGTTTAATTGTTTGTGACCTTTTCCCAAGCTGCTAATGACGTAAAAACATATCATCCGGTACTCTCGTTGGATAAAATGGCACAGACCGGGGTTGCCCAGATACAGGAGCCCAACAATACTCCAATTTAAAGAACTACAGGTCTACATTGATCGAATGCAATGTTTTATACCCCCATCCGCAAATATAATAAATCAATTCAGATACTAATCTCAATATTCTTTTGCTTATTATTCGGATTCGCTGTTCCTATTCTATTCTGATATGCGCATATGATAAATGTGATCACGTGGTATAGCCTGTGCAATTAAAACGCAATGAACTATATCTGATTAAATGTGAATCGTGCATAAACCAATCATATCGCTCGGGACCAGTGTGATGTGGTTCCATATACACAGTGCGTATCGTCATCAATTAGAGCCGTTCATATTTTCAGATTGAAAACAACGATTGATAGACCCACGTTGAAGGTAAGAGATCATTGCTTATTACTTATTGATCATGCTTAGTATATTTGTCGTAGGCCTATGGTTTTAATTTTCACTTGCTTTATGTGTAATGGCATATACTTCAGCTGTGATATATACTGGTAGATACATCTAAATATGTATAAATAATGAGAGAATGTCACTGCATGGTGTTGGTACTCGTGCATACCAAACGCTTTGATCAGCAATATCAAGGGATAGGCGATAAATGATTATGATGAAGATGATGATAATTCTGATGATGATGGTGATGATAATTCTGATGATTATGATGAAGATGCTGATGATGGTGATGATAATTCTGATAATGATGGTGACTAAGTTCTTGTATATAGCGTCAATATACGTCTTGTTACCAACATCATACATATCCTTGTCTATGTGAATATCATTATGAGGATGAGCAGGAGACTCGTTAATAGTAAAAGCTGTTTTTTGATTAATAAACATAAAACCGTCTGCACAGGTATTACTGTTGTGTAGTTATGATTTTGTGATATGATTTTTTTTAAATAATGTCATCTTCTTGTGACAGTCTCTGCCCTGCGCTCATAATGCAACATTTTGCTTCTATCACCATTATAGATGAGTGGTATGTAATGACATGTGCTCCTGATGGCATCGAAATCTAATTAGTCTGATCAAATCAATTATAAATGCATTTGGTAATTCTTTATGTTCCCCAAGTTTTCTGGGCTACAGAATATTGATAAAAATACCACAAACGTCTCTAAAAAAAAAATACCCAGGTCTACACACACACACACACACACACATATATAACCCTATCGGGTACCTGGCGTGGACATCATAACAATCCTTACCCTAACCCTAAAACCCTAACCTTAAAACTTTTCTGTATAATTATTGTCCTCATAATGACAATGTCTACTTAATGACTCGCTTTTCCACTCCAAATGTCCATCTAATGATGCCTGATGTAAATAAAATAGGCCTTCTATGATGAATAAAACGTACACACTTAAAGAGGACACGAAATTGTCCTGATAACAATGTCTACTTAATAACTCATTTTAATTCCAAATGTACATACTATTTATTTATTATATTTACGACATGAAAGATTTTCATTTCAACTGATTAAATTATTATATGTAAATTAGATATATACATATTATGTGTGTGTGTTTGTGTAGGTATCTTTAGGTATCTATGATTATGTAGTTATGAAATGACAAAAGGCAAATCGATGGTCATTTTGCCTTCTGGTATTAATATTCATATTACTTCTACTTCTATATGTAGGCCCTACCACTAGACACACGTTTACTACTACTGCTCCAGCTACAACTACGACTCAATCACCACCACCACCAAATATATTCGAACTAGATGTATATTTTGTATAGATCTTTTGCGGTGGATAAATTAAAGACTCAATTCATTTTATGTTAAATGTCAGTAGATTCTAATATTTTCAACACCTTTCTCAGTTTGGTTTTACTGTCTTACTATGCAAGACAGTAAAGACAAACAACATGAGAAAGGTGGTGAACATAATATGCTATTACTACTGTTTCAAGACACAATATTCCGATGTTGCCACGGTGAAACTCACACAGAACAAACGACAGAAGAACTTTGATACCTTTATAAACATTAACAATACCAAGCTTTCATTATCAATCTCTCTTCTACCAAAATACGAAATTTGCCGCACGTTGTACTTTTCCATTCGCATTTGCAAATATGCATTATTCTGTAAACATTCAATAGCTTTTGGGAGACGTGCGCTATGACGTTTTTTCCCCTCAACTTTTATTTTGTTTCCTCTATTGACACAATAGTGGCGAAGCGTTGGCAGATATGTCTGGTTGTCTAGACCTCGGGAGGTGTCATTCTCTCGTACAAATCTCTCCCTAGGTTCCAGCTTCGTTGAGATAAAAGTGGTGGTTTTGGTTTTGATTGATGACGTAATTGTAAAACGCTTCACATTTCTGTTTCTTATAATAAAACAACACAAAGCTATAAAGTGAATAAGCACATTGTACATGTACCACGACATATCCGAGCATGTTTTTACGCTTACTCGGCTCTTATTTCTTTTTACTCCTGCGAAAATTACTTCGAGTCAATTTCCTACACTTACCGAAATCCTAACTTCAACCCCAAACCAGAACCCTTGCCCTGACTCTGAACATAATCTAAAACCCAATTGCAACCCTAACCTTAATGATCTTATCCTATACATTTGTTGAAGTAAAGCCCAGAACAATTGTCGCCTGAGCAAATGCCAGGTATTCACAGCGAACAGATCATCTGCCAAGCTGTGAGACAGAACGTACATACTGAGTAAGCTAAATGACCTTGTCTTTCATTTTTCAATAGTGAAAAGTTGTATTCGAGTGGCATTCCGAATATGAGCAGGGTGTTTTGGCATTTTAATTAATTTAGATTAATTTGTTTACCCTTTTCAAATGGTAATGCATAGCTTGAATAACGTAACAAAATGACATTAGTGTGCCCCATTGCATAAAACTGAGCATTGATTTTAACTTTGCCATTAACATTAACTACCATGACCCCATTGCATAAAACTTAATAGCATTGGTAACTTTGCTATTAATATTAACTACCAGAACCACATTGCATAAAAATTAGCATTAGTGGTAATGGACCAGGTAACCTTGATTTGATTGGCTGTTAAGTGATGTTGCCATGGTATATAGTAATTATATTGATGGCAAAGCTACCATCAGTAGAAAGCTTTATGCAACGAGCATCAACAACGTAACAATATACGATTTGTCATGTCATGAAATCTATGATAATTAATCCTTTGAAATAAGTAGGACAGGGCGGCCGAGCGACTTCCAAAGTGGGGGGGCACCAACAAAAAAGGGCACTTTTTGGAAAAATAAGGGCACCTACAGTGGGAAATCTCAAAGCGAAAATATACAATTTTTTAGACATTGGTAAATACCCCTACATTGTGATTACATTATCAGGGATGATTGCAATATTTGTTTCTCTTCATACATCATACAAGATATCGCTTAAGCATCATACTTTACAGTTGGGTGTGATGTCTGAATATGCATTTACGAGCGAGCGAAGCGAGCGAGAAAAACTTTAAAGATCTGTGAGGTCGCAGTGCGAAAAATTGGACTAGGAAAGCTAGAGACAGAAGAGAATGGAAATTTCATGAGGAGGGCTTTGTCCAACGTCTGGATGAACTATAGCCTGATAGATAGATAGATAGTGCGAAAAATTACATCTTATAAAGAGGAAAAAAGCCAATCGTGATGGGGTTATAAGCACATTCTCATAACGGAAGACTGAAAAGACCTTTGATAAGTAACATAATTATATCATCTTTAAATGCGAGCGAGCGCAGCGAGCGAACTTTTTGGGGAAATTGCTCTTAGTCGCTTTAAATAAGGGGCACGTTTAATGATTACATGAAAAGGGGACAATTATCGAAAGGGATAAGACACTTATTAGAAAAGAAAAGGAGCACGTGTCAAAGTACAAAGGATAATTATAAGAGGTGTAAATGAGGCATTTTTTTCACCTGAAAAGAGGCACTCACCAGTGATGAAAAAGAGGCGTTTACAAAAATGGGAAATAGGCATTTGTTGACGGAAAAGGGGCACCCATCAGATTTTGATAGGGGCATTTATAAGAGGTGAAAAGGGGATAGGTCCCTTATTGGAGAGGAAAAGGGGCACGTATCATTATTAAAAGGGGAATTAGCAGAGTTGAAAAGGGGCACTGACCAGATATGAAAAGGGGCACTTATGAAAATGTAAAAGGGGCACTTATAATAAAGGAAAATGTGCATTTGTTGAATAAAAAGGGGGCACCGTTCAGATTTTTAAAAGGGGCAGTTATGAGAAGGGGAAGGAGCTCTTTCTTTTCAATGGGGGCACTTATCATAAGGAAAAGGGGCACTTATTAGAAAGGGAAAGGGGTAGTTATGAGAAAGGGAAGGAGCTCTCTCTTTTTAATGGGGGCACTTATCATAAGGAAAAGGGGCACTTATTAGAAAATAAGACGGGCACATGTTAAAATGAAAGGTGTGCTCATCCGAGTTTAAAAAAGGGGTAGTTATTAAAAGGAGAAGGGGCACTTCTTACAAAGGAAAAAAGGGGAAGTTGTCAAAGTAAAAGGAGCACCTCTCAGTTTTGAATAGGGCAATTATCAGAGGTGAAGGGGGCACTTATTAAAAGTGAAAAGGGGCACTTCTCGTACCTGAAGAGAGGCATTTACTAGAGATTAAAAAGGGCACTTATTCAAGATAATTTCAAGATTTATGAGAATGGAAAATGGACACTTATTGCAAAGGAAAATGGAAACATGTCGAAGGAAAAGGGGCACGTGTCAAAAATAAAAAGGGCACTCGTCAGAGTTGAAAAGGGGGAAGGGGCACTTTTACTAAGTAATAGGAGCACTTGTCAAAGTAAAAGGGGCACCTTTCCTATGTAGAAGGGGCACTTCTTACAAAATAAAAGGGGCACTTTTCCTATGTAAAAAGGGGCACTTTTGGGGTATCTGAAAAAGTGGGGGGGCACTGTGCCCCCCCTGCCCCCCCGGGAGAACCGCCTCTGCAGGCTATCCTTATACATGTATATTACATTGCCCGAAACTATGTTAAAATATTCTGGTTGGGAAATTGTATAAATCTTCGTGATAAATGAGATGTCGTATTTTAATGGTTTAAACACTTGACTTGAAATACAAAGATCGTGGCGGGTTATTGGATATCTCGTCACTAGGTCCCCAGGAAAGAAACATCTATTAAGTAGAATATGTTAGTAAAACGGTTTATTGGGAGCTTCATTAATAATCATATCATCAATATATAGGTTAACGGAATACCTTGTCACTTGGTCCCGAGTTAGTATATCGGCTAATGGAATACCTCATCGCTAGGTCCCCAGGAAAGAAACATCCATACGTTGGAATATGTTAGTAAATCGGTTTATTGGGAGTTTCATTAATAATCAATTCATCAACAT